GCATGACTCTAGAGGAGGGACAACTTATAGAGTCCCGTAGTCGTATCCCGGTCGTGACAAAGCAAGAAAGGTCGTCGGGTGGTGGTCCGAGCCAGCGGTCCGAAACGCGCGCGCGACGGTGTGGTGTCTGCGGCAACGTCGGACACAACTCTAGAACCTGTCAAGTAGTGATTACTTCGTCTGAAGAAGAGGAATTTAAGTAGTTATAAACATTTCTATGCGTTGTGGTTGCGTGTAGGTCAAAAATGTCGAGGTGGTCGGGTTGAGGTGTTTCACTCGCTTGTCTGTTTCACTCGCTTATCATGCACGTTATATATATATATATATATGTATTGCCATGCGTAGTTCGAATGTTCTTTGGATCTAATCGTATTCCAATCCTTCCCATCCTTTGCCGTCCAATGCTTTGCCTTCTTGGCGAGCGAGGCAGTGGCAGTAGCAGCGGCAGTAGAGGCGATTCTTGAAAAGATAGACACCAGAGACTGGTAATTTATAAGCATATCTGCTCGTATACTCGTTTACTTGTCTGCTTATCTGCTTCAAGTTGTATATATAGGAGCCTCCTTATAAGTATATCCACCTTAGGGTTCAATCCCGAGTCATACCAACCAGACCATCCTATCCCATCTCTTAGCAAGCGAGGCAGTGGTAGTAGTAGCGGCAGTAGAAGCGATTCTTGAAAAGATATAAGGGGCTGGTAACTTTATAAGCATGTCTGCTCGTATGCTCGTTTGCTTGTCTGCTTCAAGTTGTATACATACGAGCCTCCTTAGAAGTATATCTACTTAACAATTAGACCAATCCCGAGTCATACTAACTAGACTATCCTATCCCTTCTCTTAGTAAGCGAGGTAGTAGTAGTAGCAGCGGTAGTAGAAGCGATTCTTAAAAAGATAGACTACGGACCACGGACTATAGACTGGTAACTTTATAAGTATGTCTGCCGTATACTCGTTTGCTTGTCTGCTTCAAGTTGTATATATAGGAGCCTCCTTAGAAGTATATCCACTCAACAATTAGACCAATCCTGAGTCATACCAACCAGACCATCCCATCCCATCCCATCCCTTAGCAAGCGAGGCAGTAGTAGCAGCAGCGGCAGTGGAAGCGATCCTTGATTCTTGAAAATATAGAAGGGACTGGTAACTTTGTAAGCATGTCTGCCGTATGCTCGTTTGCTTGTCTGCTTGTCTGCTTCAAATTGTATACATAGGAGCCTCTTTGCAAGTATGTCCACCCAATAATCAGACCAATACCGAGTCATACCAACCATCCCATCCCATCCCATACCTACTACCAAACCCCCGGCATAGGTTGGGTGATCAACTGACGCCAGCGCCGACCCCGATAGCTGATATCAACACTGGGCGCAAAGACACACGCTGACACGGACACTATCAACCCTAAACACATCCAACACCGCCACACAAAGACCCATGTCGCTATCGACACTCCGCAAATGCTCATACACTCACTGGGACCAGCACAGACGTATGCTTGGCTCGAGGCTAGATGAGTTCGAGCTGAGGATGAGGATAAGGATGGGGATTGGATACCGGCTGCGTGAGGAGCATGAGGGGGAGGACGTGATGAGATGGAGACAAAAGGAGACGTTCATTATAAGGCTCACCCACGCGGCGCATAGGCCCCAGTATAGGCCGAAAGGAAATACTCCAGGGTCCTTGACATCTGGCAAAGACAAACCCAAGAGCCGCGTAGGCCCTTTTACAGACAAACAGTGGACAATATTTTTCCGGCGGCCTCTCTTTTTGGATTCTTCCCTTTATGCGGCATTGCCTGGCTTTTCTTGCGTATCAATGTGCTAGTGGTGTAGAAAGTCAGTTAGCTATCTAGCAACGAACGAGGTAGAAAAACAGGAAGGAAAATCAATCAGGAAGAAAAAGAAGGACCACATACCCAAACAACATAGTTGGGCAAGCCCACAACTTGATACCCTGCTCTCTTTGCCATCTTCGCAAAGCCTTCTGTCTCGGCCTGATTTTCGAAGGGATAGCAGGGAAAGTTGATGCCTGCAACAGAAGCTTTGTCAGCATCGATCATCATCCTTCTCGTCCGTAACCTCTGCTCGCGCAGTGCAAACTCACCAGATCTGTGCACATCGGCCTTGACTAGGATATTCACACCGCCAATACCATCTAATTCTATCTCTTCATCCTTGTTGTTTCTCCAGTCACCCATGCGAGCCATGTACGTCCGGCCAGTGTCATATTCCTTGTATCCTTCGGCAAGGACGACGTCCTTATCCAGACTGGACGAGAGGCGTCGACCTTTATCGGACTCGATCCAAGAGTTGTAGTCGAAACGGCCCTCGATGTCGCGACCGTTCTCATAACGGTGGAACCAGATATCTGTCAAGTGTCAACCGGGATCCGATGGTTTGGCGTATAAGGTTCCCGCAGTACTTACTCGGCACCAAAACGTCTCGGTCGTGAGCGACAAAATCCTCAATGATCTTCTTCGGACTGTCCACAATGTCCACGTCGCGCCAGTACACCCATGCATGTTCGGGCTTCAGTGCCGACGAAAGAAGATAATTCCTTGCTCTTCCCATCGCCTTCCTCCTGGGTCCTTGTGCAGCAAATCCGTGTCTGGACTCAACGTCCATGTTCAGAGTAGTGCCAAAGTCTTTCTCGACGATTGTGGCACTGTGGAAGGGGATCTTGTCGGTTCTCGACTGAATTCGGCTCAGCTCGGACGACAGTACTGCCAGGGTATCATCGGTGGAATCGCCAACAAGGAAGGCAAGGTCAATCAGGTCGTGAGGATAGGTAAGCTCGGTAAGGAGATCGAAGTATTTGATCAGATACGGGGCGGCGTCCCGCAAAGGCGTGAGAATGAGGACTCGTTCTTGGTTGCTGACCGCTCTTGGGGTCGAGACGATCGGGTTCAAGTCGACCCGTTGAATGGTGCTCACGTTGACCTCGAGCGGCTCGTGGTGATTGAATAACACCGGGGTTTGTAGGTGTTGGTTCCAGGCCACCATTTCATTAATCGACATCTGGGTCGGTGGTTTTGAGGGTCCAAAGCAATAAAAACTAGATTCCGCCAATTAGCCCACGATCTTGTTTGTTTGCTTCTCCAGGCAAGGAGATGTTGAGCGGGGGGATGTGATTCTTTTGCTTTGTGTAGGGTTGAGCGACGGGATGTGATTCTTTGCTTGTGTAGGGTTGAGCGGCAGGATGTGATTCTTTTGCTCTGTGTAGGGTTGAGCGGCGGGATGTGATTCTTTTGCTTTATGTAGGGAACGGGGCAAGGTTGAGCGCATACTTTGACATCTCTCGTGTTGATACAGAAATCCCTCTCCACAATAACACAATCAGGCCGGTGAGGGCGACGGCGACCAGGAATCGGGTCCGAGTCAAAAACATTAATATGGCTCTCCATGGCGGTAGTCTTGCTTTGGCGGACTTCCAGGTCACGCCGCCTTTGGGGAGAAGCATCGCGATAGGGAGCAGGGAGAAGATCGAACGTCGGAATCGGAAAGGAGGAGGAGGAGGAGGAGGAGCAACAGATGCAGATGGGCGCAAGCTGTGTCACCGCCTCTCGCTAGGAGGGGGTCGGAATCGTCGTGGCCTGGCCAGGTGTTGAGGGCGTGGGAGGAAACGAACGGAATGGCCTTGCCTGCGCAGAGGCCAAAAGGAGGAGAGAGACGCAGGCGGCGGAAGGACGGGCGGGTGTCGATTGTCGATATCACCTGGTGCCTGGTCCAATGCGACTGCTGGGAAGAAGGGATCAGAGAGGCTGTCTTCTATCCGGACGGAGGATTGGGTCACAGCTGAGCGTGACGGTGACAGGCGGTGGTCGGTGGTGGTGGCCAGGTTCTGAGGTCTGGAATTGGAGGATTGGAGGGTTCCTAAGGTAGTTGCGGGCTGGAGGATAAGAAAACGAGTGCTTAGGTGCTTGCTTACCTAGTAGTACTCCGTAGTACTAATTATTAGGTGTTAGTACTGTAGCTCTGTAGGCCCTAAGGCCCCAAGTGCCAATCCCATCCAGCCCGGCTGCTTGTCTCTTTTGCCATTCAAACCGCACCAACACTCTGCTAGAGGCCCGATGCGGTTTAGCCCCCCCAACCCAAGACTCGAGCTCGCGTGGCCCTGTCTCACATCACTGACTCTGTAGGACTCTGTAAGTACTCTGTACTCTGTACGTGTAATGGTAGCATCTATACAGCGTATCCGTTCATCTACATGCACCTATCTCGCACATGTCACTCTGGTAGTATGGTACATTGATGTGCAATGTGCAATTAGCCGCCAGAAGTGACAATACAACCCCAAAACTCCAGAATTCATTGATCCTTCCCAATCCACCAGAATCAAGGTGATACTATCTGGTTGCTGGGGTCGTACGGAGTACAGTACATCATCAAGCACGAGGACAGCCCTCGTGCTTCATCCAAATGCATGGTCAAGAGCAAGCCCTTGTTAAGGATGAACCTGAGGATGAAGCTTCGGGGTTGTGTTCATCTGTGTCAACAGACCTAGTCGTCACAGCTGACAATATACTTCTCGCAGTCGTCGGAATTGACTCATCACGAGAGCGTTAGCGGTGAAGCTCCCGTCGACTGTTCGCTGATGGGGGATGAAGCAACCATTGTCCATCGTCTTTGCCGCACGCCCAAGCATGCCCACCCTCTTGTTCCGAGTTACTTCGAGGCCGCTTCTTGCCAACACATGTTCGTCGCTCCGATGAGCTTGATTCCATCAAGTCCTGGTTGCTCCCATCTCTGCGAGCACCGCGGTTCGATCTGTGTTCTCTGACGAGATACTGGAGCAACAATCGGACCAACTTTTCCGCGCGCGTACGCCCATCGTGTTCCGACTGCACCACTCGTGCACTGAACTCGTGAGAATAGATGGCCGTAAAGAGCTGCTCGTCCTTTCCTGGTCCCTTTGTCCGCGTCCTTTTCGTGCTCTGGAGAAACTTCTCCTCATCCGCATGTCTTTCACCACACTCAGTGGCAATCTCGCAACAACGAAGAGCGCTTTTCAGTTGGAGGTCTCGGTGGCGGTCACGCCTGCTCCGTTCAAGCTGCTTGTGATCCTCCCTCCCCTCTTGACGTTTGCATGATTTGGCCATACCTTCTGGGTTCATTCTCGACATCTCAAGGTCCTCCACCTCTTGGTTTGGTCTTCTCGGGATCGTCACTTGCTCCCCATATGCCTGGCGTGCTTCGTTGCGGCGGAAAAACTCTCTGACAAGATCATTCTTGGTAAATCCCACCAGCTTTCCTTCCAGCCTCTGACTGAATTTGTTACTGGGAGAATCAGGTCGGTACCAACCCTGCCGATAAGCAGGCGCCACAGAATCGTCGAGCAGCCGAGAGATGAGCTGTATCAGCACCATGGGATCCGGGTCTTGCTGGTTGAGGAGATCCTCCAATGCAGCTTCTGCCCTAACGGGAGTTGAGCATATCGATGGTGGCTCAGTGTACGGAGGTGATGGTGGCTGCTGGTGGATTGTTGGCAAGGTATACGATCCGAGTCCTCCAGGGACTGTTCTCCTTGGTGCAGGCGCTTTGATCTCGATCCCACTCTCTGCTGTGATGCTGAGCAAGAGATCGGATATCCCAGGAAGTACCGTGCCCTCGGCGTTGAGGATTGGCCCTGTATTCCTCGATGAGCTGTTCATCATTCTTTCATGAGTAGTTCCGTCGACTGTAAAAAATGCTGTTCAAGATGGTCTCATTTGATAAGGGGAGTTGTTCTCAAAGTGACAAGAAAGATGTATATCTTCTTCGATCGAGCCTGAGACGATCTCGCACCAAAGTTCAAGTCCGGAAAGGATAGATTCTGGCAGGTATATCACTCGACAGGCCTCCAAAGAGGCAGAGACGCATTGACGAGCGTGGGTGCACAGGTACAGATTGACCTCCAGATGGAAAGAAACGAATAAGCTTGGGAAAGGTCTGCTGGCAACCCCAGCAGCGACCATGATCGAGCTCTGCTAGGCGTCGCCTGGCAAGGGCTACGAATCATCGACGTAGGTGCATGTATCGGTCTAAGAGCGGGAGCCTGTCGCTGCTGTCAGGGTAAGTCAGTACTGCATCCGTATGGAGGACTCTGCAATCATAATATGGGACATGCATGGGTTTCTCCTCGTAAGAAAGACCCTTGTCCCTGTCCTCGATAAACGTCAACAAATGTCACAATCCGCTCCCCCGGAACAGGCTGAACTCTCAGCCAACACACCCATGACGAGCTGTAGACTAAACGAGCGACGACCAATGGCCAATCCAGCTGACAGCCAAGGATTGAGACCACAGGACATTCACGAGCTGTGATTCGGAGGATTGAGACCACAGGCCATTCACGAGCTGTGTTTCGGAAGGAAAAGAAAAGCAGCAAAGGGGATCTGCTGCATCTTACAGGATGGAGAACGTATCAGCGAAGCCGGGCACGGCAGAGCAGGGCAGCAGGGTTGGTGCTGTAGATCGTACAGGACTCCCTCCTTACAGCTTACAGTAGTCGATCTCGGCTGCGGTTGCGGATGCGGATGCGGATCCAACGGCGAGAATGAGGCTGGACGAGCTGACGAGCTGAGGCTTGCTTCCGTACTTTGGTTTAATTGGAAAAGGAAAGAGTCTAATCACACCGTCTATCCGTAATTGGTTAATATGGATTTAATTACTAGATAGTAGATATGTACCTAGGTACATATAGGGAGCACACTACGTACCTGGCTGACTTTCCATCCAGGGGATGCTTGTCTGACAGGGACAAGGATCCAGAGACACACCACGCCTTGTTTATTTTCTTGTCTGATTTTATTTGATGTCATTTTCTGGCAGGACCGCAAGGATATGTACATACGGATACTTAGTACAGATACACATAAACATAACTACAGTGCCTACACCTAATCAAGCATACCATGTCTGTACTCCGTACACATGGGAACATAAAGCCTTGAGTAAATCTTAGCTATATGTGAGCGAGAGTGAGAGGTAGAGGTAGAGGTAGAGGTTGCTGCCGATGGCTGGGCTGGGCTGGGCTGCGGCTAGAATAGAAAATATCCCCTGACTCCTGCCTCCTCGCTTCGCTTTGCTGCTTCTACGGATGCGGTGCATGCTGTACGCAGTGTACGGGGTATATATCTACCTCCCCTAGGTGCCCCCCTGCCCAAAGTATCCGTAGCGGCGTACAGTAATCTCCCACGCCGCTGCAACGGCAAGGGTCGTTGTCTGATCCCACATGGTTGGAAGCGCGTAGGCTGCATCTGCCATCCGTACATGTCGGTAAGCCTGCACGTTCCAGGGCCACGCGCTCGTGTAGAAAACTAGCCAGGATAGACGACAGATGGCATTTCCGGCTGACCAATGCTGTCCTGTCAAGCCGGGCCGTGTCGAGGACGGATCGATCCATCAGCTCTCGCTCTACCATGGGTCCAGGGACTCTAGTCTGTTGCCATCCCTCTCAGCGTTCGCCACCTTGTTACCCTTGAACACAACATCTACCTTAGGCATCACCCATCACAACGCGCCATCGATCATGTCAAGACAGAAAAGAAAGATATATGCATTACTATCGCCACCTCCATCGGCATAGTTATCAAAGACGAAACATAGTAGGGGTATATAAGCATATCAAGTGCGTGTCGACTCCATCCTCCAGGTTCGACCCAGCTCGAGCTCCACAAGGCCAGTCTAGACAACTCAAACCTCCCAGTTTGTGTATCAAGATCGCCAATATGTCAAATCTTCCAGTTTGATGAGAATATCTGGCGACCACTCCAAGACAAGGATGGGTGTGTCGGCCAAATACTGTCTCAGAAAACCCCCCTTCGTTATTCGGTCGTTTGACCCTCCAACAACTGCCGTGATTCGTCCAATCTTCTCCGCAAGACCTTTACCGCTCGTACTTCGTGGCTCATCTCTGCTTTCAGGATCTGATTGCAGACGCCTCCCACGGCTCGCAAAAGATCGAGGACAAGACTCTTGTCGATATCTGTAAACGTCGCCGACCCCTTTTCATGCACAATCTTGAAGTCTGGGTCTGCCAGCTTGACCAGGCTTTCCATCAGAATCTCGGTGTTTGCGGGATGGTCGACTGTACCTGCATTGACCGGGTCAGTCTGCACCTGCTTGACCCCCGAGGTGGCGGTGGAAAGCGCTCCCGGTGGCTGATTAGGAGGGGCGGAGATGCCATTGGATGCGACAGGCGCAAGAGTGTGAACTATATGCGGCGTTCTCACTGGACCTTGCTGCAGTCGTCCGTTCGATGGAGGTGTGGACCACCTTGGAGGAGGCTTTTCATGTTTCGGACTGACTGGTGGCCGCGGGAAGCCTCTTCCCCCATTACCCCAATAGAGGACCTCGCTTGGCATGCCGTCCTCTTCCCGCCCTTCACCGCCTCCCTCTGCAGCTGTGGCGAAGGTAGCCACAGTTGAGACTGAATCCAGACTGTTGCTTCGAACAGCCTTCATCCACGGTTTGACAGGTGCTGCGAGGTAAGCGGTGACATCAGGTTGCACGACTGAAGTCTGGAAAGTCTCTTGAACCGGGGTGGTTGTTTCTTCTGTACTGACATCAGCATCCAACTCGGTCTCGCTTTCATCGACTTCCGCCGTGGGCGTTTTCGGATCCAGTCGAGTCGTAGCTATGCTGCTGCCGTCGCTTTCGCTGGGAGTCTCACTTCTGGTGCCTGTACCAGTGTAATTGCCCAAAGCACTGTGGAGGAACATGTTCTCATAGTCGAAAGCATCGACTCGATCTTCATGCCGTTCTGCCGGGCCCTCAACTGAGAGTATCTGCTCGGTAAGGCCTGGGAGATCCGGCTCGGCTTCCTGTAGACTCTCCTCTAGGACTTCGTTCAAATAGATCTGCTCTTCTTCTGAAGCCGCAACGGCTTCTTCGTCCTCCAATTCCTGGGCCGCATCTTCGTACATAGATTCCTGAATGATTGACATCGAGTCATCCTGCCCAGCAGGCGCTAGGTTGATCGCCTTGTGTAGACTGGGAGTGTTCCTGTCCGTTCTTGCCTCACTCAGCAGTAAGGAATCATGGGTTGCAAGTGCATCCACGTTCGTCAATTTCTGTGCTTGCGGTGTGACAGGTGTGATCTGAACTTCCACGGGCACTCTGATGTGAGAAGAACTCCAATCCCCATCCGAATTGCCAGGGAGCGGACTCCATCCTTTCCCAGCATTTGTATTGACTGGACTCCCCGCTTCCTTGTATTCGGGGGCGCTTGTATACCATTGGTCCGGTGCATGGGCGTTAGTGAAAGGACTGGAGCTTCGGATGCTCTGTATGCTCCGCCTCTTCAAGCTATCAGCTTGAGCCTTGTCCTTCAAGTCCGAAATTCGAGTTCGCAAGTCCCACATTTGCTCACGGAGTGCTTTCGATCGGCTTGACATTGCCGAGGAGGAGCGGGTGACAGCAGTCGTTGGGCTGCTGGCAATAACAGATATGTTTTCTTTCGAAATGGCGGCCAAAGAGTTGATGCCTAGTCCCCGTGGAGAGGAAGGGTCAGGAGAAGTTTTGTTCGTGCTTGGAGTGCCTTGCTCCTCCTGAAGGACGCGCAAGGGCGAATTGAAGCTGTGATTACTTGTTGGAGAATATCCGCCAATGCGGGTTGAAGGAGAGTTGAGACCTTGCGGTGATTCTTGCCTTCGGCCATACTCAAGAGCGCTCACAGACCTGGCCTCGGGGGCTATGGAAAGGTGCTTCAGACCAGAGGTTGTCGTCACATCGCTACCACCTCTAGTGTGCGCTGCTGATTTTGGTGCGGCGATTGGATAGAGGTGTCGAGCCGGGCGATGGCTTGCCCCTGCCGCAGAGATAGAACGATACAGACCGCCTGCAGGGTGATGCTGATTTGACATATTCGGGGACGACCTCGCCGACATAAGAATGCCATGGCGAGCTTTGCTCAGGTGGTCTTCCATGTGCGTCAAACGCTTTCTGGCATTCTCAAGGATCCTCTCGGCCCGCTCGTTGAGCAGAGCCATTTCGTCCTCCGCGCTGGATGCCACAGCGGAGTTTCTCTTGCTACCGGAATCCTCAACCTCGTCATCCGGCACTTTAGCTACATCTGCAGCTAGCCTTTCATTCATGATATTCGAGCCATCGAAATCCTCCCAATCTCCTGGATCAGAACTGTCGCTTGAACAAGAGCGACTACTAAGTCTCTGATTCGAATGCGACGCCCGTCCAGCAGGCGTCGGGGAGGGAGGATTTGATCTCGTCGAATTGTCTGTTTTTCGGCTCTTCCTTGACTTAGGAGTTTCTTCCTCTCCAATGTCGCTCAAAGCTGCACCGTGCTCATAACTGTTATAACCGGTGCCAACGGAAGGATCTCCGCGTGAAGGCATCCTTACGGTTGTCGCAACGCCAACTTCGACTGAAGCCTCATGATCTGGTTGGGATGAGCTCAAAGAGACCGCAGAGTCAGGGCGCAGAGGTAGGGATGATTGGAGGATCGGCGATGAAGCCAGAGGTGTCGGGCTCGACGTGTGAAGAGGGTGGTACGGAAGGATCATGTCGGGGTTGGTCAACGTCGGCGAAGGAGGGATTTCTTGCGTAAAGAGGTCGTGCGGAATGGGATAAGTATGCGCATGTGCCATGGCTGTCGTTCGTCGGCACCGTTCGATAGTATGATCTTGACCTGCGACCCGTGCGACACCGTGCCACCGTTAGTGGAGAGAGCCCGTGTCATAGATCGAACACAGACCACGCCGTTGGATAGTCTGCGGGTTTATCGAAACTAGTCAAATATTGAAGTGACAGGAAACATGGAGAAGAAAAGGCTGTGCACAGCGCGAGGAAACCGAGAATGAAAAGGTTTGAGGCTAGGGCGCGCAGGGCGATAACTAGGACCAAGGTACCTCATTGAGCCGTAATCTGGAAACTGGAGCCAGAGATCATCGCGAGGACCTGCAGTGGACAGACCAGTGGTTCGTCAGGCCCGGAGGGAAGATAGCGCGGTGATGTGATGTTTGGAGAGATGAGATGAGGGACGGCGTAGGTGAGAGAACTTTGAGAAGTGGGCTTAATTACAGTAATAGTTAGTAGTAGGCATGGGCGCCGGGGTCAGGGGGGCTTATTAGGCTGTCCAGCATGTACAGTACGGAGTACAGTACTAATTAATAATGTTTGCAGACACAGTTGGGATCTAGCAGCCAGTGTGCCTTAGGTAGCCAGTAGGCAGCAAAACGACTGGCCACAGCGTCAACCGCCCCTGCAGCAGCGCTAGATCTTAACGGAACGAAGAAGGAAAATCAGCCAGGCTTGTCCTTGAAGAAACCGATCGATTCTCCACAGCAACTTTACCATATCCATATGCCTCAGGCTGCCAATGACCTGCTGGGGCCTGCAGCCCTTCATTTCTCATCTAAGCAGATAGAGTTCGAACTCCAACCTTCAATTCCCACAACGAGGCATCAAAGGCGTCGGGCCCATCATTTGTTGTCCTTCGTGGGATTCCAGCGCTGCACCACACTGTGGGGGAAGGGCTTAGGAGGCTGCTGACCTGGACCAGCGCTGACCTTCCTCTCTTTATAGTTGCCCGCACAACAAGCATCCAAGGTGAAAGTCGTCTGCCGTCCGTCATTCGTCATCCGTCATCCGATATCCGATGCAAGGAGGCTCCGTCCGAGTTTCGAGAGCAGAGATTACCCGCGATTAAGAGACAACAAACAACAATGCCGGCTTTCGTCGTCCTCCCCGCGACTCCATCTGACCTCGAGGCCGTCGCTCGCCTTCAGTTTGATGCCTGCGCTTCTGATCATGCCTTTCCTGTCCTCTTCCCTCGAGGCGGCACCCTCACTTCGATCACGCACTTTGTGAACTCGTATGGAAATGACATGGAGAACGACCCTAGCTGCCATATCATGATTGTGAAGGAAGCATTGTCGAGGGAGGTAGTCAGTTTCGCCATCTGGCACTTTTATCCTCCTAGAAGCCAGGACGAGATTGAGGAAGAAATGCTGATCCACGAGTTTCCACTGCCCAGTGACTCCAACAAAGAGTTGGGCAATAAGCTGCTTCATGCTAGTATCAGAAAAAGACACGAAGTCGTCGCCACCAACATTGGCGCCGAACGACCCTATGCTTGTGAGTCTTGCTTCAATTGCTATTCTTGACATCTTCACAATCCTGACATGGCAACGAAGATCTAGCAGCAATAGGTACGAGCCCACAGTATCAGAGGCAAGGAGCTGGGTCGTTGCTACTCGACTGGGGCTTGGAGCGAGCAGATGATCGAGGCTTAGCTACGTACGTCGAGGCATCTCCAGCAGCTGTCCGGCTGTATCAACGGCACGGCTTCAAGGAAGTTGATCGATTAGCGCTTGATCTATTGCCCTACAAAGAGGGCGATTATGTCAATTTATGTATGGTTCGGCGCCCATGAATCTGAACATATATACTATGTCCTGCGTCTCACAAACGTTAAACACCTAATGATAAACATCCGTGATTTACGGGCCTTCCCGTGCTTCCCTGCGAGGCGAAGGCCATCCAAGCCTTCTCAACAATATGATTCTTCCTTCGACCTCTCTCTCCAGCCACTTTCACAGACTCCCAACCTGGCACGGCATCCTTCCCCTTCAACCACCTTTACCTGCCCCCATTATCCGAGATGCGCGATACGTTCGAGCATCTGTTTATGCTCTTTTTGCAATCTCTTGACCTCTTGTGCCAGCTGGTCTCTCAGCTGTCTCTCTTGCACATTCAGCCGGACCTGCGTCAGGTGAGCTGGTAGCGCGAGGTCAAGATCGGCCTGAATGAGGCGGAGAACTTCCTTCAATATGAACGTCAGCTGCTCGAATGTTTGTCCAAGGGTGGCATTTATATCATTCAGTATTCTAAATGGAGAGACATCAGACGTCCTAAATGCAGTACTAACAGAGCACTACAGATACATGTCACCAACATGTGAAGTCAACGGGGAGCTGTCGGTAAAAGCAGCGGGCACCACTTTAGAGGCTGTTTCCGAAAATGGAATTAGCACCTCATCTAAAGCAGCGTGCTACTTTTCTCTTCCTCTGAGCTGCAAGCTTCATTTATCGTCTTGTCGGTTTACAGGCACTCGCGCTGGTGCAAAATGCGGCCCTCGATTGCGCTCCGCAGCTCCACGGTCCGATTGACACTCTTCACTAGGGCGAACTGCGGGCTCTGCGACGTAGCCAAGTCGCGCATCGTCGAGTTCAAGAAGCAGCGGCCCGTTGATTACGTGGAGGTTGACATTATGAGTCCAGGTCAAGAGAAATGGAAGGCTGTCTACGACTTCGACGTTCCCGTCCTACACGTGGACAAGGGTGCTGGCAAAGCAGACAGCTCGAATGGGCCGACCCTCGACGCCGCGAAGAAACTTATGCACCGGTTTACAGTGCAGGAGGTGGAAGCTGCTGTTGAAGAGGTGGAAGCTGCATCAACTTGACCTCTTTGATTAAAACTACTTTTCTGCGCGCGGCTTTACTTCTTTTCCTCCTGCGTCAACAGGTTGACTGCTCCATATGCAGCGCCCTTGATAGCCTGCGCAGTCGCGTGGCCGTACGAACCTTTGGCCTTCGACAACGACTCTGCCATATATGTCGGAATGGCTGTCATGTCATTGATGACGGAGATCTAGCATGGGATATCAACACCAATTCTTCATATGCAGAGCCAGGGGCAAAAACTCACCATTTGGAAGCCCTGGTCGGCATACTTTCTTGCCCACTCTCCGGATGGGCAGTAAATCCCGGACCATTTACCGGCGGCTTGAGCGGCCTTCAAGACTCTCTCAATCGCCGCGTTCAACTCTGGGGAAAACTCTCCCTCGACAGGGTGTCCAATGTTGTTACCCAGATCCCAGGGGCCGACAAAAAGTACATCGATTCCGTCAACTTTTGCGATTTCCTCGACCTAGACACCCATACGTCAGTTTTGATTCGATCCCTCCTATACCGGAAACTGGATATGCACGTACACTTGCTAGGGCCTCCTTCGTCTCAATCTGAACAATGGTTAAAAGATTACCATTCGCGTTCTTCATGTACTCATAGCCGGTCAAATCGCCCTTGATGTCGAACGCGCCCATGGAGAAGGGGCTACCGAACCCTCTCTTCCCGACAGGCGGGAACTTTGCTGTTTGTACCAGTTTCTTTGCATCCTCGACGCTGTACAAGAGAGGAACGATGATTCCGTGCGCACCGGCGTCTAGGGCTCGCTTGACCATCCATCCTTCATTGGCGGGGATGCGCACAATCGGGCTAACGTTGACGGAGGCGATTGCCTGGATGGATTCGTGCATTTCGTTGTCTGTATTGCATTGAGAATCATTAGCCCCCTGAATCATTCATTCCCAGCCAGCTCGGGACCTCTCATATCGAACTCACCCGCAATGTTTCCGTGCTCGCAGTCAATGCAAATCCAGTCGTAGCCGGCCCGGGCGATCGTCCGTGATAGATACGAGCCGGGCAGCATTTGCCATGCGCCGAAGGAGAGGCCTGAGCCCGTACCCAGCGCTTTGCGCAGGGTATTTGCGTTTTCCAAGACCGAGGCCATCTTCGTTAGGGGGGTTTCGGGGGGTTCGGAGAGAGAGGTCGATTCAGACTCGGTGATGGACGGTCGTGGTGCTTCAGGTCGAGTCTTGTAGGTCAACTGCGAATCTGTCTGTACGTTGGAGGAGGGGTCAAGGCGTCGGGGGGTCTAGAGAAGTGCAGTCGAAAGAGAGCAGGAGAGAAAGAAGAGAAGGAGCAAGGGAACAGGCGGAGGTCCACTCCGCTATGTCTTGTAGGGCGTGCAGAAAATCAATCCAAATCCAGATAAAAGTGTCTAGGACTGTAGGACCTCAGCGCTGGAATGCCACCCTCATGCCACGGGCGCGGGGTAGAGAACCCCGACAGTGGGTGAATGTAATCCCGAGCTGCAGCGCGTGGGGGCTGTTGGGGGCAGTTGGGGGTCAGCTTCGGTGGATGTTGGACCGAACGTGGTTCCCTACCTCCCGCCTCCTGGTCAGCATCTGGCCACCCGATAAGGATCAGGATCAAGTATGAAATCACATGCGGAGGCTTCCGGTGAAAAGGTCGTCTCCTACAACGACGATTGAGATGTTCAGAACAGGCAACCCTCAAATATAGGTAAGCATTCTTTCTGTAGAGTAGATAGCACGATATCGAGTGCAGAGGCCAATACCGCCACAATAACGAATTCGCATCCACCCACCCATCAGGCCCATACGGGCTCTACAACTTACTGCTCCCACTTGGCTTCTCCAGGGCCTTTGTGGCATTGCGATAGTTCTTGACGAGCTGCCTGATAGCCAAGTCGAGCATGACATCCTCGCTGCCGCCGGGGATCCGGGCACCAGGCACTTCTCTGTAGATCCTCTCTGCAATCTCGCCCTGGCCGGTGCGGGTGTAGCCGTTGCCGCCGAACAGAAGCACGGCAGTCTGGGCGCACTCGTTGAAGACGATGCCTGCCCTTGCCTTGGCTAGGGCGGTGAGGCCGCCGAGTTTCAGGTCGGCCTCGGTCTTGGACAGCTGGGTCATCTGATACAGAAACTGCTCGACCCAGGCCTGCAGCGACTCGAGCTCGGCGCCGGCCTTGGCCAGCCGGTGCCGCACGACAGGCTGCTCGACGAGGGTCTTGCCAAAGGCCTCGCGCTTCAGCACGTACTCGAAGGCGGCGGCCAGGCCGACGCGCGCCTGCCGCGCCACCTGCACCGCGATCACCAGCCTCTCATGGTTGAAGTTGGTCATGATGTAGCGCATGCCCATGCCCTCCTCGCCGATGAGGTTCTCCACCGGTACCTTGACCTCGTCGAGCTCGATGTAGGTCGTTCCCGCACTGATCTGCCCGGCCACTTTAAGTCGTCGCATTTTCACCCCGGGATGTCCCTTGAGTGGGCAGACGATCATGCTCAAACCTGCGGCCCCCAGTCCCCCGGTCCGCACTGCCATCGCGCCATATTCGGACCAGTACCCGTTCGTGATCCATTTCTTCTCCCCGTTGATGATATAGTGCGTGCCGTCGGCCGTCTTGACCGCGGTGGTGGCGATGTTGGCCACGTCGCTACCCGCGCCGGGCTCCGTGATGGCAATGCAGCATCGTTTCTTGCCCGGTAGCAGATCCGGGAGGAACTTTTCGTGGAGCGCCCTGCTGCCAAACTTGATGATTGGCGGAATCCCTGTCCGCTCGTCAACACACTGTCAAACATGGGTATCGGCGGAGCGCCTCGCTCCAAACTCACCGAAAGAGTGACCCGCTGTCATCGACCCTCCGGGTCCAGCAAGTCCCGATCTGGCCATCTCATCCAGATATATGCCGGTGTGGAGATAATCCCACTCTTCAACGGGTGTTCCCAAGATGTCATCGATGCCCAGTTTCTTCAACCACTCGACCGGAAGTGGTGCAGGCAGATTCGGGATCAGCATGTTATGTTTGGCGAACGTTAGGAACACATGGTCCGGCACTGTTTCCTCTCGCTCCCAGTCCATAGCGTGTGGGAGAAGGTGTTCTTCGACAAAGGCGCGGCATTTTTTCTGCCATTTCTTGTGCGTTTCCTTGTAGTATGGTGAGGGCAGGCCGGCCAGCCAGGCGGGCTCGGAGAATGGGATGGGCGTGGAAGATGCCATAGTGGGCAGAGGCTGCAATCAACGAGAGTCAAGACACCCAGGGACAACGCGGTCTTTTATTCGCACCCTCACCTCCTAAAAGCTAACAAGACAGAGATAGTCGAGTCGCCCAAGATGCAGACGAAGTCCTCGGACATAATATAATCCTCATCCTGCGTTCAGCTTTGGTAGAAGTGCAGAAGCTGATGAACCTTGGTAAGATTCTTGATGCCGAAAGATGCCTCGGGCTGCAACTAGTCGCTAGGTTGTGCCCGCACCCCCAGACATCAAGTGTCCACATTTGTCTCTACCTCCAACACCTCCATTTTACCCCTATCACGTGAGCCACGTCACGGGACACGATAGCCGCTTGGGAAGTCCTAAGGCTCCTGACTCCTGAGGCCCAAGAAGATTTGAATTCCAGCACTTTATGATTGGAAATCTGAACCAGTAGTCAATAGGTACCTAAGTCAATAGTACGTACTTTTTCTGCTTTGCCGGCCCGTTTTGCCGTTTCTTTCAGCCCCCATCAGCTGCCAGCCTTGCGCTTCCTCACTCGCACCCTCTCACTCTAGCTCCTCGATGTAGCCTCCATCTGCATCCTCGATGTAGCCTCCGTCTGTATCCTTGATGGAGCCTCCGTCTGTATCCTCGATGTAGTCTCCGTCTGTGTCCACGATGTAGCCTCCACCTGTATCCTTGATGTAGCCTCCACCATGCGGCCAACCCAGCTCAAGGAGGTGCAGGGGCGCCTTCGCCATAAGAGCCAGCTGGTCAATCTCTCGATTGTGTTCCCTCTGGGAGAGATGATCCCGCAGACCAGCTTTGTGCTCGATTGCCTTCCGTTTGATGCCGTCAAGACATCGGCGATTCTCCAGCTCTAGATCCTGTCTTTTGCTCAAGGCAAGAGTCTCCATGTCGAGCATCCTCTGCCGATGTGTCTCATCATGGGCATATTCAATCTGCTGAAGCTGAAGCCGTTCTTGGTCGCTTCGCCAACGGAGGTGATGGCGCTGTTGTTCATGTTGGAAGTCATAGTCCCTCCGCTCCCGCTCAACACTGGCTAATTGACGCGCTTGTTCAAGTCTCTGCTTACCTAGGTCTTCATGTTGCTGATATATGAGCCTGTGCCGCTGTTGCTCAATCCTCCGCAGCCGGATTTCCTCCTCATCCGCGCGTTGGATTCTGCGCTGATGGTCTGCCTGATCTTCCGCTATTTGCTCTTCTCTGGCTATCCTTCTTGCCTCCTTCTCGGCAATCCAAGATGGCATGCCCCGGGCGCGCTCAGGCTGCAGTCCAGTGAGACTATAGTAGACATCTCTGTTGCAGCCGTACCTTCTCAAAATTTTCCCAAGTTCATGTGCTAATGCTGGGGGACCTAGGAATTTTCCTTCCGAAACGTAACACGTTGGTGAGTATACCATTGAACTTTCTTCGTAGAGGTTGAAGTCTTCGTCGATGCGTCTATTCGGCAGGCAGGCAGCCATAAATGCTTGGACTACCATGACTGGGTCGGAATTGCCAAGAGCAAGGCAGATCAATGGCTTCCTCTCATTTCGCTCCTCAACATCCGCCCCTTTCCTCTCGAGTTCGGTCAAGACCTCCACTGCGGCTTGATATGACGATGCTGTCACTTTCGCCGTCAAACAAAACTCTCCGAGGGGCGTCCTGCCACCGTGCATTTGCGAACGGTAGTTCGGGTTAGCTCCATGTTGGAGCAGGACTTTCACAACCTTCGGCAGCAGGGATCGGACAGCCTGGTGGAGGCTTCCATTGTTGAGGCTCACCCCTGCTGCAATTAGACGTTGTACTATGGCAGAGTTGCCCAGTTCGCTGGCAAGGAGCAGTGGAGATTGCCCTCTCTCGTTAACTGCATCAGCATCCGCACCAGCATTAATTAGTACGTCGATCAACGCCGTCCGCCCGGTCCTAATAGCCATTAAAAGCATGGTCTCATTAGAGCTTGGGACCCTGTAGTTGGCATTCGCTATACCCAAAGGGTTAGTGGCTGTGGAGTGTTGCAGCTTCAAAGTCTCATACCTCCGAGTTGGATCAATACCTGCACGCATTCGGTCTTGATACGAGGACTAGTTTGAGACATAGCCCAGTAAATGAGCTCTTTTTCTGTTTTTGCGGTCACCTATCACTGGAGTTAGAATGGAATGGCAGGAGAAGAGAACCATACTTACATCGCACCCAGAGCTAATGACCCTCTTCAGTGCATAGGCGTCTCCTGGCCTAGTCTTGAGGAGAACTCGTAGTGGAGAGTCAAAGGAGTTGCAATGCTCGGTAAAACTAGGTTTGGAAACCACTAGGCCTGATGGATTTGGGGGAGCTGGAGATGGCGGAGAAGCCATAAGCATGTCGAGAATGCTGCAAAACTCACCGGACGAGGCCGTGGACCTCATAAGAAAGTGCAAAGCCCGAGACTTTGATGATACCGAAGGACCTGACTGCATGATGACCGAGACTACACCAGCTTTCCCGGCTTCACATGAGCTGCACAAGGCCTGGCCGTTCGCGAGGTCTGATTTTGCACCTTGCCCAACAAGCATCTTAATCATCAGGAGGTCACCGTCCGATGCTGGCGGGAGATTCTCCACCGCTAAGATCGAGCTTTATCTTTCAAGACCTGAAGGACTCCTCTCTTCAGCAGGTATTCCATAATGTGCACATCGTGGCTTTCGATGAGTCCAGCAGCTAAGCAAGCCTGAAAACAAAGCGTGGCAGTATCTGCGAAGATAACCTTAGTGAAAAGGAGCTGCAACACAACACTCTTTCTTAATGTTGCGGCAAGGATCAGACTTCGGCTTCCTTGAGCGCGTACAGAAGCCTCGTTGTCTAACAGCATCCTAACCTCCTCGACTGGCGTTACTTGGGCATGCACCAGATTGATCAGATGTTGGTCGATAATTTCGCCACGTAGACCCGTCCGTAGGATAGACTCCATGGACTCAAGTCTGAGTTTCGGATTGGTCAGTCGGAGGGCTACTTCGAATGCCGCTGCGAGAGATTCCTGAGTCAGGTTGTTACCCAGAAAGAGGGTCAGCAGGTTTATATTCCCCGTTGAAACAGCCTCTCGTATAGGCGTGTTACCCTGGAAGTTAGGTAAGGCTCCATATTGAAGCAAGACTCGGGCTTCATCAATTGCCTCTCGTTGGACAGCTTCAATAAGAGCCAGGGAGGCTCCATTGATTGTTGGGCGGCAAGCGAGTACCCTACCAAGCGCGTCGGATCTATCATTTGAATGTAATAGAGACACACAACGCAGAAGAGCCCTGTTAGTGATATCTTGTCGCAAGGGAGCAGATGCTAGCATAGCCGTCATCAGATGGATCGCGCCGCTATCAACGATAGACATGAAGGTGGTACCATTATCCATGTTGGGATCGGCTTTGAAACAAAGGAGCTTCTCGAAGGTCTCCAAAGGCCAGTCGCGGCCCCTCACAAACGCCTTCTTGCAAAATTCGACATAAGTGGAAAACCCTACGTTTGCAACGACCTCTGAAGGTTTCTTCGCAAGCAGAAGCTGGGCTCTCAGAGCCTTGTGGCTGTCTTCAAGGCCTCGACTTGATAGCATAGTTTGAAGGCTATTTGTTATCGTCTGGAGGGAAATATTTGGCGACGACAGGATTAGTATCATGCTGTCGGTTTCTGATCGTACCACTGCGAGCATCAACGCTTTTCCTCCTTCGTAGTCGGTATCCGCGCTTCCACGGTTGACCAGCATGTCAATTACCTTGATATCAGGCTTTGACCTTGAAAGTTCGGATACGAGTGCTTTAGAAATGCTGCTGACAGTTGCATCTCCTTTGATGGCTTCCTGCAACATATGGTGACGAATATTATGGTCGTCCAGGTTCATAATGTCATCGACGAGGGAAGAGACCAAACCCTGAGATAATTGGGGTGCGTTCCCCATGAGATCGCCGAACAGCTTCACATCGTGGGTAGCAATGGCATGTTGAATGGTTTGGGCATCATTGAATGCGGGATCAGCTTCACCTTGGATTAGAGCATCGATAAGCATAACATCTCTATCGCCACTCCGATCACATACTGCATCTCTCAATGCTGCATCAACCGCCTCCCCGGATGCTCCTGCCTTTAAAAGGAGTTTTGTCATAGCCAGGCGCACAGCTTTCCGGGTGTCTCGAAGATAGGGGAAAGCTTTGATCAAAGACTCGTTGCGCACGGGGGACTTGAGGAGCAGCCGTAGTAGCTCAACTTGCTCAAGTTTGATGGCTTCGATCAAGGCACCGCCCTCATTGCGGTCTAAGGATGCGTTCCACTCAAGCATCAGACCTACTGATTGCTCATCATTGCGTTTGATAGCAAGCACAAGCTCGTGGTCAACCGCGGATCCATGTGCGCCCGTACTCAAAAGCATCTTGTTGATGGTTTGCCTCTCGTTTGACGGAACATGCTGTGGAAGCGAGTTCATGGCGCGGGAAGCATTGTCCGGCGATAGGCCTCCGGAATCCAGGACGGCTTTTAAGAGCACGCTACGCCCTGTCTGGGCTGCAGTGACGGCCGCTTTGCCCCTATCCCAGTTGATATCAACATGATGCTTGGCAAAAAGTTGGATGAAATCCATCAACTCTCTGGCAACAGCTTCAGCAAAGCAGGCTGCGGACACTTTACCGGCTGCTCCAGCGAAAAAAAGAGCATCCATGATACGCAACCTCAGGTCCGCATCACTGACATATATTTTGAATGAGATACCAACCAACTCGTCAAGCATCTGAGCATCGAGGGACCTTGCTACGAGCAGGAGTCGAACCAGCATATCGATCCTAGCAGCGCGGACAGCTTCATTGACAGCCTCCAAGTTTTGAACCTCACTCAGGTCAGTTGCCTGAGTCAGCAACGTCAAAAGATGTAGAGATCCGCTCTTCACAGCCGCTGCCAGAGCATCCATCAGAGTTGTCGGATCAACCCGATTGGAACCCCGAAGCAACAGGGAAACAAGGGCATGGTCACCCCTTCGACATGCCTCCAGGAATTCCTGCTCACATTGACTAGGATCAGCCCTATACTGGAGGAGCTTCAGGATGACTTTCTTGTTGTTCCGACGGATAGCGGTCCGAAGAGCATGGTTTCGTCCGGGTTGAGAACACGTCGAGGCCAACAGCCAGACAAGCGCAACATTGTCACTGTTGACGGCTGACTCTAACAGGGCATCTCGTTGCTTGACCATAGTTTGTCTCTGCTTGACATTTTCAACCACCTCAGGGTTTGGGGCCTTTCTTATAAATGCTTGGGCGAGACCGGTATTTCCATCTTTTTCAACTATGTCGGGTAACACCTCAGCGACAATCTTGTAGGTTTGACTTTCCAGTCGCTTCTTAGTCCGAATTAGTGGTTTGGACCTTCTACTCAGGACGATATCTGCTTGCTGATTATCCTCAGCTGTAGCGAAATCAGGTACATCAAATGAGGTTAATCTCTCCAGTGCTGGCTTGAGGTTGAATTCTGGAAGTTGCAGTTGCTGCGCCAGTTCTTGTAACTTGGCCAGATTGTAGGTGCTCGTTGCTGCCCATCGTCGTAAAGGGATGTCGGAAGGCATGAAAAGACTAGTTCGTCACCGACCTGAATTTTAGATCTGTTGGGCACCATGAAAATGAAAGAGACATGAGGCCGAATGTCCAAGAGAGTGAAGGTTATTGGGGTTAACAAGTTCAAGGTATAGGCAGAAGTGCGTCCTAAGGTCCTCAACGTCAGTGTAGGCAGCCAGGCAATAGCCTTTAGGTAAGGAAGGCCAAAAGGTCTACTTGAGTTGTCAGACAATGCACAGGGTATCCATGCTTGTAGTACGCAGCCTATCCGGGCTTGACAAATCACCCGCCCTGTATATTGTGTTTTTCCATGAACTGGATGGGGCAACCTCTCTCCCGACCGCGCACCGCAGACGCAGTTGCAGGGCGCGGTAGGAGCAGCGCCCCGTTTGCGTGGAGAGCTGGGTGCCACATGAATACGGAGTATTTGAATGGCCGGTGTGACGAGGCGAGGAACAGGAAGCGAGCACAGTTCAATTTTCTTGCCCGCAACAGGAAAAAGCAATGAGCATGCCAGCCGTCACATTGATGGCCACTGTGATGTGTTCAAGTGGTTGAGTTGAAGTTGAACAAACGGCGCTTCACCCATCGGTCATGTCACGTGCCATCTGCCTTGGCCCATGTTCTTATCGGTCTTATCTCGCCAAACCTGCCAGTCACCAACCAGTGGATGTGAGGAGAGATCGACACTGCTTCTGGGTTCTTATCAGCACCTTTAGGATGGCGGTCTGCTTGAGTGGTGTCTCTGCTATCTTGACTTTCATATGATATGCAGGGCTCGGGGACGCTATGGCAGCTTGCCTTGCGCCACCGGCATCATCAGTTATGAGCAGACTCTCGAATCTCGTCAAAATGTCACCGCGTGCCATTCTTTCTCCCATGCAGCTTCTATGTCGCTGCGATGCCAGGCATGGCTATTGACGAAGAGTGCGCTGACGAAAGGACGCGACTGCTAAGTTCTATCGCTCACGAACCCGATACCACTTCTCTCGTTTCTTCGCATATTAGCAGGGATGAGCAAGCGCTGGGCGAAACTGGTATTGGAGAACGGTTGCCATACAATGACTATACAACAATTGACTGGCTTCACGACCTTGTTAGTGAATCATACAAAATGGATGGATCACACTGATTGCGCTGCAGGTCAAAGACTCCTTCCGCCATCGTTCTATCCACACCGGCAACGGGGTTCGTCATAGACTAAGATCATCCTTCGATTCCTGTGAGGGATGGATTGCTGTTGCCCTTATTGGCACTTTGACGGCATTTGTGGCTTACTTTGTTGATATAGCCGTCGCCACGGTCAGCGACTGGAAGATTGGACATTGCAGGACTAATCCATTCGCAAACAAGGAGACATGCTGTGCTTCAAGAGCAGACCCTCTGTCGATTGAAACTAGAGAAACCTGTCCGGACTGGCAATATTGGACCGACAACTACTGGTATGGATTTGGGATATACCTTGGTTTCGCTCTCGCGTTCGGGGTCATTAGCGGTTCAGTTACGTTGACCACGAAGAGGGATCTGCCTGCTACCGCACCAGGCTCAGGAGACAGGGGACCCATCAAGATGAACAGCCAGGTAAGGGACCAGGAGGACGCCGGGAAGTTACCGGCCGCGGGAAAATCAATATACATGGCTGCGGGCAGCGGCATTCCGGAGATCAAAACGATCCTGTCAGGGTTCGTTATTCCACACTTCTTGGATCTCAACGTCCTGATCGTCAAGGCAGTGGGCTCCGTCTTCGCCGTGGCTACTGGCATGTGTTTGGGAAAGGAAGGCCCCTTTGTTCACATTTCTACTTGCGTGGCATACCTGGTTGGTGTCCGATTTCCGAAATACCGAGAAAATGACCGAAAGCTTAGAGAGATTCTTGCAGCTGGCTGTTCAAGCGGCTTGGCCGTTGCATTCGGCGCCCCTATCGGGGGTGTACTGTTCTCCTATGAAGAAATATCCACTTACTTCCCTCGAAAGGTCCTCTGGCGAGCATTCATCTGCTCGTTGTTTGCAGCAATGACCCTCAAAGCGCTTAATCCTACAGGGACTGGAAAGCTGGTGCTTTTTGAGACAAACTATGGCTCGACTTATCAACCCTACCACTACGTCGTGTTTGTCATCCTAGGCGTTGCTGGTGGCATCTTCGGCGGTGTCTTCTGCAAAGCCAATTTCTTCTGGTCACGTAGCTTTCGAAAATACGACATCATCAAGAACTATCCCGTGTTCGAGGTCTTCTTGGTAGTACTCGCGACGTGCTTACTGCAATATCCAAATCCGCTTACTCGAGACCCTGGCGATGTTATCATCAAGAACCTATTGGTCGACTGTTCGGATGAGTCAAAGACAGCTTATATCTGTCTCCAGGAGGAACGTGTTTCACCCACTCCCGAGTATTTGGGCTGGCTGGTCTACGGCACACTTGTCAAGCTTGTCTTGAGTATTGTCACCTTCGGCATCAAAGTGCCCTCTGGGATCATCATTCCTGCTCTCGATGGCGGAGCGTTCTTTGGACGGTTGTTGGGTCAACTGCCTTTGCTCGCAGGGTCCATTTCTCCAGGAATTTTTGCCATGGTTGGAGCGGGAGCATTCCTGGCCGGAGTCAGTCGGATGACCATTTCGCTAGCCGTGATCATGTTCGAATTGACCGGTGAACTCGAGTTCATCGTGCCCAATATGATTGGGATCATGGTGGCTAAGTGGGTCGCAGATGCTCTGGAACACGAGGGGGTCTACGATCTGGCACAGACGGTCTTAGGCCACCCATTCCTCGACCTTGAATACAGTATGAGCCTGGTGCAGGAGGATAATCACCTTGTCGAGGAACTGATACCTCCATCTCAGACGATGCGAGAGATTACGGTGGAAGTGCCAGAGAATGGCGTTGTCCCTCGGGTTTTATTGGCCGAGAAGCTACATCAACTCCAACGTCGAGGTCTCATGGATGCTGGACTAGTTCTCGTGCAGAAGAGTATGCTTCAAGGCTACCTTGCGGAAAGCGAACTGCAGTTTGGGCTCGAGACGCTGGGTCGGAGCTTTCCAGAAAGATGCCTGGTGCGTCTACTGTCTCCGACCACAGGGATGTTATCTTCTGAGCACGAGGGTGAGCTAGACATGTCACATTTCGTCGACCGCACCCCGCTGTCCATATGTGCTAAAGCGCCGATGGAATATGCCGTCGAGATGTTTGGCAAGCTTGGACTGAGGCATCTCTGCGTGACGGAGGATGGCACTGGAAAGCTGGTGGGCGTCATCATCAAGAAGAGACTGGTAGTTTGGCTGGAAGGATTGAAACATCGGCGAGGACAGTAGGTGGAACACAGGAGGTTGGTTCAATTAAGAGAAAGCGGACCGCCTGCATGCCCTGGATGGAGTTGAGTAGTAAAGCTTGTCATCGAATTAGCTAAGTAGGTACCACCAGTACTACTGTACTCCGTATGCACCTTATCTTTGTCCGGTGGGCAAATACCGGTACGTAGTGCCGCGATTCCAAGATTTGGTTGTTCGTTCTGCCCCCTGAGCCTTCTTCAGGCCTCGACGACGGGACGAGCTGCCGGACATCATTTCTGGTCGGGCGCTCAAAACAGGCGTGATGTGCAAGGATGGTTGCGCACTCGAGCGCCCCCCGGATGAACGGTACATAGCACGGATCCTGTGGCAGATGGAGGCGAGGCAAGACGCAAGCCGCAGGCGGGGCTGGAAGGGATTTCTGCAACGTCGATAAATGTCTGTTATCTGCTGCTCCATCCTTTATCTCTCCAATCACCGTCATTGGTGGCCTCCAACGGTTTCGTCAACAGCAACTTTTTTTGCGCAGCTGGGGGAGAGCGCCAAAGTCAGTTTAGGTATTGAGGAGTTCCTCTATGACTAGCACCGCTCCCGTGAGACCCTTGTTGACATCCCCGTCCCAGATCCCTGCTGGCTTTTTCTGCCTTGCAAGTTTGTCCTACCCCCCGTTGCTCAAGTCGTCCTTCTCGCCATACAACCAAACTCTCCGGCCAGCCAATTCGATCTCGACCTACCTGGTCAATTCGAGCCTACTCCTCTGTCCAGACCATTCCTCATTCCTTGTATATCTCTCGTGACCGGAGACGTGTTACCGTCCCGCGTCCCGTCTCCCCCCGGTTCAAGAGCTCGGCGTTGGGTGTAGCGAGCAGCATGTGCACGAGCGGGTCAGCATGATAACCTCATGAGTTGATATAATGTCGACAACGGCTCCGGGCAAGCAACATGCCCGCCACAGCTCACACCTCCCCAGGACTCGCTCGGGACCAATGCCCGGGTCTCCCTCCAGAAGGTCTCAGAGTGAGCGGAGCACAGACGAAAGCAGCCCGCAAGCTGTTGCGGACCATTCTCTCTCGACCCGTCGATCTCGAGCCAGCTCTACCTCTAGCCAACCTGCAGCGAGGACTCCAGCAAGGTCCTTCTACCACCGTGCCTTTCACGGCCAGCTAGATCCTGCCCACTACTCCTCCTCAGCTGAACTACGAGAAGAGACTGCGGAGTTGGCTTCGTTTGCCCTCTCTGACAACGTCTCCCCACCGGGGAGCCCGTCACGAAGCTCTTCACTCGACTCCGATGATGGTTATCCCGATGCTATTCAGGAAGAATCTGAACCCGTGTCACGAGACGGTTCCGATCACAACTCGCCCACTACCGGCGAGCCTCCTGTCTCTGAGTCAAGTATGATGAACGAGAGCTTTCCGGAACAAGAGGCGGGCTATGAGAATGGATCATATAAGAGAACCACGGCACACGGTCGAAACTCCTCCGACAGAGGCAGACCGACCTACGCAAACGAACGGACTGCTCTCCTAGGAGACCGCAAGTCTTCAATACAGTTCGGCTCATTGAACGATGTTGAGCGACAATATGCGGAAGATGATAGTAGTTTCCACAAGAAGCTGAGGGCCACAGCTGGACGAGCTCGATCAATTGTTCATGTGCTGTGGCATCCAAAAGCCTGGAACCGGCGTACCATCTTTGAAGAAGTCATCGTGCATCCGGTCAGTCTCCTGCCGGCTGTTTTCTTGGGTCTGCTTCTCAATATCCTGGATGCTCTCTCGTACGGAATGATCTTGTTTCCATTGGGGCACCAAGTTTTCGAAAATCTGGGTTCGGACGGCATAGCTATGTTCTATGTAAGCACGATTGTGGCCCAAGTTGTCTATTCTTCGGGAGGTTCGGTCTTTCGAGGTGGAATCGGATCCGAAATGATCGAAGTGGTTCCCTTCTTCCACAAGATGGCCTTCACGATCGTCAACAAGGTCGGAGAGGAAAACACGAAATCCGTTCTGGCAACCACCATCTTGTCTTTTGCCGTCAGCGCCATCCTCACGGGCGTGGTTTTCTTCCTTATGGGAGCCTGCAAATTAGGATCTCTCATTGGTTTCTTTCCACGGCACATTCTTCTTGGCTGCATCGGGGGTGTCGGCTGGTTTCTTGTTGCGACCGGCATCGAAGTCTCTGCCCGCCTCCCCGGCAATCTCGAGTATAACCTTGATACTCTCAAGCAGTTGGTTCGAAGCGACACCATTTTCCTCTGGATTATCCCAGTACTGCTTGCAATCATTCTCATCATTGTGCAGCGTTTTGTAAAATCAAACATGCTGGTTGGCGGCTATTTTCTGTCGGTTGGCGCGGTCTTCTACTTTTTCAAGTTTGCCCTGGGCATCCCCATGGAAACGTTCCATTCAAGAGGCTGGGTTTTTGATCCACCACCTGCCGGGAATCCATGGTACCATTTCTATACTCTGTACGACTTCAAGGCTGTTCACTGGGGGGCCCTGGCAGATACCATCCCGGCCATGTTCGCCTTGACATTTTTTGGAGTGTTGCACGTCCCCATCAATGTCCCAGCACTCGGCATCTCAACTGGTGAAGATAACCTCAATGTGGACCGCGAACTTATCGCCCACGGCGTGTCTAATTGCCTGAGTGGACTGTTTGGAAGTGTCCAGAACTACCTTGTCTACACGAACAGTCTTCTCTTCATGGACAGTGGCGGCAACGATCGTCTAGCTGGCTTGTTGCTCGCAGTCGCAACTCTTGGCATCTTGTTGGTCGGGCCCGTTATTATCGGTTACATTCCGATCATGGTTGTGGGCGCTCTGATTTTCTTGCTCGGCATCGAGTTGCTTGAGGAGGCCCTCGTTGGTACTTGGGGCAAGGTCCACAAGCTTGAGTATGCCACCATTGTCATCATCGTTGTTACCATGGGGGTATGGGATTTTGTGGTCGGCATCTTGGTCGGCATCCTGCTTGCGGCCCTAAGTTTTGTGGTTCAAGCATCGCGCAGAACAGCCATCAGGGCCGAGTATTCCGGGGCAGTTGCGAAATCTCTGGTTCGCCGGCCGCCAGTACAGCTCACGTTCCTGAAAGAGACCGGTCAACAGATCTTCCTGATGAAGTTGGCTGGGTACTTGTTTTTCGGGACTATTGTCGGAGTGGAAAATCGAATTCGAGCTCTGCTTGCGGATGATTCTTTCCGAGACCGACCGCTCAGGTTTGTCATCTTGGACATGGCCCAAATCAATGGCATTGACTTTTCAGCTGCCGAGGCCTTTACCAGGATCAATCGGTTGCTGCAACAGCGGGGAGTCGAGCTCATCGTGAGCAGTCTAGATGTCGATGGCGAAATCGGTCAAGCCCTTCACAATGTGGGCCTCTTCGCGGCAGATTCGAATGTGTCTATCTTTTCCGATCTCAACGTCGCCCTGGAACACTGTGAGAATAAGCTGTTGACTGCGCTGTATCGACAACAGGAGCATCGTCGGACCAAGCGCGTGGCGATGCATCTTGATGTTCCTCGCAGCCGCAGCCAAGATCTTTCACAATCGTACAAGGCCGAGTTCATGGGCAGTTCGCCACGACGAAAGTTCCTTCATCAAGTCGCCGAGACCGCTCTCGACGAAGACGCCTTCAGCACGAGCAAATGGCAATCCTTCAAGCAGCCACTGCCTCTGTTGCTTCAGATCTTTGCGGATTTAAGTGACAGGAATGAAGACTTTTGGTATCGTGCCACCAGATACTTTGAAAAAGTGACTTACCCGCAAGGATCCATTCTGTTTAATGTTGGTGACCGGCCAAATGGCTTCTATATCCTCGAAGAAGGCATCTTGCGCGCCGATTACGACATGCCACAAGGCAGATTTTCGGAGCTCATTGTCGCCGGACGGCCCTGTGGGGAATTGCCGTTCTTTTCTCAGACACCGCGCACAGCCACCATGACAGCAGAGAAGGATTGTATCACTTGGCAACTGGATCGACAGAGGTGGCATGAAATGCAACGACAGGATCCCGATGTGGCCCAAGAGTTACTCACCATCGGTCTGAAGCTGACCAAGGAGAGAATGGATGCGATCACGTCTTATGTTTTGACGATGGCAAGCTAGGGATAGGCAGCATCGCACCTCGTTATACCCAGAAGGCAGGCTGGGAGGTATTTTCAGAAGCTTGTATATCTGTATATACGCCTTGACGCTGAATTGAACAACACGAGTGGGCTTTTGGTGCTATATACAATCAACATTAGGCCAACGGCACGTCTGCGTGCAAAAGTAATGTTCTGGCAAGTTGCAGTCAACCCTGATTAATTATTCAAGGATAAATGAATTCTAAACAGTGGCTGTCCCTTACTAACCTGAGAGAACGCCGCTCCTGTTATCATTACAACCACTCAAACTAATATGTGACACCTTGATTAGGCAGAAATCGGGTGTGGGCTTTGCGGGCTTCCCAAGGCTCAGGCTTGTCGGCGCCCCGCGACGGGATAAGGGACCGGCGACTGTTGGCGCGAGGGTGTCAGAAGTCTTACTGACTTGAGTTACGTTTCACATTTTGGACTGCCTCCTTAAGCGGGCCTCGTGCTCCGAGTCCTTGGCCCGGACGAAGGCTTTTGCGAAGCTTAGGAGGACGACACCAACATCCAATACTAATCACCGACACTTTCAGCTGTCTGCTTCAAGTCCTGCAGAGCATACTGAATGACATCTCCGTAGTCAAATCACATTGAGTGGTCTTGAATTTCGTCCCAATATTAAATGCCTCCCTTTCTCAGACGCTGTCACTGTCTGAAGACTGATGAGAACCCACGGTGGACCTGAGTCGGAGGAGAAGAAGCTTCTGCTGCAACGATCGACGCCGAGTGGAATTATTTGCGAGCTTGCAAGAGGATTACCCAGCAACAGAATAAATTGGTCACGCACTACCTACTGCTGAGGAGATTTAGCGGGGCAGACACTGTTTGATTCTTGAACATCGAAGTCTTCACCAGACGCTTGAAAGGGGACATATAGCATAGACAAAGTACTCCGCAATTGCGACCACGACATCGTGATCAGCACACCATTTCAAGACCTGGACAATAATAATCCCCGAAGACGATACCTACTCTTAATATGACGCCAGGGAGGCTAGAAAGGCGAGATGCAGACAGTGCTCGAGACTGAGCAAGCTGATAAACGAGACACCATTAGCGCGGACTCCGAACATTTTGAAGTGAAGGGAGCATACCTCTCACCGCCTGTCGTTGACCACCTACGCGCCTTGGAATGGGGATCACCGGGCTACTTGAGGGAGAGGGTTCGCAACAGGCCTCCAGAGTCCAGACAGGGGAAGCTAGCATGGCAGACATATCCTACTCACGTCTGCTCTGGTCCACAACTTTACAGAGTATAACCCTCGGCATGTGATGGCTGCAGGAGGCACGTCACCCGAATGACGGTCGCATGACCAGCAGCCGTTTCCTGGCATCCTCTTGTCACTTGGGTTTGGGAGGTGACAGGATCCCTTGCGAACGCCACAATATGTCGTCGCTTACCAGGTGTTCCAGACCCTGGAGGTAAAGTTGCAGGCTTGCTATCGCGCTTTTCTCTGCCAGATGAGGAGACGAGGCACTGGAGGTCAATCGAGAATCAACTGGGTTTGGGCTAATTACATTGAATATACGGGAGTCAGGGACGCCATACTCCGTATTTCACGCCGAGAATCTCACCTCGCTACCTATACGCAATCTTGAAACTTCTGACGGTACTACATGTTTGATATTCATCTCGATGGCTCTCTTCCTCCGCCAACCCAAGATGCCTGTACGCGATATTTCCCGGCCCCCCACTACAACGAATAACGCCATCAAGGTCTTGGACGGAAAGAGGACGGCGGAGCGGGGATGGAGGGGAGGTCCTGGATCGGCGTGATGATCTTAGGAGCGGTACTTCGATACTGGTGCGAAGCAACAGCTGTCATGCGATACATTGGCAGTACGGAGTGGCTGACTGGAGTTGAGCGTCGCTACGAGAACCCTTGATCCCGGGAAGAAAGGGGGACGTTTCGGGCTGTTGACTGCCGCTGTGGAAGAAGTGGTTCATATGCAGAGAAGAGAGATGGATTCTGGTGTACTCTATACTCTGGATGTGTTCACAGCCACCCACTCCGTACAATGTTCGCAACATGCTTTCAAAACTATACAAGTGCAGGCACTCCGTACTCCATAGTAGTTCAGATTCGATTGGATTCTGCGACAGTGGCGGACAGGCAACGGGAATTGACGCTACAGAAAAGGCGTTGGACCCGTCGTGGTAGTGACTGGTTCAGTGGAGTAAGATAGAGACGGAGGTGGGTATAGTTCTGGGTTGCTGGAGGCTGTGTTCACGTCTTCCAGTTAAAGGGCAGGGATGGTGGGCCTGGGTTGGCCTGCTAGTTTGCCTGGCAATTAGTGGCCGTGTTAGGCACCTTGGTCCCTGTTAGCCTGATGCCTAGTGGCCTCCAAATCTCTTCTCGCCGGTGCTGCGCTGCCCTGACTGGCCACTGGACAAGGCCGACAGAACCCCCAAGGGTGACCCAAAACAAATCCCCCAGCCTGGCAAGGCCAAAAATCTTGGATCCCATCATCTCACGCGCCTTTTTCAATCTCGCTCCCTTTCTCTTGTCCAATCCTATCCTCCTCCTCACTGACAGCCCTTCTTCTCATATCCAGAGGCTTCGCTTCACACTCTTCTCTTCACCTTCATATTTCAACACACTCCCTCACAGACCATATTACCTGTGTGCGACAAAACACTCAGTAAACTTATTCTACGTTATTGTCGACATATTCGACTCTACCACCACCCCTGTTCTGTTCAGACACATTCTCTCTGTCTGAATTTGACCTTCTAAATCTACATTTTGCCCTCCGCAATCCCTGAATCCGTCTTAATTCATCACACCATCCAAGTTCGACTTGATCAATCATGTCTGTCGAAGCCCCCAAGTCCGTCGAGGAGACTCCTGTCGCCGAGACCTCCAAGCCTCTCCCTGAACAGCCTGAAGCCTTAACTGCTCCCGTGGAGACATCGGCTGCCCCCACTGAGACGACCGAAGCTGCTCTGGCAGCAGATGCTACTACCACGGAAGAGCCTGTCGCCCCAGCCACGGAGGAGGTGAAGAAGGATGAAACGCCCGCAGCGCCTGTCCCTGCTTCAGAGGGTGTCTTGGGATACAAAGAACCCACCCTGTTCAAGTATGTGTTCCTGGCGTGAATGGCCACAAGTGAACAAGACGAAATCGCAGGCTAACATGTGTGATGTGCAGGAAGTTTTTCTTCACCAAGCACTACTTCTGGTTTTCTGAAGAGCCATCGACACCAGAGTCTTTGGCCACTTTCCTGCGCTCAGAGAAGGCTGATGCAAAGCATTCAACAGCCGCATGGGCTCGCGAAACCGGCAAAGGGCTGCTGTTTTTCGCCAAACGCGTCGAAGACAAGGCGACTCCGGTTGGGATCATCAACCTTGTAAGTAGCCGTCTCCTCACATGATTCTGTCTATAATAGGAGCTGACGGGTCTTGTCCAGGCCGATGCTTCCAGTGTCACCAAGGAAGGTTACAACCTCTTCAGTTTCAAGGCTGGCAGCCACCAGCACCGTTTCGAGGCCACCAAGGCTGACGAGCGCGCGAGCTGGATCGTTGCAATCGAGAAGGCTATTGAAGAGGCCAAGGGTCTGAAAGAGGAGATTATCGGACGTGAGAGCTACAAGAAGAACGTTGAAGAATATTGTAAGTTTATACATGATTCTCCATGACCTATTGGTTCCACCCATGATCGTCGGCTAATGCAGCTCTAGCCAAACCTCCCGTTATTGCTCCAGCCGCCGCGGCCAAAACTCCGCGCTCGAAGTCCAAGGAACCCAAGAAGTCCCTCGAGGTCAACGCTGCCGCCACTGCTGCAGCTGCTACCACCCCGGCCGCCGACAACTCCAGCACCTCTGCCAATAGCGCTGAAGAAACCCCCAAGGCCAAGAAAGAGCGCTCTCAGTCGCGCAAACGTGGCAGCATCTTTGGAACTCTGCTTGGCAAGAAGGAGGAGCTGGCCGAGAAGAAAGAAGAAAAGGCCGAAGCCAAAAAAGAAGTAAAGGAAGAGCAAGAGACCGAGGCGGAGGAGAAGAAAGAGGAAGCCAAGGCAGACGAAGAACCTAGCAAGGCTGTCGAAGCTGCCGAGGCTTCTGCTGTCGCCGCTGCTGCCGGTAAGTTGTGATTGTCTGCGTGGATGCGATGCAATTTATCTAACACGATGTAGCTCCAGTTGCTGCTGTCGCCACCGACAAGAAAGAGGACAAGGAGGAGGAAGCGCCAACTGACAAGAAGGCCAAGCGAGGTTCTGTCTTTGGCAACTTCTTCAAGCACCGTGTGACCAGCCCAACCTCTGAAAAGACCGAGAATGAAGCGACTACAAGCTCGGATGTCCCCCCTGTGTCGGAAACGGCGCCCAAGCTCGAAGAGCCAATCGAGAACAAGCCAATCAACACCGCCGACGTGACTGCTCCAGTGGATGCCGAGACGTCTGCTGCTCCAGCTGAAGAGCCTGCAAAGGATGCGACTCCCGTTGCCGCCGAAGCCTCCAGCACCCCCAAGACAGAAAAGAAGGGTGGTTTCATTGGTTTCATCAAGAAGACCGAAGCCAAGTTGGAGGGCAAGAAAGAACACAAGGAGGAGGCCAAAGAAGAGACCGCCGCTGAAGAGATTGCCAAAGACCCTGTTGCGGCCGCCAGCACCCAACCCACCGAAACGGCCGTTACCGATTCCGCAGCCGAGACCAAGGAAGAGCGTCCTGCACGTGACAACAAACGCCGGACGTCGCTGTTCTTCAACAAGAAGAGAACCGAGGCCACCGATGGCGAAGATGCTACCGCCGAACAAAAGCGCGAGAAGTCTCCATTGCCAGGCAAGTTGATCGGCAACCTCGTCCGCCGCGCTAGTAAAGCGGTGAAGTCGGAGGGGCCAAAGGACAAGCCTGCGGAACCTGTCACCGAAACTGCCACCACTGCCCCCAGCGCTCATGAAGCGACTACGGTCTCGGAGACTCCTGCGCCCGTCGCAGAGGCGTCTGAGCCTAGCCAAATCACTGGTGACGTTGTCCCGGAAGACCTTGTCTCCAAGCCCGAACCTGCGACCACTAGCAGCACTGCTCCAGAAGTCAAGGCCAGCGCTTGAAGGTCCAACGAGGTCAGAGACAAGACTCCACGCACATCCCTGTCACATCCATCTCGACTGTCTGGAACGACTAGCCCAGTTGAGTTTGAGAAGTGGTGGGACGAGAAGAACTACAGCAATCCTTCGCTACCTCCTCGCAGCCCTTCTCGTCTCTCTGGCCTCGTCGGTTGAGGTGGCGCGACCCGGATTCGATCCGACGCCAGATTCTGCATGGCTTGCTTCTTTCTTTCCGCTTTCACCACCTTGGTCCCAGTTTTACGACAAACTCGAACAACACTCATTTGCATATGTTTTTGTGTGCTTTCAGGATACCCCCCACTACTAGATCGAAATTGGTTTTTGTTGTTTGGTCGATTGTGCGTTTCAGTACAGATACCCCGCTTATGCAAGTCTGGTCCTTACGAGAAGAGATACCCCCTGAGAGCAAGTGTGCTACTGGATGAAAGGCAGAGAAGCGGCAGTGGGAAAAATAGGAGGCTTATTAGTCCTCTCTATCTTCCCAATGTGGGGATTCCCCTGAAATTTGGAAATTTCTGTTGAATGCTGGAACAGGTCTATTTTGGAATGTCGATATTTCAAAGCAAACCAACGCCATACCTCGACTTTGTCAGAGAACGGTATGGTGCGATAATGGAGCGAAAATGGGGAAATGCTAAGCAGATGGTTCAGTAGCAAGCACAGCATAGCGAGTTCGGATAGTAATAGCTAATACAGTATCAATCACAGTTGTTTCCATGTGTTTTTTCTATGTATGGAAAGTAGTTTTGATTTACTTTCAGGAGTAAGTACGAAGCAGACACCTGGATAGTACCCAGCCCATCAGCTCTGATAGTAGTAATTGGTCCCAGTCCAGTCAGTACGTCCGACTGTCTCGAGTAAATGCCTGGCTAAGCATACTTGTACTCCGTACTATACTAGAGATTACACATTATATAGTAGGTAATTATATGGTATGCAGTGAGTCTCTCCTACTGCCAAGTGAGGAAGTGAGAGGTGAGAGGTGAGAGGTGAGATTCTTGTTCTTGTTGAAGGAGAGAGGAGAGGAGAGGAGAGAGTATGAAGGAGTGTTGCGATCCTCAATCCTCATAACCATAAGGCTCTTGTCCAAGTCACAAGTCACGTGTGCTATGTTACAAGGCTACGCCAAGCCTGTTGCCAAGCGTTGGCAATCACGTGAGTCTGTCTAAGATCACATGATGTCATGTGACTTACAGTGTGACACTCAGCCGAAATAGGCAATCCAGCTTCCTCAAACAGACCTTTTTATATTTTCATCCCCCAATTCTTTTATTCTATTCAGGTTCGATTCCCCGGCCCGGAAAAGTACACTTCTATATGAGTACTGCACCGTAGCTAGCGACTTGGAAGGTTGAGACTGACGAACGTCTATCTTCGATCTATATCGCATGGCTTATGAGACACACTTGACTACTATGCTCATACTATTTTCTCTTCTTCATCATCCTACATTAACATCATCCTCCTACATTAAGGCATTGCAATAGTCTCAAATGAAGCACGAGGAAGCAATTGACGGTAGTGGTGGTGGCGGTAGTAGTAGTAGTAGTTCACAGCACACAGGACACAGCACGCATTGTACAGATACACATCGTATAGGTAGGTAGATAGGTATAGTATCGCTTAGGCTTAGGCTTAGAAGCCATGTCCGAGTCGGTAGAGTAGAGTAGAGTAGACTGTAGTAGTGGTTGTAACTTATTCCGTCACGTTGTTTCACAACATGGATAGCTGGGATGGATAGCTGGGATGGATAGATGGGATGGTCATGATGGGATGGTCATGATGGGACGGGATAGATGGGATAGAATGAGAGATAGATGATGGGATGGATATCGTAAACCTCCAGTAAACCTCTAGTACTCCCTATACCTCCAGTACACCTCCAATATACCTCCAGTATAGCGAAAATCAAATCAGGGACGACCTCGTCAAAGAAAAACAGACACACACAGCATAAGAGGCATAAAGCGGACTTGGAAAGGGTCAAATAAACACCGAGACACACAGACATAGGTACACATGCAGACACTGGAGACCAAAGCAGCAAGACATAAGCAGACAGGTAAAGAAAGATACAGACACAGGAGACCAAAGCATCAAGGCATAAGCAGACCGGTAAAAGTTACAAAGATACAGACACAGGGAGACGCAGATGGTAAAGATCGAGTTGAATTCGCGCCTCCAACTCAACGAATATAGACGTCGAGTTGGAGACAGACGTAATCACGTCTTGCATGAGCTAGCTATCTGCAAACTAACAATAAAGAATGACTGCATACATCGCTTTCACCCTGTCGGGATCCGCAACGGTACTTTTGAGGATTGAACCACGTTCCGAAACAGGCCACGAGTCAATCCCATCCAGAACCCGAAGTGTCCTCGTCCTCGTCGACCCCAGAGGTGACATGGTGACATAGGAAAGTCCAGAGTATCGTGAATGGGAGACGGTCAGAACCGGCCATAACGTGTCCAGAACAACAATCAAGCAGGCAAGAACAATCTGGCCTTCGCGCCCACTGCTACATGGGCCAAGGCCTGAGCGTGTCTTGCAGAAAAACCATAGCGATGAGTTTTTGGTGGGGGAAGCCTGGGAATCCCAAAGCGAGAACCTCATCAACCCCCATGATCGCTTGAACCAATAAAGACAAGAACGATAAAGAAAAAAGGGCGACGTGGCGGAAGGGGAGAGGCAGCCCTACTGGCTTCAGCCCAACAGTTCCCCAACCCCAAGGCGTCATGCTGCTGCGTCTGAATGCTCCCTGAGTAGGAAGCGACGACAGCTTCATTGTGGTCCGATGCATTGTAATCAAACCAAGCGTCAAGGTAAGATTGATTTCCTGTCCTCGATCATCAAAACACTCCGTGATTGGATTTCCGCTTAAACTGCCGCATCCGGGTCGGCTCCTAGACGATAGATGATGGCCCTGAGTCGTTGAATCTCCGACTCGGCAGCTTCGGCGGCTTCCTGCTTTCTTTGTCGAGACTTTCGAGCAGCAGCGGTGTTCTTCTTCCTCTTGGCAGTCTCCTTGTCGTCGTCACTGTCGATCTTGATTTCTGTCAAGACTTTGGAGCGCGACTTGGATGAGGGCTTGCTGATGCCGTAAGTTTCCGAGTGTTTGCGGCCATGGGCGAACGGCACCGACGGCGGCCGGCCAGGAGATGATTTCTGCCTAACCATGGGAAATGCAGTGGCAGAAGATTGCAGGTCTGCGCCATTGAAGCCCGACTTGACTCGAGAGGGCTCATTTGACACAACAGATTTCTGAGCAAACTGATCGAAGCCGTTTTGGGGAAACAGTGGTGCCAAGTTGTCTAGTTCGCCAAAGTTCAACTGGCCATCTAATAGTCCATCTTCCAACGGAGAGGTGTTCAAACCACTACTGGCCATAGCCGGAGACTCAAGGTAGCCGGAGTCGGGCGTACTCAAGTTGGGGAAGGCAGTAGATGGCGGGGCCGACATGATGATAGAATCATCCTTGAACAGATCCGACGGTGAAACAGTACCATCGTTGGGCGTGTACGCAGAGGCAGCGGCGTAGTTGGTTGGCTGGAAGTTGGTGTCGAAATCCAAGAAGTCATCCTGGGAGGCGAGAAAGTCGCCTCCCGGAAGGAAGGTGGTGTCAAAGACGGTCGACATGCCGGCTGACGAGGTTAGTGTTCGGTTCCGGTGAGGAAGCTGTTCGCGATTCGTACCTTGTGATACCGTGGGTGCCGAGTTGTTTCTATGAGTGATTGTTGAGGGTAAATCAAATGGAGGAACAGGAGGGAGTTGCTGCAGATGAGCTAGTTGACGCAAGCTTTGTTTCTGTAGACGTTGGTGTGACAATGCTGGACTTGAGTAAGACCGGTGGTTGAGTGACGAGTGGAAATGCCCGAAAGACGGAGACTGATTAGACTGGACTGGAGACACTCTGCTGCTGAGGGAGAGATGTCTGGGTTGAGACAATCTGTGGGGTTTAGGGGCTGTACTCGATATCGCCTGCGCACGCGAGGCTGTCGGAGAAACTCGAGGGAGGATCTCCGGAGCGGCGAAGAGCTGAAAGTCCTGGGTGAAGCTGTGGTGATTCTGCGGTGCAGCGGGTGATCTTGGGGTTGAGGGACGCCATTGTTGCTGTTGATCCGTGGTGAAGGATGTATAATCCAACGCGTGAATGGTTGCGAAGGTGAGTGAAGAACTCGTGCTGAGGGAAGCGACGAAGTCTTTGTTCACAGGGACTCCGGGTGGAGACTGTGGACGGGGGGTGAGGTGAGAGTCAGTTTGTTGTAAACGGGGAGAGATGACTGAGTCTATCTTGCCGGTGAGCGAGACAGAGAGGGGACGAGAAGATCAAAGTGACTCCATGTCGTGATGAAGTCCTGATGCTGTTCTGAGTCGATGAGTGTTTGTGGTGATGCGGAAAAGAGAAGGAAAAAAAAGGGAAAATCAGGCAGCAGGCACGGGGCAGGAGGAAGTTTAAGTGCGGCGGGCAGCCGGAGCCTGCGCCAGTGTGCGTGAACCGCAGTGCGCCTTGGCAGGGTGGGTCTGTCGCGGGCGCTAGTCCCAGTGAGCAAGGACCCACCACGGGCTGCTGGTGATTGGGCCTGGCGTTTGAGGCCTCCTTAGCCCGCCGCTGAAACGGCTCACTGGCACTGACTGGCACTGACTGGCAGTGCACCTGTCCAGTGTCCAGCCCGCGTTTGCAGAGGGTGGCAATCTGACAGGTGACAGGGCCAGGATGCAGGATGATTGTACAAGAGAGTAAGAACAACAACCAGATAACAGCGTGTTCTTTCACAGGACCGAGGATTGAGGACAGCCAGTGCTGACCAACTTGAAGGCGGACTAGCACCTTAGCACTCTCCCGCTCCCGTTCCACCCCAAGGCAGACAATTGTAGTGGTACATCGACGCAACTCTATTCCCCCCATGGTTGGCCCACGACGGCCACAGAAATACTGTACCACTGCCATTATGATTGATCGGGGCACCTAGCATCTAAACTACGGGCACCTAAGCTGGCGGATGGCGGGCGAGGATGAAACAAGTTGCATCGCCGTGGTCGAGTTGACAGTTGACTCATAATCGGTGGAGTCTGCAGCAGCCGCCGGACCATTCAATGAGCCCTGTTAGATGCCGGTCGCAAAAGTGCAAGAAGCCCGAATACGAGGCACTGCAGTCGCATTTCCGCGGTCTCCATTACCAATTCGACGCCCTTTGGCATGATCGTCAACTTCAGCAACATCTTGCATTCTGCTACGATAAAGACAGTCAACTTGTTTCTGGCTTGCATACTGTGATAAACGGAGATATTACTCTGTATGGATCGAGGACACAGGGCTCTCCCAACTAACAAGTGGTGTCTGCTATCTGGTGTGGCTTAATTTCCCCTTTCTTCTCCATTGTGACTCACAGCTTGAGCCTCTAAACCTGTTGCTATCTGGCAGCCAGAACTGACCACTCACCACCGACCACTGACCACTCTGGAGTCTGCAGGCCGCACTGCACCTGCATCTTGTTTTCCATCGTTCGATTGGGAGACGCCATCTCATCTTTCTTTTGCTGCATGCATTGTATGGCTCCGTCGAAATTCAGAGCCATACCGCGTAAATTCGCTCCAAACCCCCGGCGGGGCCCTAAGGCCACAGTCGATCGATACCTTACCTTACCTTACATGGGCACCCACACCACCCACACCAAAGAGGCTGTGCGCTGCATGCACCGCGCCTTGCAAGACTTGAGCCGTCGAACCTGTGGTCAACACCATATCCCCTTCCCTTCAAGAGAATGGATGCTTATCGTGTTGTTCCATCGCCAGCATTTCTCGCGGGCAGCCTGAACCCTCGTTGTGCACTAATTACTGCGACACCATGGCGGCTTTGATTCTCTACGGGAGCTAGTTAAAGTGCTGACATAGTAGTACACGGTTGCCATCGACGTCACGGTGCAGTGAATGCATTTTATAGAGTACGGATCTATTATGGCACACGCAGTAGTAGGTAGTAGGACTAGGCGGGCAGTATTAGTAGGCGGCCGCGAGGGACACGGAGGCAGCAGGCACTCATCGAAGGCTGAAGCAGTCAGGTGGCTCTTCAGCCCTACCGACCTGGTACTCGTAGGCTATGGTCAGCCGAAAGATTGCAGGCCTTGCAGCGACTGGTAAAGGTTCCTAAGGCCTGGCCCGGCCCTGTCATGTACCTACTTCTCGACTGCTGTGCTTGCATCTCGCGATATTGCCGTCGTCCTCTCCGCCATGCCGCCAATGGCTAGCCTTTACATAACAAGCTCAAGGAAAAGTAGTCCGAGAGATCGGATTTTGATTGAATCATACAGATCAACTCTTAAACCATACAGGATCGTACGACGACAGTCCACGCCAGTCCGCACTCTCAATCGCCGCCCTCTAGTCCACCGACGTCGGCAGCTCCGTGACCAGCGCCCTCAACAACTCCCACGGTTTCTGGTCCACAACATCCGGTTTCTCACCGCTGAGCATCTCCATGACCTGTGCGCATTCCGCTCGCAAGACTGCATCCAATAACTCGTCCACCCGCTGCCACTCCGCCCGACGGTTCTCGTCCGCTCCTTTCTCGTCTCCCGATCCTCGCTTGACCAGATTGCCTTGCGCGTCTTCCACAGTTGACCGTAGCTCCTCGAGCTCTCGTTGCAGCTCGCTGCCTTCCTCTTCCGCCCAGTGGATCTGGCGGCGCAGCAGGCGGAAATATTGCGAAGGAGGCAGACTGCGCTCGTACTCGTCCATGTCCTCCCAGATCTCCGTTGGCCAGTAGTCTGGAGGAAGAGGTAGAGTGAGTGGGACACTGTCGACATCGACAGCATCGGCGAGTTCCTCTGAACCATCGGCGTCCGCCATTTCAACGTCGTCAGGATTGATTCCCATCAAGGCTACACTGTATCTGGTGGGTAACGCAGGAAGATCTCCTACCAGGGTACCTTTCTTATCCCCGTTGGTCTTGCCGCCCATTGTCAACTTTATTCTCTTGACCGTGTTGCCAGTGGGCCCTCCGTTGGAAATGCCTCCCGTATGGCCTCTGGGCACTGGATCGCTCGGTCGCAACGCCTCAGTTTCATGGACGGTACGCATGTGCTTAGCTAGAGCGTCGGATCGCGTGAAACTGCGGTCACATTCGGGCAAAGAGCACATAAATGGCTTCTCCTTGGTGTGGCTTCTCATATGTGCTTTCAACGCGTAGGCACTGGTATGAGGTTGGCCCTTGCGAGGACATCCATCCCACTCGCAGTAGTATTTCTTTTGGCGGGGAACAATATGTATGTCATTGATGTGGGCGACAAGGTTGTCCATATTGCCTTGCTCCTGGTCTGTGCAGCCATCCCAGAGGCATTTTGTCACTTGAACATAGTCTGCCAATTCGGGATTGTCAGGATTGGCCTGGGCGGCGGCGTACGCGGTCGACAGAGGGTGAGTGGGACCGAGATGGGCAAAGGACGGTGAAGTTGGAACAGAGCCTGAACTGTCGCTCGATATCGATCCTGTGGGAGATCGAGATCGAGATCGTGGAATCACGACGGTAGAACCAGATTGAGGAGTGGCATGGTCGTAGCTAGATGCGCCCGTCTTGCGGCGTTTAGCTGGAGGCATGTCGAGTGCTCGCGCCGTGGTGCTCAAGGGAGATGCCAGATCATCGTCTGATGCAGACACCGTAGAGCCTCTTGAATGCGAGCGCGACCGATTGTTGAATTTGACATCTTCAGGAAAGTCGTCAGAGTCAATATCTGACAATGGAGACCCCGAGTTGGGGGTTTCCGAGTCGGGATCCATCGCGCCCAAACGTAAACAAAAGGCGCGGTGATAAAGGATGCGAGTCTAACAAATTGGCCACGGTGAAGAGGATAAGTTGTACTCGAATCTCATGGTGACGGGGCTTTCGAGTTGTTGAAGTGTCAAGATGCCCGTCGCTGCAGAATGGGTGCAAGGAGCAGCCCGCCAGACCTGCTCTGTTCAGAAACTTTACAACACGCTAAAACACCACACATCCAACGTTGTCGCGTCTACCGAGTCCAGAGTAGCGAGGAATTGGACTGACCACGTCGTCACCAGTAACTATGCCACACAATTCTGTTCAGTCCATGTCCTGCAATGCGCGTGAGCACACACACTCTGGTTTAGACAATCTGAAGGCACAGTCTCGGATCACGGCCTCGTGTCGTATGGTGCTATGTGAGGAGAGCGATGGACGTAATAGACATGTTAGGTCGGGCTCACTCTACCTGCTTACCCCTTATGGAAGGTTGCAACCCGTACGCCTCTTCTGCGCCTTTTGATCCAAAATTCAGGTAGGGTGCCTTCGACCGCTTTCCTCTCATTTCTGTTCCTGTCTTAGTCCCTTTGGTGCCATCGTCTTTTGTGACAGACCGTCAAGGTGTATTTAGAGACCAGCAGCCATCATTTATCCATGGAGGGAGGAGTACGTGGTGAGAAAGGGAGGCAAAAGTAACGGCGCAAGACATTGACACACGTATAATTGATACTCCTCAATTTCCAGCACTATTATTACCACTGTGTACATATCCCAACCCCCGAAGCTTATTGAGGATCCAAGCGCGACTGCGACCAGGCCAGCAGACGGGAAAAAAGCGAGGCCAAACAAGCATGTCAAGTGCCGTGGCCCGGACGGGGTTGGCCTTCCATCACAATGCGAAGCTCTATACGCTGTCGACGTCTGTGGTGGCGGTGACGCCATTCCAAGCCCTGGCCGAGACGAACCGGCAGCTCTTCAAGACGGGCAGTGACGACGACTTTGTGGTGGTGACGAGTGAAACCCTCTTCCACCCGCAAGGCGGCGGCCAACCGTCGGACACGGGCAGCATGGAGTCGATGGACGGGGCCACGTTCACCGTGTCGGCGGTGCGCATGGACGGCGAGCACGACGGACAGGTGTTGCACCTGGGCCGGTTCGGCGGCGAGTCACAGCCACGGCGGTTCAGCGCCGGCGAGCGCGTTACGCAGTCGCTGGACGTCGAGAAACGCCTGCTCTACTCGCGTCTCCACACGGCCGGGCACGTGCTGGGCGCGGCGGTGCGACACCTGCTGGAGGCGCAGGTGCCGGGCTTCGACGAGCTCAAGGCCAGCCATTTCCCGGACAGTGCGGCCTGCGAGTTCCAGGGCCTGATCGAGGGCAAGTGGAAGGACGGCATCCAAGCCCGCGTCGACGACTATGTCGCCCGCGCCATGCCCGTCGAGATCGACTTTTGGTCCGAAGACGACTTCCGCGCCAACGGCCTCGCCCGCCTCATTCCCTCGCCGGACAGCGGTCTCGGCCTCGCCCCCGGCGAGAAGTACCGCGTCGTCAAGATCATAGGTGCTGAGGTCTATCCTTGCGGCGGCACACACGTCGACTCCACCGATCTGTGTGGGAAGGTCGGTGTCAGGAAGATCAGTCGGAGTAAAGGCACCAGTCGGGTTTCGTATACCGTGTCCTGAGATCGATTGTTCTGCTCATCTGTTCACTGTTTGCTCCTGGGCTGGGCTCTGCACCCACCAGTGTGAGCCTGACACTTTTGTGGTCGTCGTCAATCTGTCGAGTTCGTTGCACTTAGATGCACATAGATCGAGGCCTTGGGCTCCCTTTCCGGGCCTTACATGTGGAATACAAATCCAGTCAGTCAATTGGTTAGAACTATGTCTCTGTACTGTATTCGGCGAGCTTGTCTGTCGAGGCCGCCAGTTCCCTAGGCGTAGATAAGATGCCATGTAGAAGCTGATGGTGCCGATTCATTTCTCATTAATCTACTCTAATCTTCCTCACTTTTCCTTTGATCGGCTATCCCCTGTGCAGGCTTCCATTCATAATGATGTTTGCCCTTGACCGGCTCGCCGGGCCCTTCGGATCTAAGGTCGAAGCTATGCTGGCCGAAATAATCCAGCTCGGCCTCCATAAACTGCGTCGGCAGCTCTGTCGAGCCCGAGTATTTGTAGAACTCGAGGGTGGCGCTCAACGAGGGAATATATGCGTCAGCCTCGAGGCTTTTGAGCACGACGTTTTTCAGCGCAGGGAAGCACTTGACCAGTTCGTCGCCGAGCTCTCGATTGGCAAGCAAATTGTCATTGTCATGGTCCCCACGCGCCAGCACTCCATCCAGGAGGTCTGAGATGTAGCCGCTCCTGATGATGCAACCGCTACGCCAGATCTGCAGGATTGCGCGGTAGTCGAGGTCCCACCCTTTCTCCCGATCCATGGCCTTGATGATCTGGAGGCCCTGCGTGAATGAGCAGAGGAACGCCGCATACAGAGCAAGCCTCAGGTCCTCGAGGAACGAAGGTAGCGCTTTCTCGTGCGGGACTTCGAGTTTGATGATGCCCGGGGGCACGCCGCCATGGAAGGATGTGTTCACGGCCAGACGGCGGGCTGCATCGGCCGAAGCGAGGCGGAACAGATGGGCCGAGACGATGGTTGGTGCCGGCACGTGTAGACGGATCGTCTCCTCGCAGGTCCAGACCCCCGTGCCCTCGGAGTTGTCGACATCCTGCACCACCTTGTCGAGGACGTTGGTGAGGACGAAATTGCCGTCCTTGTCCTTGGTGCGGTTGATGTCGACGCCGATGGAGACGAGGAAGTTGTCTTCTAGTGGGCCGTCGCTGTTCCAAGATTCAAACACCTCTGCGATCCGCTCATACTTCATCTTCAAACACCTGTTCATGATGAACCAGACCTCTGCGATCGCTGACATCATCCCTTGTTCGATACCGTTGTGCACCATTTTCACGTAGTGGCCACTTCCACCAGGCCCGATCGCCGTGACACACGGACGGCCTTGCCTGTCCTTGGCCGCGACTCGCTGCAAAAACGGCAGCACCTTCTTCAGCGCTTCCGCGTCCCCTCCAGGCGACATGGACGGCCCAGATCTTGCGCTCTGATACCCGCCACTGACACCGCATCCGATGTAATGGATCCCATCAGGCTCGAGTTCTTGTTGTCGTCGTTCGGTATTCTGCCAATGCTCGTTCGCGCAGTCAAGGATGATGTCACCCTTTTTCAGGTACGGCCGTAGCCCTTGAACGATCTCGTCGCCGGCGGAACCATGCGGCGTGCTGAATACGAAAAGCTTGGGTGAGTTGGCTGAGGAGAGGCTTTCACAGAGATCTTTGTAGTCTTGATGCCGCAAAACACGGTCATCCAGGTGGATTTTCTTCACCTCGTCTTCCAGAACGCGGGCATTGTCTTCTTCTATTCGTACTCCATGGTTAGAAGGTCGACTGACTTGGAACCATTGAAGAACTTCCGATGAATACCACGTACCGGGATCGAAATAATGTACCTCAACACCATGCTCGGCATATAACAGAGACATCATTGCACCCATGCTTCCTACGCCAATCATGCCAAGCTGTATTGTCTCAAATAGTCAGTCCCGTTCGGATTGGTGGCTGACGCTATCCAGGCGTGGAGGACCATTCTAGGTCGTGAGGAAAAGACACACCTTTTGGAACTCGGGCCCACTGGCTTCATCCATCTTATCGGTTGAACAACGCTCCCTTCTATGCTGCTGTTGAGATGGTCGAGGTTGCTAGAATGCTTCCAGGCTTCGATGTCTTCGCTGTCGATAGTGGGTGAGTCGCGTCTTTTATCACCACCTAACCACGGAAATGAGGAGGCCGTCGGAAGCTGATATCCGCATGACTGCGTTAGCATCAAGTATACTAGGTATTGCTTACTCGAGATCCTTCGAGGTTGACGGGGAAGATCTACGCAATCAAGGTGGTCCCTCCACCCTCAACTGTCTGCGTCTGACGCGTATGTGACGTCATGTTGCCCACCAGCTTTGGTGGCTTGATGAGCTTCTATTCCATGTCACATGGGCGACGACGTCTAGAGGAAGACAGGAAGCAAGTCAATGCGCATTTGCACATCGATAGGTGACTAGGACACCCACAGGTCTCTTTTGCCCATTCCAAACCACTGCTCTCTGAGGAGATCTTGCCATATGTTGTGAAACGTTGAGGGCGCCCAAAGACTGGATCAAGGGAGTTGGTTGATGAAGCTGCAAGTATAACAGTATTCGATCCTCTGGCTCGAGAATGGCGGAATTCAAAGGGCAAAAAATCCCAGTCTGTTATGCCTCATGTTCGATAGGCCATGACGATTCCAAGCACACGCTGCCGGCGAAGCTCGAAGCCATCGCGAATGCTGGATTTAACGCCATCGAACTCTCCATGCCCGACATTCTGGCATATGGTCAACTAATCTCTGAAAGCAAATCAGAAATCGACCCCAAAGACTACGCAACACTGCAATCTGTGGGAAGAGAAGTTGGGAAATTGTGCGAGAAGCATGGGTTGAAGGTTTTGATCTTGCAACCGTTTGCCAACTTCGAAGGCTGGCCCAATGGAAGCGAAGAGAGGACGGATGCCTTTGAACGGGCCAAGGGATGGATGTCGATCATGGAGGCCGTGGGAACGGACATGCTCCAAGTAAGTGGCGAGTTTGGGTGGTCCAAATCTAGGGGTGCTGACAGCGGGTAACAGGTTGGGTCATCCGACGCCGAAGGCATCTCCTCCAGCTTTGACGACATGGCATCTGACCTGGCCGAACTTGCAGACATCTTTGCGGGTAAGGGGTTCAAAATTGCGTACGAAAATTGGTGTTGGGGCACGCACGCTAGCACCTGGAAGGATGTTTGGGAAGTCGTCAAAAGAGCCAACAGACCAAACCTCGGTCTGTGCCTGGACACCTTCCAAAGCGCTGGTGGAGAATGGGGAAGTCCAACCACGAAATCAGGCTTGATCGAAGATGTGGACAAAAGTGAGCTGGACCGGAGATGGAAGGCTAGTTGCAAGGAACTCTCCAAAACCGTTCCACCAGAAAAGATATTCTTCTTGCAGATTTCCGACGCATACCAGGTGGAACCTCCTCTCGCAGACAGGCCGGACGAGAGTGGCCTGAGGCCGCGAGGTCAATGGAGCCATGACTATCGACCCATTCCGTACGACGGCGGATATTTGCCTATAGAGGACTTCACCGAAGCAGTTTTCAAGACAGGCTTCAGGAACTGGGTGTCGATGGAAGTTTTCGATGGCAAAGCGCCGGACAAGTATGGGGACAACATGGAGCCTTTTGCACACAAGGCGTTCCGTTCGCTGCAGAAACTTCTGAAGGCGGCCGAAGACACAGAATGAAGGTTGCCTGAAATGGCACCCGATTTGCTTGCATGAGTGATTAGGAGAGTAGCTAGAAGTGGCCCCAGTGCAATGTCCTCAAGGGGTCGATTCCTGTCAATTTCCATACGGTCCTGGTGGTCTGGATACAATGCAGGTACGTGTCTTGCTGTGATAGACTAGCTCCTTCGACTCGAATGGACAAACAGAGTGTTGTGTTCGAAATCCGCCTGAGCAGTTCGAATCTGGTAGTGAGACAGTCGGCGGAGTTGACTGCAGTGAAACCGGGATGCTCCAGAATCACGTTTTGTCGTTGCACAGCAGCAAAAGCTGTCCAGTCACCAGAACAGAACAAGGTGTAATAGCTACAGATGAAAGCTCGACTGCTCGTGGAAAGGTCTTGTCATACACGTCAGCATATCCAGCTCGGAATGTCTCAGCCTGTCAAGGAACCTCGCTTCCTAGAATTGTAAGATAAGTTATGGTTTGGCCTGGATCATCCCGCAACTGCAGGTGAGGCCGGCAGCACTTATGCAACATCCTGCCTGACGCGGTGCGGCAGGTAAATGTTTGATTGCATTCCGAGCCGAAATGGCGTAGACAGGGGGGGTGACGCGAAAATGTCATCAGACGCGTCGGTCGGTTGTGGTGATTGTGATGATTGTGGTGTTCGACAAACAGGATGTAGCCCATGCATCATCGGCTCATGCTAGTCCGGAGTACTGGTATACTAGTATTAGTAGTATTAGCAGTACGTAGTAAAGCTTGGTCAGTGTGGCAGCGAATATGTTGGCTTATCGGGCCGCCTCTGATTTCCACTGCTCTTGGAGTGTGAGACTGAATCGGGCGCAGCCTTGCAAAGTGGCTAACACTTTGGCCAGAATTTGGTGGATCTCCGGCCGGGTTCAGGGCTTGCTATCCCTGTATCCCTACATCGTTATAGTCTCTTCGAGTGATTCAGAATAATATAAGCTAAGGGTGCAGCTACATGTACCTCCCTTCTGAGACCAGGTTCATCGATTCTTGCCGTGTTGGACCGCGACGACAATGATCGGCGGTGGTTCAGCCCGATGCAATCTCGGAGCAGTAGCCAAGCTCAAAGCTAGTACTGCGTACTGTACACTGCACAGTATCCGTATATAGAAGGACGCCTGGATGTGGCCTTGGATGGATGCATGCGCTGTACGGATATGGTTGGAGGAAGAAGCATAGAGCGACAGTTGACACTTGCAGGTGGAAGCGAGGTTTGAATGAGGAACCCTGCCAGGCCAGGGCGATAGTGGTCTGTAGAATAGCTGCGAGTACGGAGTACTACTACTTAGTACTGGGTATTCCTATGTAGTAGTATGTACGAGGTGAGAATAGGTGAGGGTTGAAGGGATGAAGCCTGAAGGGATCCGGGACAGGCCTATAGGGCCTTAGGGCCTTGGCATTCTACGGTTATCGAAAGCTAGTCGTAATATGGACTAGCGGCCTAATCTCCGGGCTGCTAAGCTTCATCGCGTCGGCTTGATCAAATCTCCTCAACCTCCGACTCTCCGACATGCTTGACCCTGCTCTACTCTGCAGTGCCCTGTTCTGCTCTGCCCTGTCCTCAGCTTCATCAGACGAGCCTTAGGACAAAGGGTTATTCCCTACCAATGCCACTGACGTCTCGGCGCTGTCCCTTGTTTCAGCCTGCGTTCACGTTCGCATTCGCGGTCGCGTCATCGGACCCCTGGCCAAATCGACCGCCCTAAGGCACACAATCTGTTAGTGTTTGTCAGCCCTACCTGGTTCGACATCAAGATCAAGCAGAATTCCCGTGGCCGGTTCATCTGATTTCCACACAATGCCCCAAACCCTCGAGGCAGCGATGTCATTGAGGATCATCGTGACTATCGAACGACCGTTGGTTGACTACCGTGGCCTATTGGTGAGGGTACTACTAGGTACGAGTAGTCTGGACACGGATGGTCGATCTATCTTTCGGTCCAGAGCTTGGACCTGAGGTATGACTTGACGTGTGCAACGACCCTCAAGAAGCATTCTGGTGTCGCCCAAGGTCGACCGGTTTCCCACCTGAATCCAGGAATCTGCCGCTAGGAATCTGCCCCTAGGAATCTGCCGCTCGACCTGGGATGCTGGCCTAGGAGCTTATGGTGTGGCTTGCAGGGACCACGCTGCACTTCCTCCGACAAGGTTTCCTCGACCGCTCCACTATGCAAGTCACTGCACAGTCCACACGACCCGAACTTGGTAGGATATGTATGTTCCTGCACACTGAGCTTCTGGCAAACCACCAACACGGGCCAAAAGTTTTCTAACAATACCAACGGAGAGTCGGCACCGATGCATATGCGGAATACTCACTAGCGATTCTCGCCTCACCTCGTTCCCCGTCGTAGGCATCCCGCTTCTCTTCCCGCCTGCCCTCTTGTATATCATCGTGATGCTTCGTCTTGCCCCAGAAAACCTCCCCAATGGTACTCGCTTCCTGTCCCCCTTGCTTCTTGTCTATCCCTTCCCCTTCCCTCTGAGGAATGAATGCTGGCGTTGAGGTTCATCACATACAATCGATACCTTGTCTGGCCATGCCTTCTCAACCCCCGGACAGTTTGAGCGTGGCTATTCCTCCCATTCACCCTCAGAACGCCGACACGCAAGAGCAGACCGCAGGCAAGATGCCGTCCGTCACGGAAAAGGGCATGCCAGGTGCACAGAATCCTCCAGGGCCGCCGGGTGGTCCTCCTGGACCTCCTGGAGGTTGGCTTTGCCAAAGCATGTCGTGGCCGCGAGAAATCCTGTTCAATATCATGGTGGCTTTCCTTCAGCTGATTCCACAATCGACCTTGACAACAGTCTTCCCAGTGAGCCATGATATCGCCCGATCGTTTTCTATCGCCAATCCTTCGGTGCTACCGTGGCTCGTCGCTGCCTACGCCGTGTCTTTTGGAACCTTTATCCTCATTGGAGGACGACTGGGTGACATCTTCGGCCACAAGACCATGGTGGTGATTGGTTATTGCTTCCTCAGCTCCTGGAGCGTTGTTGCAGGCCTGAGCCACTATGCAGGATATGAGCTCTTCTTTGTCGCAAGAGGATTTCAAGGTCTGGGCGCCAGTCTCATGGTGCCAAACGGTCTCGCTGTGTTGGGACGAACTTATCCACCTGGATCCAAACAAAAAATCTTCGCCTTTACACTGTTCGGCCTCTGTGCACCAGTCGGGGCGTACCTGGGTATGATCTTCGGTGCGCTTTTCACCAAATTCGCCTTTTGGTGGTGGAGCTTCTATACTCTCGCCATTGTGAGCTGTCTTTTGGCTGTATTGGCACACCTTGTGCTGCCTTCCCCACCACCCACACCAAAGCAGTTGCGCCCTGTCCGAGAAAAGCTTGGAGACATGGACTGGCTTGGGGCCATTACTGGTGTTGGTGGCTTGATCTGTGTCCAAGTGTCTCTGGTCTCAGCACCGGCCTCCGGTTGGAGCACTCAATACATTTTCATGCTTCTAATCATCGGCTTCCTGTTGATTGCTTTCTTCATCGTTGTCGAACTCAAGGTCGCAGAACAACCACTTGTCCCATTCAAAATGCTCAGGGTTGATGTCGGATTCGTTCTCGGCGCCGTCGCGTGTGGTTGGGCAACATTTGGAATTTGGACATGGTTTCTTTGGAAGTTTCTGCTAGGGATCAAACGAGAAAGCCCGCTCGAAGCTGCCTTGCATGTGGTGCCGATTGTGCCGGTTGCATTGATTGCTTCCGTTTTGACCGCTTGGATGATGCGGAAATGCCGACCGTCATGGACCCTTTTCTGGGCATTGGTCGCATTCACCTTGGGTCCATTGCTGCTGGCCATCGACTCCAATGTTGATAGGACCCGATACTGGACCTGGACCTTCGTCAGCCTGATCGTCATGCCATTTGGAATGGACATGTCCTTCCCGGCTGCGACATTGATCATGTCCAACTTCTTCCCGCCCCACCAGCAGGGTGTAGCCGGTAGCCTCATCAGCACCGTCGTCAACTACTCCATTTCCCTTGGTCTCGGTCTGGCGTCCACGGTCGAGGTCCATGTCAATAACCACGGCCGAGATCGCCTGGCTGGCATTCGTGGCGGCTGGTTCATGGGTGTCGGCCTGGGAGGGTTAGGAGTTGTGATCAGTGTTGCGTTTGTCATCAAGTCCATCCTCCATCCGACCTCACCACTTCCGAAAGGGCCACCTCTACCCAATGCAAGTGGTCCAGCCATGCAAAATAGACCTCAAGAGCCTTTGCAGCGCAAGACTCGTAGCGAAACCACCTCGAGTGGAGCGACAACCATGGTCCCTGATAGTGCAGGTCCAGTGGGCTTCCAACAAAGCGAGATGGAGCTGTTCAAGTCATTCAATTTTGATACGTCACCATCGACAGCCACGACCCCGAGGCCACGGAGCCGGTCTTACAGCAACATCAACACCACGACTCCGCTGAGTCCTAACGCCATTTCCACCTCATCGCCATCACGGGCAAAGTCGAGAGAAACCTCGAAACCAAACATCTTCCACCACCGCCAGGACAGCTTCTCGCCTCTCCACTCCCGATTTAACTCCGAGTCTCAGTTGGCCTCCCACCCGGCTCAGCCACCAACATCCCAGTCCCTTCCAAAAACGCAAACCCCTCTCGAACTCGACCCCGACTACGGCCCGCGTAGTAGTTGGGAGAGTGAGCAAGAGGAAGGCTACCGGGCCGCCGGCCAGCGGAGTCCTCAGCTCCATGATCGAGATCGACCGAGGTCATATGAAGCCAGGTTTGTGCATGGATCTGAGCGCCGCGATGTGGACGGGTTTGGATACGATTCTCGTCCTATCATCCCACGGCAGATAATGGGTGACAGATTCTAGTTGCGCTGGAATTAAGCAGAAGCATGGACAAATCAACAACACAATACAAGATTCATGCAAAGACGCCGTCAGCATGGTGAGGCATCGATGGATGAACCAACGAGCGTACGGATGAATGGTACTGTGCATTCGACATCTCACTCATGATGCAGCTTCACGGCCTTTACTTATGAGACATGGGTTGGGTATTCTGCGGCGGTCTGTGGTGGGTTCAGGACTTTAGGCTAGGAATTGGACTTGAAGTTGAGATGGGACATACTTTGTATGTACACTTGGTGGCTCAAGGTCATGGCTGAAATCGTAAGACGGAAATGTCTAGTCATGGACCCGATAAGTTTCATTTGGGATGGGGGAATCACTCGCCGGGTTGGCACTTGCAAAGGAAAGGGATAGAATGAAAGAGGCGTGTTCTGGGACGGGATGAGATGGTTGGAATAGGACGGACTTTTCTCGTCCTCATGTCCCTTGATAATCTTGATACAGATCCCGGCTTATACACAGCTCTAGTCCCTCGGATCTCAACAAGAGGCCCCTAAACAATGCCCCTGGTCCTGCAAGTGGGCTGCAAGATATTCGTACCCAGTACCCATCAGATATGTCGCTTTTACATGCGAAGTCTCCCATACCGTACCAAAATAAGACTTGCATGATGGCGTCAATCTTGGGATGACCTCTCTGACTACCATCTGTATTACATCTGGATAGGTGTCTCCTTCTTCGAGTTGACATCATGTCGTCTTTGAACTAGAACTAGGACTGACCGCCGACAAGTCCTGAACTCGGCAAACCATCTGAATCAACTCAGGTGGGATTTGGTATAAGGAGGATTGTGGGTTTGCGGTATTGGAATCAGGACTAAGCTTGGAAATACTTGTCATGAATGAACGAATCCCAGAGGCGACTTCTCAACACCGGCAGCTTCATGGGTTGGGCTTAGGGGTCTTTGTGGTATATCTGAGTCGAGAGTCAGTCCTTCAGCTTAACGGAACAATGGCAACGTTTGTAGATGTGGTCGTATTACAGTCGAGAGATTTGGCTCATACTCTTTGTATAGCAGTTTAGACGACCATGTTTGCGTTCAGGAAAGTCGTCACTGAAAGTCGTCACTGAAAGTCGTCACTGAAGTCGTCTGATGCTCAACCTCACTTCACAGAGTTACGCGATTAGCATGTATCCTCCACCGCAGTGGGCCAGCAGTTGCCTCTATGCGTCGCCGGAGGGATCAATACAGACTACTTAATACAATCATGGAGACTCACAACTGTTGTCGCGTTAACATCACAACCATCTCAACACCAGATTGTTCTGTCAAGCACCATGGCTTCTACGGCATCTACGGTAAAAGCCTACAAGGGCTCTTCAGACCAGCAAGATGTTGGACGAAAGTCTTCCACTCCAGGTCATACGCGACGTTCCAGCCTGGAGGGTACTGGCTTCGAATCCTCGTCAGCAAGCCTTGATTCACCACCCTCGCCCATCGAACAATCATTCACTTACCTAGGCGTCTCGACTGCCGAGTCACCGCTGCCACCGCTGCCAAACCCTTCACCTGCTCTCTCACTTGTCATCAACAAGATCAATAATCTTCATACCTGCCCTCTAGATTGGTCGGAATACAACTTGAGTGAACAGGATTTCGAAGAACTGCAGTTACGTGAACAGAGAAACGAATTCGGCGATCGGCACCTGCGGTATTTCATATTTGACGAGATCTTGAAGACGACATTCGCTGACCTTGAGTCGTAGATACGACTATTCTCCAGCAAATCGTACCTTCGCCCTTAGGATGCCGAACGGCGCGCCACACGAGGTCTTGACCCGCGGGACTGATATCGAAGTCGCCTTAGCCCTTGCCCAAATACCTTCGCAAACTGGCATTTCGTCGACAGCCGCCGAATTTGTGAAAGGGCTCTGCAATAGAGGTTCCACCACTATTTGGTATCCGGATCCCTTTTCAGCGGTGGAGGAGAATAAGAAGAACATCGAGCGTGCACCAGATGGCTCGTGGGGTCAATTGCCCATGATAAATGTCTATCCAGCCTGCATCTTTGAAGTTGCAAACTCCCAGACTACGAAGTGTTTAGAGAATCTGGCCAGAGAATACATTTTTGGTACACGAGGAGCCGTCCGGACCGTGGTTGGCTTTGACTTGGGTTATCGGACCAAGAAAGGAGCTAAGATGTCGACATGGAGAGTAAAACTAAACAGCGAAGGAAGTCTCATTGGAATCACCCGCGAGATCATGGTGGTGTGCAACAAGGATGGACAGAGAAACCAGGACCCGGAAGCCGGTCTGCGTCTCTCGCTGGAAGATTTCGCTTTTTCGAGACCAGCTGGCACCTTGGACGGCCTTGAGAAAATCTCTATCTTCATCCCAGTCAGCCGTCTCTGCGACATACTTGAGCAGGGTGGGGAAAGTCGTGGCATAACGAGAGCTGCTTTCCCACCCCCGGTATTGCCCCACCCGGCGAGGTCATCCCGTCGATACAATCTCAGATCGAGGAATTGATGGACAAGTTGCTACCAATTGTGGCCAAGGCAAAGTGCGTGGGAGAAACACGAGCATGTTTGAATAATGATTCACGATGTACGATTCAACGAAATGATCAAGACTAGCTAGCGATCAAGCGAAGCAATGAAGAACATTAGGGGCATATCACCCTAGACTTTAGAGATCAGTCAGATTTGTGCGATGATGGATTTGCATATCTTTTCTCTCCACCAACACTGGCCAGTGACCCCAGTGACATAGGATACACAAGCTCGTATCTCTAGAAAGTTAATGGTCGAACGCTGAAGAAACCGACACGAGTGGTTCCGGTGACTTGCCTTAGCGTTGATTCCGCCTATCAGATTGTTGGATTGACAGCGCGCGTCCTTCCAAACTAGGAAACTCGGCCGTTGATTGGATGCTTGTGCCTCCTGGACTACTCCGTACTAGATGGAGACGAGTAATCACTCGCATTTATAGTACAATCACAAGGTAGCCTTGGCATCTTACCTCCTGGGAGCATTGATGCTGCCGACTCCTTTCCTGGCGCGTCGATGACTTTCTCAAATGCACGCATTGCGGCCGCGTGTGGCCAGACTCTTCCCTGTTTCCTCATCACACGCCGCTCGGGGACGATCGGAAAAGAACATTTGGCCGCAGGAAGGGCTCGTCTTCGCGGTAGGTGCGCACCGGGTGGCTGCCGTCCGGCGTGAAGCAACAACTCGCCCGAGCCTGTTCGCAATGCCACGGCTGCCATGGTTGCAAGTCTGTCCAGGGTACGATGCCGATATTGAGCTGGTCGACCTCGGCATCTTTACCCACATGTGCAAGTTTCGACATCTACAATCGAAAATGACTTGAGCTTCGGCACTGCGCAAGAACGACGATGCTAAACCGTTCGTCACATCTATGTTGGATGAGATCAAAAGCTGGGAAGGTAGAATGAAGCTTTTGCTGGGGGGCAAGGCAGCCTGGGGTTATGCGCATGACGAGACCTGTTTGAGCTTGAGACTGACTCGATGAAGCATAGAAAAGACGACGATGGAGGCTATTTTAGTGTCTTGTGGTTACGGTGCGGCGGTGCCGTACTCGAAGTCCATCTGGGAATGTCGTTGACTCCAATATAGCGGTGGGCCCCTTCAGTGCCTGCTGTTCCACTTGCCATGCCTTTTGCACTATTCAAAGACTCGGCACCTGGCTCCTCGATGGGTCGATGTAAGTCACAGCCTACGCTTACTCTTTTTGATGGAGGATGCTCATCATACTAATGGATTATCGACTATAGACGGGTTTTGAGTTCCAATCTGGTGTCACCCTGCTATGTTTGATTTGGAGCAATTGGGCGGCTAGCTAGCAAGTCGCTGAACGGGCCGTACGCGATTGTCGGCCGACTCTAGTCACCCTAGCTACAGAACCGGCTGTGGTGGGAAACTTCATCAACTGTATGGATGCTCTAGTGACGCTGCACCAACCCTAATCAGCAGAATCCAAGTAGTAGCTTGGAATATGTGTGCAAAAGGCCATTGATGCCGGGGTCGCCCCTCACATAGCGCAGGAACACAATATGCCATCTTTGAAGAATGGTCGAAGATGTGAACGGCGGCTTGGAGATGTGGTAAATAAAGACAGTCCTTCGCACAGGGATGATGTCTTGGAACCTGCCTTAAAGGCAAACGACACTCGCGAGTAGGCTCAATGAGTGAGAAGCATGCAAAGCGAAAGACCAATGTTGTCTCCGAGACCCAAAGCTGGCACCAAATCGAGCGGTCCGAGCAGATGATGAACATCTGTTGGAGATGACACAAGATTCAGAAAGGGTTCCGACTTCGCGTCCCGGCCACACAGCCTATACTATACTATAGTATACTATGACACGAACTCAAACACTCCTGGAGGTTGGAACTGGCCCCTGTGGATCGGTCTCCATGATTGAGAATCTACAATCCAATGGCATTTTTTCAAGGGGAGAGCTCATTTGTTTCTTGCCGTCCGGTCACCACTTACTTTACACACGTCCAAGTCTGGCTGTCATCCTCTCCGTCTCGACCTAGAAGCGGCCGTCCATCAAAAGGTGGTCAGGGGAATCAGGGGAGAGTCTGAGGAGTCCTTTTGGTGTGTAAAGCCTCTGAGAGAGACGAGCTGTAGGGTTTACCCCAGGCGCTCTCCTTTGCAGCTGCTACAGGCAGTGCCACTGCCATGATTTCGACATGATGGCTACTAGGCACTCGATATGCTTCCTTATAGTTTTGTCGAGGCGAGTTAGAGCAGCATGACACTATAGAGGCCAAGCACCCGGTGAGCATAGGGCGGCGTCAACATATTTCCGCATTGGGTAAGCTGTGCGTTCGGCGTAGACCCGTATCGCAAATTGCTGGTGGGAGTGGGAGGTCTTATCTAGCAACGCAGACCAGATCAACCGTCTTCGTCTGTACTGGTACAGCACAACTAGACCTACAATCGTAGTAGAAAGACTTGCAGAGCACATCAGGTAGAGCTATGTAATCCTACTTACTCTGTGCAGAGTACTCCGTAGGTACTCCGTAGGAGCTCCGTAGGACTCCGTACCCGGCCTCGCACACCCCCACCAAATCAAATCATTTCCATGCCATCTCCAAGAAAATTTCCCCTCGTGCCGTGCTTTGGCGCAAAAAGACTCATCCCCCACTTCACGTTTGCGCGGACGATTTCTTGGTAGCAGCCATTGACTCCGTTTCGAGATCTCGCTGTGACTCTTGACTCCCCATCATAGACATCCTGCGCGATGCTGCACATAAGATCGACTTGACCTTTGACTCTGGCGCCACTCTCATAGAAGGTCGCTCCTCCATCCTCTATCCTCTATCCACTCTCCTCACGCTCCTCCTCCGATTCTCGCCGTTCACCAGCTTCTCTTCAAAGTCGCATATTAAATATGCCTGTCACGCTCGTGCTAGGCTCGCAATGGGGCGACGAAGGCAAAGGCAAGCTCGTCGACATCCTCGCGTCGTCGGCCAACCTCGTCTGCCGTGCCGCGGGCGGGAACAATGCCGGACACACGATCGTGGTCAACGACGTGACCTATGACTTCCACATCCTCCCGTCGGGGCTGATCAACCCGTCGTGCCAGATCAATCTGATCGGGACCGGGTGCGTGGTACACATCCCGAGCTTCTTCAAGGAACTCAAGGCGCTGGAAGAGAAAGGACTGCAAGGGGTGCGGGAACGGATCCTGATCAGCGACCGGGCGCACGTGTGCTTCGACCTGCACGGCGTGGTGGACGGCGTGGCCGAAGATAAACGCAAGACGGTCGAAGGCGGCAAGGGGGTGATCGGCACCACTCGCAAAGGCATCGGCCCGTGCTACAGCGACAAGGTGGCCCGCCGCGGCGTCACCTTCTGGATGCTGGTCAACGAGCAGCAGCGGTGGGTGCAGCGCCTGCGCGACCTCGAGGCCAACTACCGTCGACTGTACGGCGACGCGGCGCTGCAGGGCTACGACGTCGAGGCCGAGATCGCCAAGCTCAATGGCTTCCGCGCCGAGCTGCAGCAGTACGTCGTCGACCAGACCCCTCTGCTCGCCCAGGCCGTCGGCACCAAGGGCGTCGCCACCACCTCGGCCACGGCCAGCTCCAACGGCAACCACCAGCCCAACATCCTGATCGAGGGCGCCAACGCCCTTCTGCTCGACATCGACCACGGCACCTACCCCTACGTGACCTCGAGCAACACCGGTCTCGGCGGCGTCTTCACCGGCCTCGCAGGCTTGTCCCCTCAGTCCCTCTCCGCCCCGGGAAGCAACATCGTCGGCGTCGTCAAGGCTTACACCACCCGTGTCGGCTCCGGTCCGTTCCCAACCGAACTCGACGCCTCCATATCCCCCGTCGACGCCGACTACGGCGAACGCTTGCAGCGTATTGGCCGCGAGGTCGGCGTCACCACAGGCCGCAAGCGCCGCTGCGGCTGGTTTGACCTGGTCCTGGTCAAGTATTCGGCCGCCGTCAACTGCTACACCCAGATCAACATCACGAAACTCGACGTGTTGGACGATTTCGACGTCGTCCGCGTCGCGACCCATTACAAAGTCGGCGGCCAGGTCCTGACCAGCTTCCCTGCAGACCTGGACGCCTTGGAGAATCTGGAGATCGAGTACAAGACCTTCAAGGGCTGGCAGACCAAGACCACCGGCTGCAAGTCCTTCGAGGAGCTGCCGCTCCAAGCTCGAGAATATGTCGAGTACATCGAACGCGAGGTCGGAGTCCCCGTCAAATGGATCGGCACAGGACCGAAGCGGGAAGACATGGTGGTCAGATGAATAACACTTTACGATGGAAGCGGATCAGGGTTGCGGCGTTGCTACTAGTCTCAACATGGTCAACGAGCCACGAGAGGACGATGCTGGTTTGGAACAAGCATATTATGGCCTGGACGAAAGCAAGACCGCTGATGTAACGGTGACTATTTCTCTGCTAACCGGCCGTCCAGAGCAGGGCTTATGCCGCCTGTACCCTACTTTTCAAAGAAAAGGCTATTATGACTGGGCTGCTTTTTGAAGAACTTTGTCCTCTGCGTCCTGGTACATACGTTTCGGGTGGGCCAGCTAGCTTTAGAAAGAACAAATACCAAAAGTGTTCCTGAGACCTATCAGATCAGGCTCTGGCCTGCATGCCTGACATGGTCCGTGAAGGTAGATATGATATTACTTGATTCCCGGGTCGGATGAACTGGGTGCCCGAGAGTGAATCAGTAAAAGTAAAGTAGAAAAGGGTGCGAGATACAACATCTCCGTTCGTCGAGAACAGGACGAGTTTCGTTTCGGATATAGCTCCAATGCCGATAGCCTCCAATTGCCAACGCCCTGCATGATCGCCTTCAGTCGTGGTGCACGCGCCAGGTATGTAGCCCTAATCCATGAGGACCAGACGCCATTAGTGCCTGCTCTGCCAGCAGCCCTCAAAATTCAATCATGTCAGGGGGGTACCAATCGCATGTGAAGCTCCATCTACAAAACGGCGACCACGGCCGCCATTGCGATGGCAGCAGCAGCAAAGCTGCCGACTTGTTTAACATCTGCCGCTGCATTGCCGGTTGATGAGGTCGTCGCAGCCGAGCTTGTAGCAGACGCAGAACCTGTCACGGAAGCGACTGCACCACCGGTGGCAGACGTGACGATCGTAGTTGTGCACTGGCAGTCGGAGTTGTAGACAGCGGTCGTGTAGACGTAGGATCCGCCGGTGGAAGAGGCTCCAGTGGTCGGGCCCTTTGAAGATGTCGAGGTTGCAGTGTAAGGAGCTATGCAAGCAAAATATCGTTCATTAGCTTGCGGGTTTCTCCTTGCGAGTCTGCTGCGGCACACGACTTACCGACGGAAGAACCGGCACCAGAGCAAGTGGCAATGAAAGCAGACTGCGCTACGGACTGGTTTGAACCACATATGCTGGCAATTGCCTTCTGGACATCGGTGGCCTCCTTGCCACAAATGGCTGACAGATCGCTGGGGTTGTCTTGTGTGTTGACGGCATTGAGCAGACAAGCTGGAGGAACATCGGCGAGGACTCCAAGGGCGGCAGCGAACAGAGCTAGGATGACAGAGGTCTTCATGGTGGAAAAACTAGACGGGGTATCACTGGTATTAATCGGGAATTCAAAGGCAGTCGAACTGGACGCGTGAAGATGGTGGTTGTTTGGTCGGTCGCGTGAAGGTTGCAGAGAGGCCGAAAACAAAGAAGTCGATAGCAAGAAGTGACTGGGAAAGAAGGTCGAGAAGGCTTGCTGGAGAACAGGTACAAACACAGTGCAAAGGAGTGGATATCGAAGATTTTTCGAAGTGTTGATGGAAGTCAAAAGTCAAACAGCGGCTGCGCGCCCTGAACTGAAGATGCAAAGTTGGGGAAGAAGCCGCAGGGAGGCAGAACCCCGGATTTGAGGCTAAGGCCCACGTGACCCGTCGCCGGAGGAAGGTTTCGCCGACCCCGCGTCGACCTCACTGGCAGGACTGGCCGGTGCCTGGCACTCTCATCCATTCATTTATTGTCTTGCTTAGCAACTGGTTTTGATACGTGGGGTTTGTTGTCTTATCTTGCATCAGCCACCATCCGGGCAACAGCAACTATAAAAACCACGAGGGTTGCCATCTCCCTGCACTGTATCGCGGTCTTGTCTGTTTCCAAGCCACGATCGTCTATCGTCTGTGACACCGCGGGCCATCCCATCTTTCAGCAGCGATCATGACCTAGTCCATTGCTCCTCACTTGATTAGTCGATCAAGTCCAGATACTTTTGACATATCCGGCTCTATCACATAGATAGGGAGGGACGTACGTTCCAGAGACTTCCTGCCTCTCACAAAGCCATTATATGGTCTCAGGACGGAGGTGTATTGCCAAATGGAATCCCACGTCCAGCGTCTGGTGGACCAGACTTGGGGTAGACCGTCCCAATGCCCCTGTTCCCAGTCTACTAACTCACACCAATCCAGAGAAGTTCTCGAAATACGACCTCTCGCAACGCCTGCTGATCGCCATCTCTGGCATACCGGGTAGCGGGAAAACGACGCTCGCGGCCAGTGTCGCCCGCGGGCTGAACAAGAAACATCACGAGTCGATGCACAGGCAGTTCCCCAACCGGCCGACAGGCCCGAACCCCTCGCAACCAGATATTGCGTTCGTGGTCCCACTCGACGGCTACCATCTGACCCGCAAGCAGCTGGCGGAGATGCCCAACGCAGAGGAAGCGATTTTCCGACGCGGGGCGGCGTTTACGTTCGACGCGCAGAGCTACCTGAAGTTTGTGATGCAGGTGGCCAGGCCACTGACCGCGGAGACGCGGACGTTGTACGCGCCGAGTTTCGACCACGCCGTCAAGGACCCTGTGGCCAACGACATTGCGATCCCGCCCACGGCGCGCATCGTGGTGTTTGAGGGCCTATACACGGCCTTGGACGCCCCCGGCTGGCGCGAAGCCCACGCTCTCATGGACGAGACGTGGTTCGTCGATGCCGACATTGAGACAGCCACGCAGCGTGTGGCCAAGCGGAATTTCGCCGCCGGCATCACCAAAACGTTCGAGGAGTCGCTGGCTCGCACCAAGGCGAGCGACATGCGGAATGCTCGCGATGTTCTGGACCATCGACTGCCGGTGCAAGAGATGGTGCCGAGTATTGAGGACGAGAGCTGGCGTAGCGAGGAGGTTCTGAAGCTCGAAGATGAACTGGATGCACAGGACAGCCAGGAAGACTACGAGAACAAGATTAGGCAGGAGAGGATGATGCGCATAGACAGTATTGCCGCTCTGGCCGCAGACGGCGTTGGGATGTGATGGATGGATGAGCGCAACCACAAAGGCCAACTTTGACGGAGTTTTGTTGTAGGAAAGGACTAGGGCTCCTTGGAACAAAGTCTGACCAGATGCAACGAGCAAATGGAACAACATGGTGAGAATGCTGTAGAGCGGTGTCGCAACCACTGTCGCTCCATCTAAGCGCCTATATTAGTGACTACCAGCTATTAGAGTAGTAGTAACTACCAGCTACAGTGACATGGAACTGGCATACGAAAAAGAATGAAGCTTCGCCGCCATCTTTTGCAGCTTACTCAACGTCTGTGCTGGATAGTGGATGCTGTGGTAGATGGAAAATAGTCATTGATATTCTAGGACACATGGAGCCTCCGATTCTAGGAGTCCGTCCCGTGTTCATCCCGTGTTCATGTCCATCTGAGAGCAGGACTACATTCGACCAGAACACCTCCACCTCCACTTCCACCTCCGAACCCGTGATTCGAACCCAGGACGACCTGCCGACGATGCCAGTGGATAATGAAGCTAGACTCAGACTCTCAGTGCTGTGTGCTGAGTATGGTGAGATGAGCCAGTAGCGAACTCCCGAGCACCTACGGGACGGGGGCTCAGCGTATTGAGAACGGCGCTCATCAAAACATGCGGATGCGCGCTTGACCAGAACAAGCTCAACAGTCGGTAGGCAGTCGGCAGACAACGAACGGTTGGGCGGGACGGGGACGTTGAGGTTGAGGTTGAGGATACAGACTTTTCGGCGACTAAGGTTTCGGTGTCAGGCCTCAGGCCTCAGGCTTCGGTGTAAGGCTCCGTTCGGTGTCAGGCTGCCGCGGCGACCGTTCCCCGACAACCTCCAATCCTATAGACAGCACGGCACAGGACAAGACAGCTACAGTAAGCTAAGCTAAGCTGCAAGGCTGTGTTCCTAGCATACCCTAGCATACCTACTGGACTATCCTCCGCACTATACTGCAAAATACTAGGTCGGAGGACATCGCGTCAATGCAGTGCAGTGCGTGTCGAGATTGGCTTCGCTTGACCCTTTCTTTTTCTTTGGGGTTCCGTCACCGTCGCCGTTGCCGTTGCCATCGGCAGAAGAAATGCCAGACCAGCAGTTTTGCATCGCCGTCGGCAGAAGAAAGGACAATGTCAGACCAGCAGTTTAATTTTGCATCGGATCGAAATCGCCCACCAGCTATCACAGGCACACCGACCAGACGACCCTGACATCCTCCGCCGACTTTGACTTTGACTCTGACTCTGAAGCCGAAATGGAAGATGGAAAATGGAGATGGAAATCTCGATCTCGGCGTTTGTCGAGCGACTTACCTAATTCCCAGTACATGGATACAGACACGGATACACACTCACAACAGTTGTAACTTGTAATTAGTGTACGAAGTAGTGTGGCATGGTGAGAGTGATAGGACTGGGGACGGGTACAGTTCTCCGTACTGCGTCCTTGACTGCAGGCCACCTGGTCAGCCTTAGCCTCCGTCGACCACGCGAGTCCGGTCGTGTCCTTCTCTATTTTTCCATGCCCGCCAATTTCCAGGATTTGATCGTGATCGTGATCGTGGTCGTGATTAATGTCAAAGGTAAGGTATACTGTCATGTGCTCTCCTCGGTATGAACCTACTTTTTCTGGTGCGGTGCGGTGCAGTGTGGTGTGTGTGAAATGGGTGTGTGCCCGTCCGTCCCCAACACCACAGTGAGGACGGGCCGGGAGCCGGGACCATGTATGTTCCATCGGGAGTCTGCTTTTGGTAATTCCACCGGAAGTCAGTCAGTCACTTAGGCCTGGATCAATATCGACTTTGGCTAGTTAATTACATGTAGTTAATTTAGTGGAACTGAAACATCGAACGTCTTACCAGTCAGTATTTTACGGAGTCAGTACTCCGTAGAGTGAGTACCCCAGTGCCCAGTGCCAGTAACCAGTGCCCAGCACCCTAGACTTGCCTGCGCGGGTTTAGTTACGTACGGAGGATACAGGCCAGCCCAGGCCAGCCCATGCACGAGGGAGAAAGCAACACATACGAAATCGTGGAAACGAAACCGTCGTAACGGCTCGGAATTGAATCAAGATTTAGTTGACCTCACATCATGGCTTTTCCGGGCACTGTGGCTTGCTCGGAATTGTCCATGGCAGGTACTCCGTATTCTGATTTGACCGTTCGACTACATGCGCCCTCTGCAACTACCTATTCAATAGTACGTACCTGCACCCAGTACGAGTACTGTATCACTCACCATCAATCCGGAACGGCCTGCAAGCTTCACCATACACCTACCTACCTACCTAAGGTACCTAGGTACCTAGTAGGGACTCTGTACACTGTACACTGCACTGTACGGATAATCATAGCCCGGGCACGGAACTTGGAAATCCGAAGCCAGAACGGAGTACTGGATTCGTCGGACCCGAAGGCAAGTAAGCCAGGCTGGCTGTCTCAGGCTGCCTGCTTGGCCCAAAGCCTTGGGGTCCCAACGCTCTAGAGTACTCCGTGTACTCCGTATACTCCGTACACTGTATCCGTATAGGTGCTGTACACTTCTAGAGTAGGGCTTAGGACTCCTCAAGGCTCAGAATGGTCGGTTAAATAGTCGAATCCACGGCATCAGCAATAGCCGGCCACTGTTCTCCGTACGAGTACTCGGGACGGAGTATCCGTATGGGTGGCACATGGATCAGGTGAAGAGCAAACTAATTTCATCGCTGGCAGCTGGAGCCTTAGCCTTGGGCCCCTCAGCCTGGGGCTAGGCTTAGGGGCCCTTAGGCAAGCCGTGCCACGCCCCAGGGGCGACTAAGCCGTCCCCGGCCATCGATGGCCGGCCTGTGGGTTGCCGCTAGGTGCCTTATCCGGGGTTGGGTCACTTGTCACTTGTCACATGCTTGCACAATTTGCCCTCTGAGCTCGAGTGACAGTATCAAGGTGAGGATTGACTCTGTACAGAATTAGATGCTTCTCTGATGGAAAAGATGCGCGCAACAAGGGATATCTGATTGAAATTGTATTTAGTACCATTCTAAATCTCAAATCTCAAATTTCTTCTCCTAGTGCAAGGGCGTTGCTATGGTGGTCTATGCAGCCAATTGCTGCTGCAGTGAAACATGCCATAGATCATCGTCAGGGCAGACCAGGTCCTCATGGCGTCGCCAGAGGTGGCCCAGCAGCTTGTTCGTAATCAAACAATTCACCGTCATCATCGTCGCTCAGAGCGCTGTAGTCGTACATTATTATCCCTGCCGGAGACTTGTTCTCTCCCTGTCCCTTCTCCTCCGCCGGACTGAGCCCCGAAGAATGAACGTCGTTGTCCTCAGCCTCCTTGACTTTTGCTGAACCCTTCAAGTCCTGCTCCACTTCAAACGCCAGTCGCTCGCCTGCAAGCGGGGATATCTTGTGAAGGAACCCTTCATCGGCTGGGTAGAAATCGTGCAGGGCGTTCACCTGCTCGCCCTCAAGCTTCAATTTGGTGTTGGGGAATTCGTCTGGCATCAGATGCATGGGTCCATCTGGGTTGAGGAGATCGTTCACCATGTCTCGTTCATGCTCTGTGAATCGCAGTCCCTGAATCAGACCACTGAACGGGCCACAGTGCAACTGCTCAAATATTCCCGCAGACGGAGTTGGGTAGCAGTCGCTGGAAGGGGTAGGAGACCGAGTGTCAGCAGTCAGAGCGCCGGGCGAAGACTCGTCATCCTCGTCATGTCGTTGTTGGTGGGAGTGAATTGGGTGAGTCTCTTCTTGAGATGGGGATTGAGTGTCGGGTTTGGGGCTGTTCGGCAGTGAATAGCGCGGACGATCCCTAGGATGGAGATGTTGCAGGTAGTTCTGCAAGATGGATGGCTCGATGAAGCTGGGGAGAAACGACATCGCTGCCGAGGTGGTGGTTGTTGTGCTGTCTGCTGAAGGCGACGTCGCTTTCCTTGAAACGACCACGGCAGGCCTGGAGTCAGAGTTGGAGCGCTTGACAGTGCCGCCGTGGGATTTGCTAGACAGTCGCCTAGGTTGAGAGCATGATGTTGTAAAACGCCGATGGCGGTCTGTCTCCGGACCTGCTGGTGCCGCTGTTCGATTTTGCTTAGGCCCTTGCTCGCGTCTTGGACCGGCCTCCAGGTCGAGCTTCCTCCTCTTGGGGGCGGGCTCGTGCCACCTGTTGCCTAGAGCCTCAAGCTCGGCCTGGGGGAACAGAAGGTCGACGAAGGACATGGCTGCTCGGGGTACTGGTATCTCAAGAATAGAAAGCACCGACCGAAGACACACTGGTGACTTGGTTGGGATAATAGCCGCGCTAGGAATCGGATGTGGGAAAGGGCAGAAAGTAGAAATCCCAAGGGGAGGGGACGGCAAAGGGTTTATACATCTGGGACTGGTCATCACCACCCTGGAAGCTGGGGACCCCGTGCCTTTTCCGGGGCTCAGCGCCCACCGCCAACAGTCGGTGCTTGGGCCCTAGTTGTGCTTGTTACGGCCGCTGACAACATTATTGACGACCATGAAATTTTCGGCCCGAGTCGGACACGGAAACCAGCCTTGTGCTGTCGCACGCAACAAGGGCCCCTAAGCCTATGAGGGCATACGCACCGGATCAGGGGACGGATTTTTCTCTTGACCCAGTCAAGGGTTGGCATGACCTGTGCGCTCCACGTCAGACTCCATACTGGGAAGAAGGATGATACAAGCCTAGAGCAATTAGTGGTAGTAAGCTGACGAATGAACAGAATGTTGGCACCATTGGCGGTGGCAGAGACACGCCAAACCACAAGGCCAAGAACCAGCAAAAAGCATCGCGGAGATGGTTCGGGGCCAGCTATCCCACAACATGGAGTCTCCGTAATTCTCCGTCTGTATGCGCGCCAGAGCCCACAGATTCTTGACTTCACTGCCTTGCTACAGCTTCCCCGTCTGGGGGTGGCGGTCAAAACCACTTGTGAAGGTGTAGGGATAAAATAGTTCATACGAGCGGCCAGGAGGAATCCCTCTTTCGGGAATGCACTTCAATACCAGATCGGATGATTCACCACACCGGACGGGCTGCGAGGTCTGGCCCGACTTGAGAAGGCTTTCATTCTAGTAGTCCATGCAGCCAGCTAACCGTGTTCGATACGCCAACATGTTTGTTGAATGTTTAGATCGGCTGGATCGGCAGGCAGAAATCTCCTGGTTCGATCGAGGCGGACTGAGCTCTATGGGAAAATTCTCTCTTGATGTGTGTGTCCCGCCCCCACCGACGGATGAGTCGTCGTTCGGTTCCGAACCCGTTGCACGTGTTTTTGTTCACGGAGAAGGCACAGGCGAGCGGCACAGTCAGCCATCTGCCCCTTGCCTTGGTAGATAGGGTTAGGTCGGATCCGAACAGTGGTTGTCCAATATCAACATCTGGAAATACTGTGTGCCTCCTGGCCTGAGCCATCCAGACTTGCATCGAAAGCCTTGTCGAGCGTTCCACCGGATATCTGGATCAAGCATACCTATGTTGATAGTCCTTTCCCCCATCCCACCGGATCTGGGATGTCGACTACAGACACCCCTCGTCCTCTGACTGGGGACTGCGCGGGTAGAGTTCGTGTTTTCGGATAAGCTGCTCTTCTTCTTCTTATTATTCACGGAAGACCACGAACTCCTGCTCCTAACATCTTGTCGCACTCTCTCTCTCTCTCTCTCAAACCGTGAGTTGGATGGGGTGGCAATGGCTTTCGATTCGACCGAAGGAGCTTCCTCGTCCGATCAGCTTCGTCCGAGAAATTTGTAAGCTGTCCGTTGATTGGCCAAAGAGCAAGCACGCAGTTCTGATCCCGTCGAAGAGGTAAATGTCAGAATGTCAGAATGTCAGAAAATAGACTGGGAATTGTGTATTGTGTAGAGCAGGTGAAGAATTTCCCCCAAGGCTTGTGTTGACTTCTTCCCGCCCGCAGCCTGCGGCCTGCACAGTGCATAGCTTAGTCACCCTCGCACTTCCACTGCGCTGCCCGTCTTCGACTTGCTGTTCTTGAACAACATTTACATATCACGTTACGCAGCCTGCTGGTGGCATACCTGTGATTAGGCGGATAGGAGGCGGCATTCTTGTGCTTGTGCAAAGCCTGCTTCCTTCATAAAGATTTCTATTTCCGAGCATATTCCCCGTCTCCCATCTGACCAACGGTCCAACGATCGCACAAATTGCCACACTCTCTGATGCCGTAACGCTGAACGGACGTTGGGTGGTCAACGTCTCCGACTTGGGTCCTGACTTAGCCATCTATTAGTCCTTCATCATGGGAAGAGCCAGGATTAAAGATGACAATTGGTTTGGAGTTGAGGATCCTCGCAAGAGAAAGCAGATCCAGGACAGGCTGGCACAGAGGGCAAGGAGTTCGTCATGCTATCGTGCAACTGTCACAATCCAGCCTACTGACTACCCGTCCTAGGGAAGCGCCTAGCAGAAGCTAAAAGACTTGAAGCCAATGTCCCTGCCACTGTCGCTGACCAGGGTACTTGGAGCGAGTCGCCGATTTCCGAATGCGAGACTGTTGCGCACAGCCTTGTTCCCGAAGTCCCCCGACTTCCCGGCCGCCTATACCAGACCTTTGTACCTGGCTGGATCAAGCCGGACATATGTCTGCACACATCGGTTTCTACATCTGTCTACGCTGCACTCTTCAACAATGGGGCCATGATGGGGATCACCTGTTCCTACTCTCTCCCGAGCAAGTCGACCCCCGTCGGAGCGGAGATCCCGGAGCCGCTACGTCCAACGGCTTTACAGCTGACTACTAGTCACCCCTTATGGTTCGACCGATTCCCATTTCCCAGCCTGAGGGACAACATGATCACCATGATGGGCATCATTGACGAGGAAGAGTTCCTGGCCGACTTATTCTGCCTCACGAGTTTTACATTGGACCCTGGCGCGCCATCCTGGGATCCCAGTGCCTGGAAGGTCGGCAAAGAGTTCTTTGCAAAATGGGGTTATCTATTCTACTAGCCTATCAGAAACGAGCGAGCATTGAGGAAGACTCAGGTATGCTCTGGTGATAATCTTCAGCAACACCGGCTCCTTCATAACCATCACGTCAAGCATGAACCATGGCGGCGATGATGGTTCTGACAAGGTCATGTGGAGCACTGGTGTTCGGACAGTGCCCAGTCTGGAGTGTGTGAACCTTCACCTGCTTCCACCTTCCTTCTCGATGGTTGCGATAAATGATCGTTGGACTTCTGGTGTCAGGATCAAATCATGCTCACAGACAATGTACGATACAGGGATACACTTGTATGCCGCATGCGTGAGCTTGCCAGCAAAGCTAGGTATTGACTGATATGGGATCTGCTTGACCAATTCGACTCCTTCTTCGCTAAGTCTATTCTTCAAGGCTACATACACACCCTTCACCCTTCGTCCTGGTACGTCATGTCATGTATGTCCAACTTTATCTCTGTGCTGATACCTTGTATCTATTTGTATTCATGTTCATGTTCTATGTTTGTTTGTACTTGTACATCGCCCGCTGTCGCAGTCTTATCCTAGCAGCAAAATCCAGGCCCAGCGCTTTCCTTTCGGTTTCGGTGTGTACAAAAGAACGGTTGGAAGAACAGTTGGTCGACGGACCTCAGACCTAACACGCAGCTCCTCGGTGGGAAGAGGCGGCAATTGGTGCGGGACGGGACGGCCGAGCGCCGATCAATCGATCGATCGAGCAGAGCAGAGCAGTCCAGTCCAGTCCAGTCCAGTCCAGTCCAGTCCTATCCTATCCTTACTTCAGGTGCTTTTCGTTGACCAGCACATAACGATAGCGGGCCTTGCCATCGACCATGTCAACCACGGCCTTGTTGGCTTCGGTCATGGGGACATTGTTGTTCCACGTATGCACGCCCTTCTCGGCGAACAGGTCGAGCATCTGCTGGATTTCCTTGGGCGACCCGATCATACTGCCGGTGATGGTGACCCGCTTGGCAATCAGAGCAAACATGTTGAAGCCCGGCACGATGTCCTCGGGGGCGCCGACTTGGACAAAAACGCCGTTCAATTTCAGCAGCTGGAGGTACTGTGGAAGGGGCATTTTGGGCGACGAGACTGGTCAGCACGTTAGCATGCGGCCAGTACACACGATGGAATTACCACCGTAGAGTATCACCAAGGGGAGGGGAGGGATTGTGTTTTTGAGTACGGAAGGCGACTTACCCGTCGACACAATCAGGTCCAGAGAACCAGCATGGTCAGCGGCCCAGGAGTCGGACTCGTCGGTGGCGATGAAGTCGGTGGCACCCATCTTCAGCGCATCGTCTTTTTTGCCCGAGGTGCGCGAAATGGCGACGATCTTGTCGCACCCGAGGGCTTTGGCGCCCATGATGCCAAAGTGACCCAGGCCACCGATGCCGACGATGCCGACCTTCTTCCCGGGCCCGGCGCCATGCTGAGTTAGAGGACTGAAGGCGGTGATGCCACCACACAGCATCGGGGCGGCTTCGTCGGACGGGATGGCGTCGGGGATCTTGAGCACAAACTCGGCACTGCCGCGCCAGTAGTCGGCATACCCGCCGTAGGCCTTGCTGCCGTCGGGCCAGCGGGAGTTGTAGGTGCCGACGTTCTTGGGGCAGTGCTGTTCGAGCCCGTCGGCGCAGGCCTCACAGTCGCCATGCTGGTTCAGACACGAGCCGGACTGGGCGCCTACGCCGACGCGGTCGCCCACTTTGATCCCCTTCACCTTGGAGCCCACCCGCACCGCGTGGCCGACAATCTCGTGGCCCACGCACACGGGATAGTCGGACGCCCCCCAGCCGGACCGTAGGGTGTGGATGTCGGAGCCGCAGATGCCGCAGTGCGTGATCTTGATGTCGACGTCGTTGTCGTCGAATGGCTTGGGCTCGTATTCCTGCCACACCATCTTGCCCTTGACCGACTCGGGATCCAGGCCGAGCCAGCCTTGGAACTTGTAGTCTGTCGACATGGTGTGCAGTGGGGTTTTGTTTTGTCTGGTTGGAGAGGTGTTGAAGAGATGATTTCTTATCTGGAAGGAGAGAAGATGTCTTATCTTGTTGGAGAGAGAGCTTCAAGAGATGATGGTAGAGTAGAGTAGACTAGACCAGACCAGCCGCAGAAGAAGGTAGTGGTGGTATAAGTGTGAGTCTGAATTCGAGGAAGAAGAAGGAATAAATATTCTGCACAGAGAGTGTGTATGTCCAAGCTGCCGGTTGCTGTGCTGTGTTGTTGGGTTTGCTCTTATCGTGCCGTGACCCTGTGCGTCTTGTTATATACCACTACTACGGAGTACTAGTCCGAACAACCAATCAATTGCTCAATAATTAATAGTGCTATCTAGATTCCTCTCGTCTGGGACAAACTCGGTGGACTTCATAGCCGTTATGTAACTCCATCTCGGATTCTAGTCCAGAGTACAGAGCACATATGCGTGCTCTGTACAGTACATAGCTAGAAGGTAGGATCCGACCTCCGACGTTCGACGTCGATTGATCTCCACCACCGCGCCACCGCGCCACTGGGATTGGGATTGTGCGAGAGTGCCGTCTTCCTTGCCAGTTACAGCACTCGCCGACGTGGTTGGAGCATCAGCATCCAGTATGCGTATGCGTAACTGGTACAAGGGGAAAGGTACATGTGTGCATGGGTGCATGGGTGAGAGGATCCACGTTTCGTCATAGATGAAATTTTTGTGGTGCTGGTGGTGATGCTGGGTGGCGCCTCAAGTGGGTTGGAAGGGAAGAAAGATTTGCAGCTGGAGTTGGTCATCCTCTCGAGTCTCGATCGCAGATGACAAATGTCAAATGCGGTTGATAGTGGCTGGGTTCCATACCGTCTCAGACTACAGACTACAGATCGCAGTGTCGCTACTCCTACTCCCTGCGACGAGAGGCCTGGATGGTGGTGTGGAAGTGGACATGGACATGGATATGGATGTTTCGAGCTGCTTCCAAGGGTTAGGGTCGGGGTTAGGGTGACCCAAGCCTCGCCTCGGACGATTTTCGAGACGAGGCTGCGCTGCGCTGAATTCTCGGAGTGTCGACGATACCGACATGGAAGAAATATGTGATAACATCATAGTAGTAGCAGTTGTAGTAGTAGTAGTAGCAGTTGTAGTAGTAGTAGTAGCAGTTGTAGTAGTAGTAGTAGCAGTTGTAGTAGTAGTAGTAGCAGTAGTAGTAGCACCTAGGTATCTAGCAGTAGGTACTCCCTACAGAGTACCAGCTGCTCTCTACTCTCTACTCTCACTCTGTATATCTTGCACTGCATCTCCATCTGGCTGCGGCTCTGGCTCCGGACCTTTTCGTCCGTTCGCCCACCCATCACCGTTAGCATTGCAGTAGGCAATAGTACTACGCAGTATACTGTACGGATACATGTGCACTTGTACCAATACGACCTTGACCCCCATTCCTCTTCCCTTCCCACCATGCTAATGCACTACCCACTACCCACCACCGGCGTGTTGTTTCACCACCACTACTATGTCACATCGACGGAGCACGGATACAGGACTAATCTACGTAACTACTAACACTACACCGTCACGCAGATCTCCCTTTGCAGAGTCGATCTCCCGTCCGCCGTCCTCGCCTCCCGAATTGTAGTGCACTCTCACACTTACGGTGGAACCAACCAAGGTGGATATACCGGATGTACGGATACTCTTGACATCACCACTTTGGACATGGAGATGAAAAAAATGTGAATGTGTTTTATGGGAATATGTTTTGCCACCAGCCTGAGGTCAAGACTGCAAGTGCGCAGCAAGCCTAAGCCACATATCTGCCGCTGCTGCTGCTGCTACTGTATCTGAGACTCGGCTCCGAGAACCGTCGACGCTTCCTCTCCTTACCGGCCCCACACCCGTTGAAGCCGATCCATGCCTACGACCGAGTGCCCTCTTGTGCTCGGCGTGAAGAGCGGCAAACAAACCCTTCCAGTACTCCGTATAGCAAACGGCCAAGCCCAAGAAGTAATGTCCCTAAGAATATTACACGTGCCAGCGAGGCCGTTCAGTTCTAGATTTCGTTTCACCTCATCACGGCCCACGGTCTACAGTAGCCCCTGAGCCTGGCCTGAGCCTGGGCCTGAACATGAACCTGACCCTGACCTCCCGCCATCGGTGTTCGTCCCTCCCACTGTATGCGTGATATGTACAAAGTGTACCAGACACTTTACTCACCTCTCATGGCTCCAAGGGTGTTGCATGCCCGGAAGCTGGCTGTTGCGCCGCCCTTGTTGTCTCCCTTTTCCTCGCTCATCAATCTATCAAGCAATCCTGAAGACAAACACCAACAAAAACAAAACACACTCAACCCAAATGCAATCCCGACACTCAAGGCCTCTAACCCCATCGGTCATCTGCAGTCCCCTGCCTTCTGGCGGTAGTCCGTCTTGCAACCGTCACCTCGACTGGTCGTTGACTCTGCTGCGAACCCGGACGCGAACCAAGCTGATTGATGTTAGGTAAGCCTTGAGTCTGACTCTGGCTGATGCTACTCGTATGACCATGCCGACGAACCCTTCCTTCTGTCACCGGTGTCAGAGTCGCCGGTGTGTTTCGCCCACTGCTCTGGCTGTGTGATGATTGGTGCGTGCGTGGCCGGGGCTCTTTTTCCGCCGAGGAAGATGCCGACGCCCTCGACGAACTAACCATGCTTTCACGCGTACTCTGTCTCGAGAGCCGGTGATGGCCCGCCATGGCAGTCGCGGCTGTGGACTGTCGTGGAAGCCTGCTCTTGTTCACCGTCATTTCCGTCACCGCACTGGCAGTGTGGGCTCTCGTGAGGCCCGGCATGGCAAACGCCGGCGAGTTTTCCCGCACGTACGTCGAGCCATCACGACTGGCCGGCCGCATCACGCTGGCACTATTGACATAGACGCCGTTGCGTTGCCTTCGCGGCGTCTGCGCCACCGGGGCGTCGTACATGTTGATGCTCGCACGCTCCGAACGACCGAGCTGGGGAGAAGTGGGCATGCTCATCTGACGATCGAGGAGATGCGGAGGCGTGGTAGAGCTCGTGCGCCGTTGAAATCCGGCATGTATCCGTCGCCCACCATTGGCCGCGGTGGCACCCCCCTGGCCGCTCTTGATACTGACATTGTCGGATTCCTCACACGAGCGGATGAGTTCTCCGGCCATACTGCGAACCAAGACGGCCGAGTCCGAGAAAGACAACTCCCGGATCACATCGTACAGACCACATTGTTCGAGGAGGAAGCAGCCTTCCTCGGTCGAGTCGCAAATGCTGCCGATGATGCGAAGGAGGTTGAGTCGAATCGCTGGTTTGTTGTGGCCTAGTCTCTGGCCGAGAGTATCGAACAGCTGAGGACTGCGGGCCATGGATGCCGCAAGAGGTGGGGATAGCCTCAGCAGCTTCTGGAGAGGCTCCAACAGGTTTTCGAACGAGGTCGATTTGCTGCTCGTCAAGGCGGCCACGATGGCGGAGGTGAAGTTTTGGTTCTCCAACAGATGGTCTTCCACTCGAGCAGTCTCTTCTTGAAGCCACGTGAAGATGGCATCGAGTGCCGTCACCTGCCAATAAGGATCGGACAACAACGAAACATAGAACGCCAGACCCTTGTTCTGCCAGAGTTCGCGGCGCGCAGCCCGGGTTGAATGAGCCATGTCACAGAGAATTGGCAAGGCAAATTCCTTCACCGGCGTCTTCTCTTGCTTGACAATCTTGATGAGAATGGGAATGATCCCGACAAGAGCGGCATCTTCTTGCCGTCGCTTCGACAATCGACAAAGATTGTAAATCGTGTTCAAGATCTGATTGGACATCTCCCTAAAATGTGGCTTGTTCATGCTGTTGCTGAGAAGTTCGGCCAGAACGTCAATGGCGTTGGAATTATGCAGGGCGTCCAAGGTCGTGGACAACATGGACAGGTTTTTGATGAACTTCAACATCGTCACCTGATGTGCCGGTGCCATCTTCTTGAGATTCTTGAGAACGCGATGTAACACGGTCCTTTCCGCCACAAGTTCCTTGACATAATTTTCGGCCTGCGAAAAGACAAAGAAAATGCTGGCTATCCGACCCTCGCACAAGTCGGCGAGCTCCTTTTGATCTCCGGAATCCGAGGGTTCATTCAATACTCGGTTCAGCACCAATGACAATGGTTCCAGCACCGAGTTGCGCGAAAGGATTCGACAAAAGTCATTCTTCGGAGTAGACCCTTGCAGTTCAAAGACACTCCAAATCCCATTGACCCCAATAAGGACCAGTTCTCGGTCGTCGTCGTAATCATCTTCTAGGAAATCAACCAACACCGTGAGACCACCCGCACTGACAAACATTTGGAGGATCAGGGTTGAGGTCTGGTACATCTGTCGGACGAAGGCGGCAGCCTCTAACCGGATTTCTCGAGGGAACTTTTTCGATGCGAACTTGTTGATCTTTGGGATGCCCCCCACAAAACACAGGTTTTCCTGTACTTCTTCATCATTGAAGATGATGGCATTGACAATCTTCAACAGATTGAGGACGATATCCAGGCGCATACAGTCCTCCAGGATTTCCAAAATCGGGAGCACACCATGTGCACTGATAATAACACTTTTGGTCTCTGAAAACACGTCGAAAAAATTCATCAGCTCTTCCGAGATCTGTAAGAGGGCGTCATCATCCTGCATGACTTTGAGCCGGCCCACCAAGACCTCCACGTCGCTCCTTAGTCGCGCATGCTTGTCGCGGGCTATGTTGGACTCAAGGTCTGCTTCCGGTAGGCCTTCCTCGAGCTGGGCGAATGGATCATCGTCGTCCTCGCCATCTGGCAGCCAGGACAAGTTTGAGACCTTCGAATTCAACATCAACTCTGACCCATCTTCACTGTCAGGCTTCTCAAACACCGCAGCGGTCTGCGCAAGGACGTCCGAAAAGTCTTCATCTTCCTCGTTCTCCGCGAACCGTTGTATTTCAATCGAGGACCTTGTCCTCCGCATGGACAACTTATTTCTGGGCGCCGGGGCACGTTTGAGGCTTCCGCCGGCCCTTGGGGGCCTCATGCTCTGCATCAAATCTGTCACACTTGGCGAGTTGAGAATTTTGGAGGGTTCTTCGTTCTGCAGTCGCATCATGCCTAGTTTCGTGTCCAGAGTCAATTCATTCCCTGAGATGATGTCGGAGAAATCCTCGACAGAACTTTCTCGGTATCGGCGAGTCGGTGGTTCATCCTGTGGGATCTTGGGAGGCGGAGCCTTGCTCTTGGAAAGATTGGTACTCTGCCGCGAGGACGGCAGCGAGGCTTTCCGGGAAGTCTGCGCAGACTTGGGTTTGGTTTTGAGCGGAGCTTCAGACTTGTGACGTGTATGGCGGAACTCTGGCTTCTTCGATGTTGCGAGGCGGACCGTCCTCATCGACTCTGCGTCGGTTGCGGGGAAGGCTTTCAACGTGGAATCTTGGTCCTCCAGAGCCTCATTTTCTTTTCCCATTGGATTTTCTACCGCTGCAAACGCTTTCAATTTCTCAGAGGATAACATTCCACCGAAGTTGTCGTGAGGCCGAAGGTGAGGTAGCTGGAATGTACTTGGCGATATGGTGGTTGCGAAATCATCATCCCAGTTGTCCTCGTCCTCCAGAGATCGAAATCGGTTCGTGGTATGTTCTTTGTTGAGGGGGACGGTAGATTTCATTTGCGATTTGAGTGATCGAAGCGATTCCTTCGCGGATGGTATCGGGCTGGCGGTAGAGGCGTTGGAGTTCTTCCTCGTTGAACTGCTGTTGGGCGAATCCTTCAGCGCTTCATTCCATTCCTGAACGCTCTTGACGGCCTCCGTATATTCAGTGGGGTTCTTTGGCTTGACCGCGTCGGATCTGCGCGCATTGACGATCCAAGGATGTTTCAACAACTTCCTGGCCGAGACTCGCAGATTGGGGTCTTTCTGAAAGCATTGCATCAAGAAATCAAGAACCCCCGGGGAAGCACCCTGTGGTAAGGGGGGATGATCGTCATTCACAATGCGAAACAGTGCCGGCATGGGCTGGAGGGTGTGGTAAGGCGGTTTCCCATCCAGCAGCTCAATCACTGTGCATCCCAAACTCCAAATGTCTGAGGCGGTCGTCGCCCCCGTCAACTCAATGACTTCCGGAGCCATCCAGTATGGAGTTCCAACCACACTCGACTCGTGTAGACCCGTGGTCCGACTTGCAACGCCAAAATCAGCAAGTTTGACCAGCCCTTGCTTGGTTGTCAATATATTGGCTCCTTTAATGTCTCGATGAATCACACCCTGCTCGTGCAAATATACCAATCCTTGAAGGACCTGGGACATGTACAGAGCCACCAGGTTTTCGGGGAAACGACCAAAGTTCTTCGAGATGGAATGTAGCGAGCCATTTTCACAATATTCCAAGATGATGTTGAGAGTCTCGGGGGTCTTGACGAATCCGTGGTACTTGACGATGTTGGGATGATCGAGGTTCTTGAGCAGATCTATTTCCAGCATGATGACCCTGAGCTCACTCTTGGGCAAGTCCGCCAGTTTGATCTGCTTCACGGCGACGGTCTCGCCAGTTCCCCAATTCAACGCCCGGTAAACAGAGCCAAAGGCACCTTTGCCTAGACAATCACCCAATTGATAGTCCTTCAATTCTGCTACATCCTGTGCCTTAGTCTTGTCGTCTTTTTTCGTCGGGCTAGAAGGAGGTCTGGACCCTCTGGGCTTGAGGCTGAAGCCGTCGAGTTCTCTGGCAGTAGGGACATCGTCTGGAGGGTCGGCGGTCCGAGCAGGCATTTTGGATGGCGGTGAAGGAGGAAAGGTTAGAGAGTCAATGCCGACTTCGATTCGATCGTCATCTGTGCGCCGGACTGCGGTCTGTTTGGCAACTAGGAGCGGTCGGTGTTTGCTCGAGAAGCGAACGGAAGACGCCGATGGGGGGACCTTGCGACGTCAAAGGAGATGCTGACTCGGCCGCAGATTGGAGCTTTCTGGAGACAGGATGCCGGGCTGCCAGGTAGTGGTGGTGGTGGTTCAGGTCCGTACAATGGGCGGGAGGTGCTGGACCACGGTGGCATTGGACATGCAACAAACAAACGGCGTGAATGGAACTCAAGTGCCAGTGTACGGCAAGTGAGGTGTTGCAGCAGCCCAGGACAGGACAGGACGTAACAGTACCTAATTAGCCACAATCCACAATGCACTTGCGGAAATACGGAGGTGCTAAGACAAAGGTAATGCAGTCAGCAATAATACATACAAGCATACCAATGATAAACACCTGCAGTCTCGCTTAACGGCAAGGGACTTCTCTCTACGATGTATCGATGTATCCGTACTTGGTACTATGCACGACAGTATCCAGGTACCTATTAGGTAGTACCAGTACTATGTCACCAACGCTGTACTAATGGCTGTACAGGTATGGAGGCATGATACGCGTCGCTGCACGCGACCTCCTGCTCCCCCTCGTCTTGTAACGTCACCACCCGACTGGTGGTCAATGCATGCAAGTATACCATTAATATGTACGATGTCTTGCTTGAATGGACCTCTAACTCAGTACTGCGACACGATACCCTATCTTTGTACATGTGTGCCTGACGGTAGCAGTCCCTCCTACGAACCAACTGAAAGTCGCCATGTGGCGCAGAACAGGTCAGACCCAAACACAACAGACAGCAGGTGCCAGCACAGACACACAGCAGCCTTTCCCCACAACAAATGTCAGTCACAGTCTTAACTCTTAACCAGGCACACGGTCCATGTGGTGAATTCGACCGCAAATGGGTGTCTAGCACGGCCCTCCTGGACTGCATATCGGAGAGTCAAGCCCGATGCTGTACGGATACGGTGTGAGGTATTCAATGGGCTCAAAATGGCGGCGAGTGATAAAACATGGAGTGTCTTGTGGAGATGTACATAACGGGATCTAAGTGCAGCTTTCCTGACGATGAACAATAAGATCATGGCCAAAAATCTACGCGGACTAGTATGGGCTCTGATGACTTCCTCCCAGGCAAATGGGCTGGCTGTGTCAAAAGTTGAAAGCTAAAAGAAGGGCAAAAACAAGATTAAGCAACGATACCGTGGGTGAATATAAATGAAGAACAAAGATCCAAGGTGCAAAGTTGGTCATGTCTCAAGAACACTGCACTCCGACCGGGGGAAGGTGTGTGGTGACCAAGCTGCCAGAGGTGATGGTGACTCTTGACCTTCCAGGCTTAGACCATATTGGCCTCTGAGAACAAATTTCGGGCGTGCAGCTGGGTACGCAAAGTGGAGGGACACACTGACAGACAGTATACAACTATACAGCTCAACAGCATACATACCAAGGTAAGGTATGTGCACCTGCATGATGATGGTTGTAGATGCCAAGCCATTTGCTCAGGTTTGATGGGGCTCAATGACAGGAGAGCACGTGACAAGCCTGAATGGCTGACTGATCAGAGGTCACCAGTCACGTGCTGTCACTTGCCGCCGTGTTCCAGCCTCTTTGCGCAGTTCAAGTTGCCACTGCTGCCTCCACCTGCCCCTGCGCCGGCCACCGCCTCTCGCCTCTCTGCCTCCTCCTTCTGCTCCTCCTCCTCCTCTCCCCCCAGAATTCGTCTGACCGGGTGTTTTTCTCTTCCCTATCATCAAACAACAAGCCATCGACAATCCGCCTCTATTTCATCTTTCTCTCCACTCCTTGCTTTGTTTGTCGCATTTATTTCCGTTTTGTCACCCATTTTGAATCTCCTCTCCCAGCTTTACGCTTAATTGTCGCGCAAAGATCAGCCTGAGACACCATGGGTTTGCCGTACGTCTTCTCTCCATTTTCCCTATCCCCCCCATCCCCCTTGTCACGTTTCTGCGCCTAGGCGTGACTTGTGTTGGTATTGCTGCTATTCTACGCTCGTCTTCCATGATTCATGCACTAACTCCGTGGCTGACGCAGTATGTTTCGAGAGCCTGATGAGGTTCATGCAGATCAGGCTGCAGCAAAGCTCGATCAGCTTGCAGCAACAAGGCGCTCTAACATTCGTCGAGAATCCAGCGTGCGACCTGGTCGAACGTCCTCCTCCCGCTCTCTCATTGATCGCATAAGAGATACTCGTCGAGAACCTGCCGATGAGTCGAGAACCACTCCGCTACAATCGCGTCAGCCGCGCGACCTCTCTCAAGATATTTACGAGTTGGACTCGGATCTAGGCCGTCTTCGCTCGGTACGCCTTAGACAGCGCGCCCGTGCGAGTCTACTTGAGCGGGACTCGGCTAGGCGATCAGAACGCACTCGTCTAGAGCCGGCGGCCCGAACTGATACGGATATCGACCTGTTGGACCGATTGCGCTTCAGTACTGGTGGTGCCTCATCAGGGGGGGACACGGATCAAGATGTGGGCATCGAGATCCTCTCATCTGACTCGCATGAAACTATTGCACAACATTTACCTCGTCCTTCTCGAGAATCTGGATTGAGATTCGAAGTTGCGGCAGCTTCACAGCCAGAGTCGGAACCATCTCGCCGGACACACTTTCACATGGCGGTGACACGAGCCCCTAGTCCGTCGGCTAGCAGACGGTTAGCCGCAATCGGGCCTACATATATGATTAACGGTCGAAGATATGGCTTGCGTCAAGACTTGGCCGGTCCGATCGTGACGTATTCCCTACATCCTAATTCCGCTCCGACCTTTCCAGAGTCCGCTCCGGCACCTCCAGAGTCCGCTCCGGCACCTCCAGAGTCCGCTCCGGCACCTGACCCTCCTGGTGCCAGCGTAGAACCTCTAGGCCAGGAACAGCCCAGGCTGAATGAACGTGATCTGTTGGACGGCTTCATGGACACAACGCCACCAGAAAACTTTGACACCTCTTATCCGCCGTTACGGCGTGTCAACCACGAATCACCACGCCCAGGTGTCGGGTCTAGCTCGAGGATTGACGGACTCGGTGATCGACTTCGAAGTCCAAGCCCGGCCTCTGATGCCCACGAAGAGGAAAACTGGGGAACTCTTCTGACTACTATGGAACCAGGCCGATCAAGCGCTACGACTTCCTTCATGTCCTCACTTCCAGATGCGCAATCCGGTTCCAATCGATCGTCGCAAGCTACGACTGCCGCAACCAGTTTTGGGGAGATTGGCGGTGATGATTCTTGCGACCTGGATCTTCCTTCGGGCATCACCGAAGCGGATGTGCGGGAAATCCGCGCACGACATGGGAGAGTACGTAGAGATCTAGCTCCAAGGCCGGACGATCCGGTTCATGAAGCGATCCAGCGAGATCTCTCGCGAGGAAACGACAGGATATTGGAGCTGGAAGTCTTTAGCGTCATACTGGATAGAATGCAGAGAAGGGAGGAGATTCCTGATGAGTGGTGGGCTGCGGTTGGGCTCTCACCCGACGTCGTCCGAGGTGGCACTTGATGTGCGCTACCCACAAACAATCACCTCAAGAGGAATGAAGCTGAAAGTGATGAAAATCGAGCGCTTGATTGCACTGTCGAGCAGAAGTCAGTCCTGGGTTCTTTGGAGACAACACCAAAAAAGCGGCTCATCCGACGCCGGGCCTTTGGAGGCGCCTACGTTTTTCAGTCTCTGCCAAAACCAAAAAAAAGGGAAAAGGGGAGGGTTTGCACAGCCAAGATCGGGCTTTCCTGTGACATGGGGGTGCCCTCACTTCTCCGAGATCCTGTGTCCCGTCTAGGGGGATCTGAGGGAATCGCGGAAAAGTCTCATGGCTGTTTTGATTGCTCGTGTAAAGCAGATTCGGCCGAGCTGCATGGATAGTGCTATCGCCAAACCCGCACAGCTGGCTGGCATTTTTGTTTCTTTTGGGGTTACTAATGAAATGGCAAAGATATGGTCATGACGGAACTGGCCTTGTGTATCTGCGTCTCTGCGCTCTTCGAATCAATCTTGGGAAATCAATCTTGGGAATGAACGTCTAAAGACAATGTCCCTAACTCTCTTTCTCATGTTTGACACTTCCTCTCATGACCATGAATGAATCTGGGCTGCGAATCGAAAGTGCACAAAGGAAGGAGAATAGGAGAATAGGAGTCTGGATCATGCATAGATGCCCCTGGTCCGATTCGCAGTGTTCGCAGGCTTGGGCGCTCGATCGATATCTAGGTATCCAGGACAGGACATGACATACGTTGGCGTTCGGCGTACGGAGGAATTTAATTCAAACAAACATTAGATCACACCAGGTCACGTCGTATCACTGGGAGGCAGGCCAAGGTTGCACACTGCACTCTGTACAGTGCACTCCGTACAGCACAGTTTCAAGAGACCTGTCTATAGTAGGTATCCGTACCTTGATTATAATGGCGATGGAATGATGGAATTTCAGTCAAGTCATACATACTCCGTACGGCACGGTGTAAGTAATTAGATACCTAATAGGTAAGGTAGGTAGGTAGGTGACCTGTGAGGTAGGTAGGTGACCTGTGAGGTAGGTAGGTGGTCATCCAGATGAAGATCCGTCTCTTCCATTGAATATTAATTTGCCATGCATGCCATGCATGCCATGGCACGGACGAGAACTTTATCTCACTCTCTCCTCATCGGTCCTGATCCGGCGTGCTCCCTAGGAAATCATTCTTATCTCCCTGGCTCAAGCGAACCTCAGCGAAACCCAGCGAACCTGATCTCTAGTCAAACTGCAGACATACATGCAATCTCAAGTGTTGCTGAGATTCATGGCTGAAGATGGCGACGTTCAGCTCGGTGCATATCTGCGGGCAAGGGCCTTGTTTCTGAATCACAGCATGGAATGTCTTCGATAACTCTCCGCGGAATACGCTGCCACAGACACAACTGGGCTCTTCTAGATTGCCGGGGCCAGACTCTTGACCGACCTAGCAACTAGAATGGTCGTGGTAGACCGATGGATACGTCCCCTTTGCCTGCAAGCATCAGGGTGAAATCAGAAGGAGGCGGCTATACTGGCATTCTCCTAGTCATTACCACAACGAGATCGTCCACATCTCGTGCCAAAATCCGACTGTCGCGGTATCAACTCCCAGCAGTCAAGGTCAGGCAAGCGTCCACAGCCAGGCCGACTCTACCCTCCTTCTGTCGCACCACATCATCAATCACCTCTTTGTCGAGGTTGGGGAACATGCCGCACAATGTCTCAACCACCGTCCTGTGCTCTGCAAGTTGAATCCGTCGAGCTTCTGCGGCTTCAGCGCTCGCTTGTCTTGCTGCCGCTTCTTGCGCATCATAAGCAGCAACTCCTCCTTCACGTGGAGGTTGGAATACGGCTGGACTCAATCGAGGAGCACTCTGTGGCGCCAGGCTCGAGGTAGCTCTGCGTTCCTGCGAAGTTTCTTGGTCAGAGAATATTTTTCCAATCGTCGACAGCGGTCGTTGAATGGTACGTAAAAGGCCTGTGACACTATCGTCTGAACCGCCTTCAGAGCTAGTGTTGAGGCGACTCAAGTCCCTTCGGGTCGGGCTGCTAGAAGCCACATCCGTCGAGTTTCTAGGTGTCAGCTCTGATTCGGCTGGACCCGATTTCTCCGAAAGTCCTGCGCGCGGGCTGACAGCTTCGGCCTCGCGATTTTGAGCGGCGATCTGGGACACGGCAATCTCGACATTCCGTTCGAACTCTTCGTCGCTTACGGTCAAGCTCGTGCGATCCAGGCTCTCAATGAACTGGATTGCCCCTGACAGGGAAGACAAATAGTACCCTGCCTCACCTCCAAGCTTCTCCTGATTTCTGAACCGTAGGATATACTGTACGTTGGATACCAGGTGCTCCGGATTGGCTTGAAGAACGACGTAGATGAGTAGCGGCACAAATGAGTCCGCCGAAGTGTCTGAGCTCTTTGTATTCTTCAACAAGCCGAAAATAACCTTACAGCAGTTGAGGACGCAGATGACTTTGTCTCGGGGGGCACGATATCCTTTGATTTTCAACAGCTCTTGCTGCGCAAGTTTGAGAAATCTCTCGCCATTGGGCCCCACCGGCTCGAGATCAAGATGCTCTTCCCTGACCCAACTGTAGATTCGAATCTTTTGAGCAAGGATCTCATCGCGTTCTACATCTTCCTGATGCTGGCCTCGTCTCCCAGGCATGAGACTCTTTTCCAAATCTTTTCGCCGGCCTCTTGATCGAGAGCGAGCGGGCGGCGCGGCAGGCGGCGCGATTGCAGGTGAAAACGTCTGGGAATAGAGCCTGTTCATCACAAGCTTTTCCATCCCTTCTTTGGCGTTATCGAATTCGTTCTCAGAAACATCGCGCCACACCTCACAAAGAGCCATTTTGTTTGTGATGAAGGCGAGAAAATCGCCGATGATCTTGACTTGCTCGTGTACCATCCATTGCTTCTTCCCGAACTCGGTCAGAAACGACCGCAGAAACTTGGCCACCGGATCGGCTGATTTGTGTCGAAGTTGTTCCAAAAATCGGTGAAAATCAAACGGCAGTTCTGGTTCTGGCTCAGGAGGAGGTGGCTGCAAGGGAAGAGAGGATGTTGAGGCCACAGCTGCACCTTTCAGGGACGGGCTTTTCACTCCGCCGCCGGCTTCGTCATGGACAGCACCGGAGGGCGGTGAGGGCAACGGCTTCTCAGAGTGAGGGATCGCCGGCGAAGTCGCGATCGTATCCATGTCTCTCGCGCGTAAATGTTCCAAGCTCGACCTTCGTGGCGGATAGCCACTGCCTGTTCCAAGAAGAGGCCCTGCTAGTTCGTGTCTCGGGGACATGATTTCTTCTTTAGATGGGGCAACCGATGCATCCTCGAATTGACCCATAATGCTCTGGATTTCTGATCTGGACTCGGTGTCATTCTCGCCACTCGATTTGGGATACGGGACATCAACCGCGGCATCTTGGTTCTCTTGGTTATAGGCACTGTCTTTCTCGTTATAATCTTCTACTGCGCCTCTAACCGATGGGTGCCTCGACACAACTGGAGTTTTGGGGGTGGGATCGAGGTAAGGTTTCTCGTTCTCGGACGGAGGCTCTGGTGGAGGCGGGACGGATGGCAGGTCTTTCGGAGTTGTTGAGGCAGGGCCAGAGTCGGCTTTCGTGTCGTCCAGACGGAGGGTTTGAATCTTTTCGGTCGGCTCTGCCTCAAGTTGTTTTTGTTTTCCCTTCGCGAATGATGTCTCTTGCAAAGTCTCTTGAGGGGGGGCGTTGCTCGTCTCTTCTTCTCCGAGGTCTATGAGGTCGGTTGTCGTAGTTTCCGGCGAAACGGCTTCCTTACTGGCATCCATAACTGCATGATTGCCGTCTGGCGACATCGACGATTAATTATGGATACTTCCAAGACCCAGGTTGCACTGCATGCTTTGAAAGGGACAGGTGCAGCGCAGCAATGGTAAGGACAAGCCGTCTAATTGCGTTGGATCATCCGCGTAGACAGGGTTGCTGTAACTTTCGTGCAAACGGCTCGATCAGGTATCGGTCGAGGGTTTGGAACTGCGATTGCGACAAAGTGATCGAGTATTGAAGCAACTATCTTCGACGGGGATGCAGCCTGATGAGATGGAGGCTCTTGAGTCTGCCCAAGGGTGGGAATGATGACCCTGAAACTTGAACAGCAATGGGAGTTTGGTTCGGAGTCGGGACCGCTTCCAGGCCACCCGACGGCGTGGGACACTGAGGGGGAGGCGTAGGACTGGGCCTTATGTTACTAGAAGGGACACATTGCAAATGAAGGTTACAACCCAGCTATAGCAGTAGGAGGGCGCTCTCTGTGGTTTCTTGTAGATACAGTACGGATACTAATTAGTAGTAGGTAGTTGTTTGGCCTGGTTGTTTGGCCTGGTTGTTTGGCCTGGTCTTCCAGCAATCTGCCTGCAGCCTGCTAGTCATGTATCAGGCTGATATCTCTTGGCGTCATAACAGTTCATAGTATCACGTGGTATGACGGTGAATTACGCGGAACGCCACGCCGCTGTAAGCACCGCTGAACCTCTAATGAGTTGTTAAGGGCCCGCCGCACCTTCAAGTCAACCTCGTCTTCCTCCGACGAAAGCTTGATCCCGTCTTAGCGGACAAACGATGTTTTTGTTCGTCTTTGCTCAGACACCCTGGACCAATGCTGTTGGAACCACGGATGTCGTGATCACCATCTCTGTTATTGGGTTCGTGATTCTAACCTTGGTCATTAATGCCCTTCATCTTCTATGAAAAGAAGCTCCGGACTAAGACGTTCAAAACATACCATTATTATGCCAAGAGGCAGGTTGACGGAAGAAGGTAGACGTAGAGTTGCAGTCGTCTTAACCTGGTCCTCGCCAAATCAAGACGAGGAATGTTGGTAACCTGCCAGTGATTCTGGGGACGTGGGCCTCCGCTGTGGCACGGTATTCTGGGCAGTGGGCAGCATCGTCAGTCTCGACCCCTGCGTGCAGTGAGTAGTACTCACTAGTCAGATCTTGAGGGGAAGGGGAAGACGCCCTATAGTCTGTCTAGAGCACAACGCAGGCCTCTTTTTGAGCCAGATGAACATATGGTCTGAAATATGGTCGTTCGCCTTTGCTAAAGACAATGATCAAATTAGGTGATTTTGATCATTGATCGATCGGCCCCAGTGCTCACGCAGCTTTCGAACTAGTCCATCAATGTGCCAACCTGCCGCACGAACTCGATCCAGGCAGGCAAGAAGATCAGTTTGTTGGGCTGGATGCGTCATCTGCTGGGCCGCCAGTGTGAAGGCGGCAATCAAACACGGATCCCAGCACTTTGTGTGCTCCGGGTCACTGTTGAGGGCAATGCCACACACGCGCCGTGCATGCCAGAGAGGCGACATCTGGGCCTCATCCGCTCCTGTCATGCTGTGCCAATCAACGGGCGAAATCGCACAGGGCTGGTGACTGAATAGTAACAACATTGAAGTATGATAAGTGATGTTGGCGGACACACCGGCGCTGCTCGTAAAGATAATAGTAGGAAAAGAAGCTTCGCGGTCTTCGGCGTCCACCAGGGCATGAATCTCAGTTGGGCGTCTCGTGTGCCATTTCCACAGCTTTTCTAGCAGCACCTTCCACGCGTCAGCACCTGGAGGACCTATAGGGGATTGGAGCGCGATGTCGGCCATCGCCTCTTGTGGCGGCGGCGGAAGACAAAGACTCATCACATCGCCGAGGAGGGCGAGGCAGCGGAGACAAGTATCCAAGATTCCATGAAATCTGGTGGGCTCTGCGACATCTATATTTGATGAGCCCAGAATTTCCCGGAGGAGTTCTGAACTTATGGCTGGAGAGGTTCCACACATAAGTGCATGTGCGATCTCTTTCCGTGATTATATCTTGGTCAGCCGATCATAGCATCTCCAGAATTTGATGAACGTCAGAACAAAAAAAGTTGTTATGGAATCGATACAGAGAACGAATATAGGAAGATAGAGCGTACCGAGTCTGGACATCAGAGCGACTACGCCCCACCATATTCGCCTATGAGAAACATCGGCAAAATCATCTCTTGTGAAGCCCCTAGGGACATCTCCCCGATGAAAGACTGCTGTCCAGGTGTCTGGGACTGCTTCGATAAATTGCTTTGCTCTGAGGAGCACAAAGCAGGCCAGAAGCCGAACAGCAGACAGCGCACACTCAGGGCCTGGGGGTTTGGGTATGAGTAAGAGAAAAGGCCCAAGCCCACGAGCCTCTGGCGGGCTTGCTCTAAGGCCCGAAGATGCCGCGGAGAGTTGTAGTACTGCATCCATCACACAGGGGGATGTCATGGCTAAGGGCGGGACAAGGAGGCCAAAGGTCCGGGTTAGATCACATACGTCAAGCTGTTATGAAGCAAAAATGATCCAGTGTCAGCACCGCCGAGTCTGTGGGGAAAAATTAGAGGATTTCTTGACTCACCCATGGGGCGACATGGTGGCTGTAGTGTCTCAAGAGAGAGGTTTCGTCTTGTGACAGCGAGCATTGACCGACTAAAGGCCAGACGTTGTCCATTGCCCAGCCAGTGGTTTCACGAGAGCTCTCTGGTATCACATTGGAACCTGACTCGCTCGATTCATGACTTTGAGCACCATGCTCTATAAATTCGCTCCCATGACCGCCAACGAGATGAGGAGATTCCTCCCGGAAGAACCCCAGAGCTCTTCGAACTTGGCTTTCTTGATCGACTGGTTGCGCAGTGGACAGCGAGTCTGCCTTCGGTGGTTGGGTAGGAGAGCTCCTGTTGACAACGAACTGAAATCATGACACCATGTTAGTGGTTTGATATTGCTGGGCGCATTGCTGACATACCTCCACGGCTGGGTACACTGGCGGGCCTGAAGCTGAGGCTATATTCAACACCGTTTCGCTCGACAAAGTCCAGGAGTTCCTTTCGAGAAAGGATAGATGTGTGACGTATTGACAGTCAGCACCAGCATCAGTGCAGCGCTTGCAGCGCGGTTTTTGCTCATCGCCTATAATAGTCTCTGCATATCAGCTTATTGAATGACATATTTTGTGCGATTCCAACCCAGAATACGACTTACACTTGCGATGCTGTGCACGGCAGCGTTGACAGCCGGTTCGCGCACGACTGTGCCGGACCGAACCCTCCGCTGCTCTGGCCATTGGTGTTGTAGAGTTTCATCTGCATTGCTCACTAGCAGTGGCATTTGGACCCGTGGTCGTGATAGTTTCTCACACGCAGTGGCACCATGAAGGAACACTGTACTCCGTATGCCATATGGATATTGGATAATACTCTGTACAGGTGAGACGTGGTGTGTTAAGGCAGCCGTCTCGTAATAATAGACCTACTCCTTATAGGTGCCGTACTCCGTACTCCGCAACGAGATATCAGATCCGCTAGCGCGCCTGACAAAGCAGCGCAGCTTGGTAACACGATGCGGCTCAGCCTTCCTGCATCGGCCGAACACACACACGCTTACCACCGAGCACCCTGAAAGTGAGAAGTGACGGGCTTTAAAAGGCTCGCACAGCCTTTGCTGTTTGCAAAGATGGACACCGTTCTTCTCCTGCGCCGCCTGCACCTCCTACAATCCATCCAAGATGACCAACCTCCCTAAAACAATGAAGGCGTGGACCGTCACTCGAGTCGGAAAGCCCCGAGACGTGCTCCAACTTAAGACCGATTCTCCCACTCCACCTCCGCCCAAGGCTGGCGAGGTCATGATCAGGGTTTCCTACGTGGCCATAAACCCGGCAGACTACAAGCTGATGGAATTTCGGATACCCTTTAAAAACCCTGCCATCCCTGCCATCGACTTCGTGGGAGACATCGTCCAGGTCGGGCCCGCCACCTCCAACTCCTCCACCAATGTGCGCGTCGGGATGACCGTGGCTGGATCAACGCCTACAACGTATATCCTCCGGGGGATGGGTGTCCTGGCCGAGTACGTGGTCCTACCTGCCCACGCGGTTGTGGAGAAGCCCCAAGCTCTGGACGAGGCCGTCGCCGCTGGGCTTTTCGGGGTAGCAGGACAAACAGGCGCTCGGGTGCTGAGTGCTGCCGGGTTGCATAAGGGAGATCGGGTTTTGTTGAATGGGGCCAGTGGCGGCGTGGGCTGCATCCTGATCCAAGTGCTTTGCGGAATGGGCGTTCGCGTCACCGGTGTCTGCTCTGCAAGAAATGAGGCCCGAGTCCGGAGTCTGGGCGCTGAAGAGGTTGTTGATTACACGGCTCACAAAGACCTCTACGGCCACTTATCCTCGATATGCAGTGCTCCTGGGAAAACTGCTTTTGACGCTATTATCGACTGCGTGGGCAACTTGGAACTCTACTACAACTCTCCTGGATATTTGAAGCCGCAAGGAAAATGTCTCAGCATTGAAGGCAGCTTCCTCCGAGAACTGAAATTCAACTACTGGCCGGCCATGCTCGGAGGAACAGGAAGGACTTACAAATCCGTCATGAACAATCCATCCGGCACACTGGCCAAGACAGTGGCTGGCTGGTTTGAGAAAGGATGGATCAAAGAGATCCCAGTCGACTCGGTGTTCAGCATGGACGACGCTATACAGGTAGGTCACATTGCTAGTCCTGACAAATGAGGAAATTGGCTACTGAGTGGTACTGACAATCTGTGTATAGGCCTTTGAAAAGCAAGCTACAGGCCGAGCGGTGGGCAAGATTTTGGTGAAGGTCGGGTGAGGTGTGCTGGCAATGCAATCGCTAGAAGACTGAAGTGCTCTGTTATCTGGATGGCTCTGAAACAGGGACTGGGGTGTCTGGATTTCAGGTCTATAGGCGCCTGCTTAGCCTAGGGCCTTCTTAATTCTGTGCCTGGAGCCTTAGGGCTAGGGGCTTAGGGGCTCGTAAGGCGCTGTGGAGGTTATCGTTAGGCCACTTAGCCTTAGGAAGCCTTATTAGTGGTGTTAGGGCGGATGCAATTTACTAAGCCTCGGCAGGTCCTAACCCGCCCAGGTAAAGCGTGTCGTCCTGTAGCAGTTGCTGTTTTTACTCATCTTGGCATCCCCCATGCTCTGTTCCAATTTTATCTCCTCCGACAACTTGAATAGCATGCATGCATGATTACAAGTCGCCCCCTGTGCCGTATCAAATCCTCCTCACCGTACTTGCTGCCAATCCTCTGGCCACGGGCTACGAGGCCTCGAGGAGCGTACTTGGCTTGATGTGTGGCATCTTCTTCTCCATCGCAAGAGACCGCCCGTACCTCCCTGACCCTGAGACAGTAAATGCGTTGCGGGCACGAGGACCGGACAGCTACAGAGTGCTCAACGCCAGTGTCTCGCATGATTGCCCGCACGCCGCCTGCTTGACATTTGTCTCGTCAGTCTTAGCACTGCGTGGGAACGTCGTCCAGCAGCAACCCTTGTATGACGATAAGACCGGAGCCATCTTATGCTGGAATGGCGAGGCTTGGAAAACAAATGGTGTTACAATAAAGGGGAATGATTCTGCACGAGTTTTTGATTTGCTGTTGAACGTCTCCCAGAGCGGCGAAGAGGTCTCCCATCAACGAATCTGCGAGGTGCTCACGCTCATTTCGGGGCCTTTTGCATTTGTCTTTTACAATGCGCGTACTTCGACTGTCTATTATGGCCGAGACAGACTAGGACGACGTTCCTTACTCATCGATCGATCGGATGCTCAGTCGCTGACGTTGTCTAGTACTGGCGTATCCAACAAGACACCACTTGTCGAAGTCAGTCCTGAAACGATCCACTATGTTTCCATCAAGCACCATACTATCAAATTCGGTGAGCTTCCCTGGCTCAGTCCGCCGCCCGCCATCAACAAGGACATTCCTGCTCAATTTCCTGCCGCCATTCCCTCAGCCGCCAGCGTGAACCAGTTTTTGACAGAGCTGAGAAATGCGCTTGCACTCAGAGTTGTTGACATTCCCGACCATTCACACTCACAACTCCGCCCAGGTTCGGCCAAAGTGGCAATACTGTTTTCAGGTGGGCTGGACTGCACCCTTCTGGCACGCCTTGTGCACGACATCTTACCACCAGATGAAGCGATTGATTTATTGAATGTGGCATTTGAGAACCCGCGCTCGATTGCTGCACAGGCCAACCATATAGACTCGCCGTACGAACTTTGTCCAGACCGTCTGACAGGCCGTTCTAGCTTCTCCGAACTTTGTCAAGTATGTCCGGGAAGAAAATGGCGGTTCGTGGCCATTAATATTCCCTACACGGAAGCGATCGCCCATCGACCTACTATCATAAGCTTGATGAGCCCTCACAACACCGAGATGGATCTGTCAATTGCAATGGCTCTTTACTTTGCCGCCCGAGGTGGAGGCGTGTTGACGGAGAATCAGCAGGTGTCTAATGCTGCGGCGGCAGATTTCTTGTCCACTGCGCGAGTCCTCCTGTCGGGGCTCGGAGCGGACGAGTTATATGGTGGATACTCTCGACACTCTGCGGCTTTTGCTCGTGGGGGCTATTCTGGTCTTGCTGATGAGCTCGAAATGGACTTCACTCGAATCGGATCCCGCAATTTGGGTCGCGACGACCGGGTCATGAGCCACTGGGGCAAAGAAATTCGATATCCTTACTTGGATGAAGATTTTGTGAGCTTCTCTTTACACCTCCCCGTCTGGGAGAAGACTGGCTTCAGACCCGGAAAGCACATCCCAAAACCGTACGAAGACGCCTTGCCTAGCGATATCCCGGAAAGCCTTGAACCTGCGAAGATGCTGATGAGGCTGGCCATGTGGCAGCTAGACATGAAGAGAGCTGCTACAGAGAGGAAGAGAGCCATTCAGTTCGGTGCCCGAACAGCCAAAATGGATGTTGGCAAGGGCAGGACAAAGGGGACGGATATCCTCATTGCAGCAGCGTGACTTGGTGTACTCTCAGATCCAAGGCGAATTGACGGCAATGATGACATCTTTCAGATACTTCTGAGGCACCCAGGACACGTGCTGGATGCTGTTTCATCTCACATGGAACTGCAACCGCCGAGTCGACCTGTGAAGTGCAAAGGCAAGTCTGAGCCGTGATGCCGGATCGGAGGACCGCGACTATATATATACACACAATATACCACACTTTTGTGTTCCCTACTTTCATCCCCTAGGCCGCTTGATCCTTTGAAAGCAGTTGGTGGTGGACGGAGAAGAGCGTTGGTGGAGTTGAAGCATGGTATCCGTACAGTTCTCATTAGTCACTTGCCAACGAACCATCATCGAAGGGCGCAATATGACGAGCTTGGGGTATTTGATATCCCCTGCCTGGGATATCAAAATTCCTTTTCGATCCTGAACTCCGTCCGCCACTCACTTTGTTCATCAGATGGACGCCGCCACAGCTCCAGGAGTTCTACGTAGGAGTTCGCACAATGTTTCAACAACCTACCCGAACAACGCGCCCGTCGAGGTAGAGGTCGAGTTCGAATTCGAAGAGTCAAATCCCACCCCTCCAAGCGACACCTTTCCCGAGGGCGGGCTTGAGGCATGGCTTGTTCTAGTCGGCGCTTTTCTTGGGCTGTTTGCCTCCTTCGGGTTCATGGTCTCGGTGGGCACTGTTCAAGAATATCTGCACCAGCACCAGCTTTCTAATTACACCTCACGCGACGTCGGTTGGATCCCAAGCGTGTTCGTCTATCTGGCCCTGGGGCTGGGGATCTGGGTTGGTCCACTATTCGATCGCTATGGCCCCCGATGGATAGCCCTGCTCGGCAGTATCTGCTATGTCACCATGGTCTTTCTCCTCGCCGAGTGCAAAGTCTACTGGCAATTCCTGCTCTGCTTGGGCATCTTGGGAGGAACAGCGGGCGCAACCCTGACGACCACCGGCCTGGGTGTGGTCAGCCACTGGTTCAAGAGGAGAAGAGGGCTCGCGCACGGCATCGCCATGGCAGGATCGAGCTTTGGTGGGATGACGATCCCTTTGATCTTGAAGCGCACATTGCCCACATACGGATATGCATGGGCGATTCGCATCGTGGGGTTCGTCATTGCGGGCTGTCTGATCCTCAGCAACATCTTGATGAAACCCAGACTACCACCATCGCCGGCTGCCAAACAACAAAAGGTCATCTCGCTGGGTCTGTTTGGGGATCTCAAATTCACCTTTCTCACCATCAGCGTCTTCGGCTTCGAGATCGTGCTGTTTGGAGCTCTGGGAATCCTCCCTACTTACGCAGCTTACGGCAGCAACTATCCTGCAGACACGGGCTTCTACATCATCGCGGTCCTCAACGGTGTGTCTTGTCTCGGTCGCATCATCCCAGGTTATTTTTCCGACTTCATCGGCCGCTTCAACACCTTGCTCATCATGATCGTTTTCACATTGATCCTAATGCTCGTGCTGTGGCTGCCGTTTGGGAATAGCAGTCTGGCGGCACTTTATGCGTTCACGGCATTGTTTGGGTTTGGAACCGGGGCCTGGATGGCCCTGACTCCGGCCTGTATTGGTCAGTTGTGCGAGGCCGATGAATTCGGGAGATACTATGGCACCCTGTACTTTATTGGATCGTTGGCGACGTTGGTGTGTGTTCCCATCAGCGGTGAATTGGTCGAATCGGTTGGGCCTCAGATCATGGTCGGCTTCATGTGCGCCATTCTGGGCCTCGCGCTAATGACCTTCAGCTTGAGTCGTTGGGCCTGTCTCGGATGGAGGTGGCGGTGGAAAGCCAAGGTCTAGCAATGTACTACTGTGCAGTGTGTCTAGCTATACCAGTGCCAATACGGTCAAAGAATTGAGACTTTGATGCGTGGTGAAGGATCTCTGAGCTGCTAGGAGTTGAGATAGACTCTAGCCCATCAGTATGCCAATCCTATCAAGATGGAACTTATTGATGTGGAAGCTGTTGCAAGTCTGCGCAATATTTTGTGCTAAACTAGTACTGGTAGCAGAGACAAGGCATACAGTACCCTATGCACACGCACAACTGTGCTGGAGACTTGAAAGTACTTAATCATGCATCTGTTTTTGTAATATTAGATATCTGTTATTGGTAGTTTCAGCAGTATCGTCCTGCGCATTACACCTTCCCACTTGTCGGCCACCCCATTCACCATGGCATCACACAATCCACCCAGCTGCAAGATGGAATGGCCTGCATTGAGGTCCCTAAGTCTGCGGTCTCGCTGGTGACGCGGCGGCACCTACCCTCTCCATCGTCTATCTTTCAGCAAGAACTTCCTCTTCCTCTTCCTCCGCCTTCTCCTTCACCTTCACCTTCACGATTCGATTGGATACTCGACCGTCGATCCCGTACACCTCGTCGCAAGTCCTCTCAACTATCCACCTATCCTATCAAGAGAAGATGAGCAGAAATGCCGCAGCCGCACATTCCGGGAATCTTCGTCAAGAGAAGAAACATGCCACCCAAGCTATAGTCGAGAAAAGCTAGCAAGTCCGGTGAAGCGAAGGATAGGGAGGGATGCTTTGATACCTATTGCGTTCTTTCTTTCGTATAGGACTCTGAGCGCACTCATCAATGATCATTTACTATGTTGAAACATCGAGTACAGGCGCAAGGTTGTAGTTCACACTGAGTACAGCCGCAAGTTTGTAGTTCACACTGAGTACAGCCGCAAGTTTGTAGTTCATGCAGTTCGACCGATCTACATGGAGGGGGCGGTACTGGCATCATCAGTTCACATGAATGCAGGCTCTCCAGGTCAGCTGTGAGAATAGAATGCAAGGAAGATCGGCCTGGAGAATGGGATTGTTATCGTCATCGTCGTCGCTATATATCCTGGCCCTTGGGCTAGACTGCCCAGCATAGAATAGGACTCGAAGATGTCAAACTTAGGCGCATTCCCAGCCTTGTTCTTTGACCAGAAAACTGGTTTAGGCATACTATACACTATCTAGGCTGGGCTCCCCCCATACCCCTTTGATAGCGAACATGGAACATTTCAATCTTTGACAGAAGAATGGTGGATGGATCTCTATGTAGTGTAAGAATAAGACTAGATCATCAGTAATCCAACCTTACGCTATGATGGTGTGTCGCTAGGCTGTGTGAGACAGTTTCTCTCTGTAAATAAGATGGCATACTATACCATGCCAGTCCATCGCCTTGCTTGATATCAGGTCTCAGGTCTTCCATGACGGCTGGAGAAGACAAGTAGGATGACCCTGTGCAATGCCACCACTCGCTCTGCAGGCCATTGCTCTCCTTCCCATGGAGATGCGATGACATGAAAGAAGCTGAATTGAATTGAGCGAAATTGCACTGTCCGGCCGAGCAGACGCTGGTGTAGCGCTCGGCTCTGCTAGCAGCCATCCGCTTAGGGCTGCTCTGTTCTCACTCGACGATGCCCCAACTTTCCACCGGCTTTGCCCAATTGTCACCAGTTCAGACCGCGACGAACCCACACTGTAGCTGTTGGGGGTTCGGCGGGGCGGAGCAGGCCTGTTGGTGAGTGATATAATCTGCTGCAGTTTGGTACGCGGTGCCTTCGGAGGCCGATAGGAGGGCGAAGTCGGATCAAAGCGTGACGACAGATGTGGCGAGGCAGTGCAGCGCGCAGCGCCCAGCGAGAATGGCTTGAACTGGTAGAGATATCGCGAGAAATGGAGCGTGACGAAACGCGTCTCGGGCGCAGCAGCTCTCATTTGAGATGCTACAGGCCGAATCAGTGAGACCACATGGGTCTTGCTCGCGGGCAAGTGAGGCTGAAAGTCCAGTTGCGTTCTTTTCTCACGAGAGGAGGGCGTAGTGGAGCGAGCAGAACTTGAGTCCGTCCATAGAAAACCGTGTGAGGAGGCAGATCCGCCAATGAACGGCCGAGAACTTCAGCCTCGTTTGGTCTGGGGTCAGACTGCCCCGTATCTTGCCTTTCGGCGGCCCACTGCTGCGCGAACCAGAAAGGTAGCATCGACACGTTGCCCAACAGACCTGGAGACACCGAAGTCTATTCCAGCACAAGGTGAGAAATCATTGCCCGTACTCACGCGTCTGAAGAAGCATAAATATCCCTCCGTCGCCCTCCCCCTTCTCTTCTTTCTTTTCTTTTTTCTTTTCTCCAGATCTCGTCTTACAGCCACATTAGCAGTTTCACCACTCATACTACACATCATGGGTTGCTTTTGCAGTAAGAGAGTCGTTGAGGATGACTTGGACGTCCCATACTGGGTTGGTCCTAAAGTTGATCCACCACCTTCCCCCCGCGCCGTGGAAGCAGAGGTCAGAGCCCGTGTCGCGGCGATGATGCCTCCTGTCCGCGAGCGCACATCATCCCCAACGCCGTCCCAGATCACAAGGCGGCTGCGGGAACACTACATCACCGACTGGTCAGATCCGATGGCCGAGCCGGTTCGCCCACCCCCCCGCGTGAAGCACCCTCCTGGCTTCCGGAAGTACGTCTTTGAGCCGTCTTCCGAGGAGTCTCGAGGTTGAGCCTCGCCCGGGGGTGGATGGGCCTGACTGGTGTGTGAGCCTCAAGGCTCTGCCCAGTTGGTGGTGTGGTGTTCCTCCCGCTGATCTGCGCGGCGGCGGCTGGCGATGATGAAGGGGGGATCGTGGCTCGATCAGTTTAGGACCGACCTGGCGTGTGGCGGCCATGATTCCGATTCGACTTTCTCGTACGCCGGCTACGAGATCTCCCCCCCCCCCTGCCCCATGTTTTCTGCGTTGCTTTTTGGCGTTTGGCGTTGGCGTTTTGGCGTTTTGGCGTTTTGCGTTGCTTTTCATCATCTCATTGCCTTGAGCAGTGTCTTGGAGGAGAGTGTTGTCATTGTCCTTACCTCGCTGCTTCATATGTTGCTGTCCTTACCTCGCTGTTTGATATGCTGCTGTCCTTACCTCACTGCTTCATATGTTGCTAGCCTTACCT